TCTTTTTCCTCTTTATTATAGCGTTTAAAAAGAATATACCCTTAGCTATTAAGGTAATAATCTTAGCTTTTTATAGCCCTATTAATAGCGGAAAATCTACTAAAGAAATCTTAAAAGCTCTTTTTTTATTTACTTAAACTATTAATAATATTATTTTATATATTAAAAGTAAAGGCTTCGATTTTACCGTTCCTACCCTCGAAATCCTTCTTAAATATTATAAAGCTACCCCCCGAGCCGGCCGGCTAAAAAAAACTACTAAAATAACTATTATATTTATTATTAATAAAATTTATTATAACCGCTACGGCTACGAAAAGAATTACGCTAATATTATTAAAGATTTATTAAAAAATAAAAGTATTAACGTCTTTATTATTACCGTTTAGTATATATTTCGCCGCACTAGCTTTTATAAAACTAAACCTATTAAAAAGCCCGGTTTAATAAAGAAGATAAGGTAATAAAAGCTTAAATAATGCTAAGACTACGCCTATTAGACCCTTGATAATTAGAAAAAAGTAATATAATTAGACGAGACTTTAATAATACTAAACTACCGTAAAGGAGGCTACCGACTCTAGCGACGACTTAACGAAGTATATATTCATTTATATATACGTAAGCGGTAGAAGGGCTTCTCTAAATTTATATTTTAAAGCTCTTTTTTATATGATAAAAAAGGCCCTATTTACGTTTAGTAGCTTAAGACCGCTACGGAAAAAAAAGAGGCTAAGCTTAAGATCGCTAATTTTAACTATTAGTTAAAACTAATTAAATATTAAGAATAGGAGTTAGATATATAAATAAAGCGATTAGCTTTTTAGAACTTATTTAGCCGTAAACTAACTTAGGTATAAAACGAAAGTAATAAAAAGCTATTATATAAAAAAAAAAAAAAGGTATTAATTAATATTAATATCGCTGTGAAATCCTTTTTCTAAAATTATTTTTATTTATAAAGCTCTTAAGCCTTAATACGTTAATTTAAAAAGATAAGGCGCCAGCTTACGACTACTAATTTATCTACTATACGTATAATTTTTATAATATTTAAAAACTATTTTAGTATAGTAATTCTTTAGATCTTAACCTAATTAAGCCCTATTAGCCTTATATAAAAAGGAAAACTATTGAGAAAAGAATATTAAAAAATAAGATAGATATAATAAAAGCGTAGCTCGATTATTAAGAAAAACTACTTTAAAATCAAATCCGATGTTAAATAGAACGCGTCTTAGTTTATATTTAATAAATTATCGCTTTAAAAAGCGGGAATAATTATAAAAAAGGCCGTAATACCGGTAAATACCGTTAATAAGCTAAAATTAATACTATTCTTATTCTCAGTAATTAAATTAACACTATTCATAATAGCGGCGATATTAGTTAGAACGGCGGCGAGATTGGCCCCTGTTAATACCCCTGTCAATACCCCTGCCCACGCAGGGGGGGTTTTGTACCTTTCAGCCAAAACTTTTGAACGGCACCTCCGTACCTGACTTACCTTTCCCCGAACGCGCATATACGCTTTTTCATCTGAACTCAACTCCAGGCTCCCTCCAGGCTCCGGCGGCAGCCACGCTTGGCCATACCTCGGCTTCCTCCCCTGCGGCTTGCCGACGTCGCGATGGCAGATATCGTGGCTGAAGTGTCAATTTCCACTCAGGTGAGGATAAGGGGTAACTCAACTTTGGCGCGCTCTTAAAATCAGGAGAACACTGCGCGGCCTCTCTAGACTTGTCAAAGTCCAACATGGTGCATGATCTTCAGCCGCAGCCGCGATGGCTTGATGCCGAACTAACTCGCAACGTGGGATATTCCCAGGCGACTCGCTGGTGGCGTTGTGCTTCCTAATTTCACCTCAACCCGCCATCCTGGGTCCTCGTAAGATGTCCGCGGCGCCCGTTTCTGGAGTCTCTGGAACTATCGTCGACTGACGCGTGCGACTTTGTCCGTGGACCGTTGTCAATCTCTGTCTCACTCTATTGCCTATTCCGAGAATAGCAGTGCCACCCATCCTGTCGGGTGCAATCTTCATCCAGTCGTCCCCTAGCGCCTCTCACTATCAGATTCGCGGCTTCGACTCCTCAACAAATCCCCTTCCGCAACCCCTGTCGAGATAAGGCTGTGGTAGTCAAGCCGGATTTTCGCAATCTTCTCTGCGGACGCATGTCACCGGCAGCCGACAACCTCACCTCCACGTCCGCTTGCAGGTGCGTTCGAGCGGGCAACGTTGGGATCGCAGCGGTGACAAGCACGCCCCGCCCGCTTCCATGACCAGGATCCTTCCAGGGCCAGCCGTCCAGTGTGACTGGCAGCTTTGGCGGGAGACCCCTTGACGGCAGTATGCCGGCGACGACAGCCAGCATATCTCAGCTCCAGTCCTCTCTGGCCCAGCAAAGTACCCATTCTGATTGTGGTAAGAAACTGCTAGCTTGGCACGCTTGGTCTAGCTCGTCGGCGACATTCCTCGGGCACCCGGTAGTCTTCCGACCCACCGGTATGGGTGGATGGGTTGTGGGCACTCAGGATCGCGGGCGGATCCCCCGGAGAGAGAGAAAACGTGAAAGACCCCTTGTCGGGCTGTGGCCTGTGTCTATAGTTACACGAGTACCCAGGGCCAGGCCGGGCCAGACCCATACGAATTGGATACCTCAAAGGTTCCGCACGATGGAGAGGTGTTTGCAATCAACTCTGGCACGCGGGGTCCAAAAGATTCCGCTGGTCTCTGAGCACGTCAACGAAGTTGTCTTTCCCACATTGGCTAAGTAAATTAATTTTAAAATATAAAAAGAATTTTTTCAATACTTGTTTATAGTTATAAGGTACTGAACTTAATAGTTAGCCTTTTTAAGGTACGCGGCAGTCTGCTGAGAGCAGAAAAAGTGTAAAGAGGACCGGCGGTCCCTTGACCCCCGCGCGTCTGGCTAGAAGCAGGAAACAAAGCTCCATCAGCCCATTTTTCAAGCTGCGGTCATGGCGGCGTTTCTCCATCGTGTGTCCACCGAAACCCCCGAGACGAATCTACCTTTAGATTGCGGGACATCCCCTGCTTATAGCAATCACTCCGATATCTATCCCCACCAGGCATGTGTTGCAAGGCTGGTGCATCTTGAGACTTGTGGCGAGCTGAGGGATCAAATCTGGACAGGAATTGTAGTGTAGACGAAGAAAGGGTCCGTGGCATCTGCAGGGGATGTCAGCTTGACGGCGTGCATGATCCCGAATCAGATCGCTCATCGTCGACCGCCCACAAAGACTTGCTGCCGCGGTGCCGGTGTGGGACTCCCGATTTTTTTCATCTGGCGGCTCGCACCGAAGGTTCCTGTAACAAGGGAAACGGGAGTCCGAGCAGCCCGTGTCTGCGCTTGTGTCGCCTTTGTACCTAGGAAGAATAGAAGAGATTTGACTCTTTCCCGGCATGAATGGCATGCAATGGACACGCAACGGCGAGCGAGACAGCAAAGGTTCATATTCAAGGACCCCGTAGCAATGCAACATAACCTCCCCTCTGAGAAGCCCGGGAGACTCTGGTTGGAGAGAGCCCAAGTACCAATCCCTGCCGGGCGCACCTGTTTCCCAGGCACTCGCCCACCAGCCGAGGTCACATTTGGTGTGTTGGTGCGGGGCCCTCCATGTAGGTGGATGAGCGGGAAAACAGAACACGTGTAGGACTCCTCCAACGTGGTCACCGCAATGCGCCAAGACACTGCTGAAAAATCTTAATTCCCCGTCTCTAGCTGTTGATTCCCAGGTACCAATTCGCGTTTCTCTGAGCGAGTCCCATTGAATCATCATCATCACGGCACTTGTCCACTTTCGCCAGTCAATCAGATAGCTTACTCAAAACCTAGATTCTCAGTCTACTTCTCAAATCCTTTCTGTTCCCACTTCACTTGATGCGACGAGGGTCAAGATTGACGAACGCTTCCCTGTCGGAAACATTCAGGGCGCCTCCTTACCTACTGTCGGTGACTGAAAGTCGGGTATCCACTGCGGTAACCCCAAGGTGTCCACGGGCTCGTTCGACCTGAAGCTCACCTGCTCACCTCGAACCTGAATTTGTGGGTTCTACTACTTCTTTGGTACACGGACGGCTCACTCAACTCTTTGGAGATTTGTACATTGTAGTAGAGACAGAGACTTGGACGAAATCCTGCGTCTTGTTTCTCCCAGTCAATCGGGCTACCACCGTGGACCTACCTCCCCCATATTCACATCATCATCGTCATCATTATCACCTTTCATGATGCAGAAGGGATGGCAATTTCGACTCACGACCCATGGCGGATTCGATCCAAGACACATAAGGCGGCCACAATCAATCAATGTCCCCCTTCTCCGCCTCAGGCATGGGTCTTATAATGAGACACACTTCTCATACCCTCCCTGGTCTCATAAGGTCTTTCTTCAACTCTATATTTGAGGCGGGACAGTCTCACGCTCGTTCGGAAGGGCGGATTGTGATTCACCTGTGGCGTGCCCCCAGCTTGTACAGCCCGAGACCCTATTTCGAGAGGTGAAGCAGCCTAGATCTGTAATGTTCACACGTATCAACAGAGACAGACCCCGGGATTCTTGTGTATCTGTAACACTGAGTTCTCCGCCGCGCTGATGACAGCTGATGAAGTTCTCAATTTCTTTAATCAATCACAGGACACCTTGCCCAGATGAAAGGCCGACGTAAAAGACGCGAGGGCAATAGTATCTCAACTTTCATCTCCCGTCCATCGGCCACATTGTGATTGACGAGGTGAATAAAGCAAAAACTGGATGCTAGTAGAGCCCCCCCAGGCAGGGTGGCAAACAGTTCGCTTTCTGGCCATGGTCAGAAAGTAGCATTGCATCGCCAAAGAAGCTGGTAGCGACCAGGGAAACCAAATGTAGAACCCTCGACCATCCAGTCAAATGTGAGGGCGATTTGATGAGCTACGGCGGGATCCAAAGGTCCCCCTGTCTTCCGGCCCTTGATTCTTGGCTGTTTTGCTGCCACGCTGTCAGGTAACGAAAGGGAAGAAGGCGCCAATAGCCCGCCGCATGGTTGTCTTGCGGGGGCCCTTGTTGTGCGCGTACAGGTGTTGGCCGGGCGCTGTGATAAGCCCACCAGCCTGGAAGTGTCGCATATGCGTGAAGTGGAGGCGAGTGGCTGCAACGTCTGACAGCAGCTGGCTGGTGTCGGTTACAGTGGCAGTGATGATGACTGCATCGGCCATTTATCTGCCTTGAGTCTCGACGTGCAGGGTTCCAAAGTTGTCAGCAGTGGCATAGCTTCCATGTCAAAGCTGCCGCTTGACAATGTTGAGAGTAATCGGGTAGATTCACAGTAAACTCATAAATATTAACAAATATTTAACAGGGAAATTTTGGTTGAAGAAAGATTTCAAATTCATTAGATGGTAATAAGTTTGCGTCTCCCAATGTCCTACTCATAATCCAAGATATAGTCGTCAAGTATATGTGCTCAAAGCACCTGGGTTAGCATCCCAAGTTGGTATTCCAGAGTAATCGCCTTCCGTTGTAAAACCCGCACCGCGCGCCCATCATCTATCCCAATTGTGCATGTTGCCGTCTATATGTAACTGTGCGGAAAACTCCAAAAGAAAAACGGCCGTCCAAGTGAGTTTCTACAGATCCTCGTTGCCGTCGCACTGCTGCCACATGGAAACCTTCTGAACAGTGAGCTCGGGTTGGGTCCAGGTAGGGTACCACTGGTCGCGAGCATTCCAGAAATCCTTCTTGACGTTGGGGCCGTTTCCCACCCACGGCTTGCCAGACTGGCCATCCTCGAACCAGCCGTTGGTACCGCCGACAGCCACGTTAATGATGAGATAAAACTTCTGGTCAAAGGGGGTGTTGGAACGGCCAGTTTGACTCCAGACATCCTCTAGACGGGAACCATTGGAGTTGGTCTGGGGGAAGTCGCCACGCTGCCACATGGGCTCGTCAAAGTTGGTATAGAGGACCTGCAACAAACGGCTGTTGACGTAGGTGAAAAGGTACTTCTGGGACCATTCAAGCCCAAAAGTATTGAACTCATCACTATATGTCGTGTGCAGGGCCTGACGTTTGTTGTTGGTCCTCCACCAGGCATCGTTGGCTTGGTCGGGGCCCCAGTGCAGAGCAGAGGAGACAATGTTGTTACCACCCTGTGCATAGGTCCAGTTGTTACCGCGGGACTCCATGATATCAATCTCGCCCGAGAGGGGCCAGGCACCATAGGTATCCTCAACGGGCATCATCCAGATGGCAGGCCAGAGCCAATCACCCTTGGGGAGCTTGGCGACGACCTCGACGCGGCCATACTTGAGGGTAGCACCCTTCTTGGTGTTGATGCGGCCAGACTTGGTGGGGGGAACAATGGAAGAGTTGCCGGAGGTGGTGTTGGTAGCAGCAACACAGGCAGAGAACTCGGTAGAAGTGCAAGTTCCGTCCTTGAGCAGGTCAATCTCATTATCCTTCTCAATGAGAGCGGAGTCTTGGAGAGTGGGAAGGATGACCAAGTTGCCGTCCTTGAGGAAGACGTTCTCGCCATCGGCAGTGGTCTGCTGGAATTCACCGTTGCTGGAATGGCATTAGCGCTGTGCGGGGTGAGGAATGTGAGCGAGGCAACGTACCCAAAGCCGCCGACTTGCACCTCCTGAGTCCAGATGTTGCTGTCGAGACTGCCGCCGGAGAAATCCTCCATAAGAATGGGACAGTACTTGTGCTTTACGACACTATTGATTCCGTCCCAGACAAGGAAGCCAGAGACGGCGAGACCAATGAAGATACCGATAATAGGAATGATGGTGACCCATTTCTCCTTGGGGTCGGCCTTGTCCAACCAAGGCTTTTCGACATCCTCCTTGCGAATACGTCTCGAGTGGAAATACCGCTGGGAGCGCTCGTCGAAGCGGGCGCCAATGGCACTGGATGAGCCGAAGCTCGAGGCAGGTCGCGAGACGGCAGGCGTGCCGAATGGGTTTGTACCCATTGGGGTGCCGGCCATGGGGCCTCTCTGGGAAGCTTGCGACTCGATACCATCGCCAAAGGGATTGCGGCTGTTCTCAGTATTAGGCGTACCGGGGCGAAGAGGGGTTCCGGCGGCCGTGGTGGCCTGTGACGGCAGTCCAGCTGCTGGGCGGGAGTAGTAGCCCTGGCTGTACTGATCTTGATCCATAGTGTGTTATAGACGAGGGGTGAAGTTGCCGGAAGAGGTTGATGGCCTTGCGGCTTTATGTAGAAGAGTGCGTGTTCCTCACAGTGGCCAATGGTAAGTGAGCGAGGGTATAACGAATGTAGAACCGCCGATCGTGGAAAGCGAATGGTTTGCCAATTGTCACAATGCCAGTTCAGATGAGCAGACTCGTCAATGGCAGTGAGAAAGAGCGGCAGGAGAAAGATTTGTACTGCTCACAGCGGCGGACAAGGCGAAGGGGAGAAGAAAGAATCCCAGCTGGACATGAAGGAAAAGGCGAGACCGGGGAGGTAAAAGGCAGGTCAGGTCGCCGCCAACAGGAGAAGACGCAGGCAGATCAAAGGTGCTCCTGGGCGAGCTAAGATCAGGATGGCTAGGCGCGGGTCGGGTACCTCAGCCAATGTACTTTCCGCCGATTCTGCCATTGTGCATTGTGGCCCATTTTGGGAGGTACAGGACTTGATATCCGTACACAGTACGGTGTCAAGTGGGTGTCAAGAGGCAGTTCTCACACAGTATTTTGGCACACTCCAGGGCTTGACGGAAGCCATGTAGCTCACCGAGGCCCCTGGATCAGCCACAGTGAAAATCGATAGGCAAGACTGCACACTGTACGTACCGCAGTACTACCACACACCCCTCCGTCTCTTTTTGTCGCTTCCTCTTCCTCTCTCTCTTTTCCGCTTCCACTTCCTCTCCACGTCCCACCCACCTGCTCCCCCTACCCCCGGTGCCCCCGGTGCCACCTCCTCGACCCCCTTTCAGCTTGCCCACTTGATCGTTAACTTTGAATCCGGCCTTTGCTAGTTCGGACGGGGCCGCATTTGTTTCTTTCACCAAACACTTCGACGACGACAATCCTCGCCCGTTTCTTCGGCCTCCCCTTTGCCCTCACCTTGACGAACCCAGACCTGAAGCAATCCAGTCCCGCTTCGTCTGGTCTGGCCTCGCCGTTTGCCCAATATTACCACCCAAGACAGTCCCACAACACGTACGTATCCATCTCGGCGCTACCTGTTCAGCTGTCGCCATATACGGATAAACCTCTCGAAGATCAAGGATCACTATCTCATCATGCCATCCGGCACGGCCACCACGAAACCTCACTATTGAAACACTGCAGAACGCTTCGCCTTCAGCCCTGGACATATGATGGCAACATCACAAGTACCGACTGCTCTCTGTCTTCCCTCGGTCTCCGCCTGCCAGCACCACCCTTGGCCCTTGCCAGGCCCGCTTCCCGTCTTGCCGTGGTTACCTTGCTTCCTCGCGGCCAGAAAGCACTGCCATGAACAACAAGACGCCAGGAAAAGCAGCAAGAGATTTGCCCATGCGGCTTGTTATGGTGCGCTTGCTAGCTCGGTGGCGTGCATGCATCGGCCACTTCGCTCAACGATGCCCTTGTACCTGCATTAAAACCCCTGTTTGCTCTCCTGCTGGCCCCCTGGTCCCTGGTTTGGTCGTTGGTCGGACGAAGAAGAGATGATAAGAGATGCTACTTCTTTAGGACTAGATCTCAATAGCGTCCGACAGGATTGAGCCGGTTTTTCATGGCCCGTCTTGGTCCCCTCCTGGACTCCCTACCGCAATTTCCACCGTCACGTCAAGGCCGTCGCCATCGTGTCGCGATGGCGTCAAAGCTCAACTCAAATCAGCTCCTTCCAGGTGCCAGACTCGGCCTGCGTCGACAGGCCTACCGCGCGCCTGTGCTCTTGGCTTACGGCATCTCACCAAGAGCCATGGTTTTGGCCCGATACGAGACTGAGGAAACGGCGTTCAGCTGAAGTAGTGTAGGCCTCCCGGGGCCAAAGCCAACAGGCTCCATGTCAAAGAGTTGCAGAACATCGGACGATAATCCGTTGGAACACCAATGCTTTTGCTGTTGTAGCTACAGAAGGTTCATCTGCCAGACACATTCACCTCACGCAAATTTTCATCGAGATTTGGCATCACCAACTCTAGCCCAGCGGCCTTCTCCAAAGCGACCCAGGATATAACATTGACTATGTCCATGCCCTTTCCCTCGGAAAACCTGGGTGTCTGGATCGTGCTCTTTCCCAGCAGCTCGGACGATCCGCCTTGGAGCTGAATTCGACGATCGGCAAGGAGTGTGCTTCCAGCTCCCAGATGTTTCCCGAGGGTGGCGAGTAACACTTGAATCCAACATGTTTGATCTCGGCCTCGAGAATGCTTGTGCCGGCCCTGCCGCTGGCTGTACTATCGCACTTCCGACTCTGCCCTCAGAATCCTTAGTTTTCATCCTAGGTTATTCCACTGGAGCCATCTTCGGAAGATCGACGCCTCCGGAACGGACCCCGGCGAAGCGGCAAATGTCTTCCTTTCTCTTGTTGCTATCTTACAGCTGCCTCTACTAGTGGTCTAAAAAACTTGACTTGGGAGCGCTGCCTTTGTTGGCGTCAAGATATGGCAAGCCGTCTCTACAAAGGACAAGATTCGGCCTCGGTCCTGCTGACGCACAACGTCACATTCGGGGCACTTGCCGATTATCACGCAGGAAGACATCTGCAATGCAAATGTAGCTGGCAGGTTGGCAAGCTTCAGAAAAGCAAGAGGGCCGAGGACACTGCATCAAACATGCGTTAGCGTTTCAATATCGGCCAGTCGAGCTGCAAAGGCAGCTCTATACTGCAGTACGGCAATCCTTGATGAGGCCATGTACGAAACATTGGGGTTTTCTCATTCGACGGTTTGGACCATGTCCATCACATTGGGCTTCCTCTATTGAAGCTCAACGGGCTCTGATCACATCGGGCTTTTCTTTTGGTAGGGAATTCTCTCCTGCGGCAGTACCCCTAGCTGAACCCGCTCCGCGGAGTCGGTATGTCTCGATGTTTTGGTTACAGCACATGAGTTGAGCTCTTGTCACACGGGCTGTATGTGGCACGCCATGGAACCACCACTGCCATATCAACACACGAAGTCATGTTACACACGAAGCCATGTTACACAATCATCCGTCGCTTGATAGTCTGCTGTAAACCGTTGTAGTGTTCATGGTGTTGATGGGAGACTTCAACACGTCCCCGCCAACTATACCTAGCTAGACCGCCGCTGCGCCGTACTATCATTCGCAATACGGTTATCTTTGCCACGCATCTCAAGGAGCTTTGTCGACGTTGCATTGAGGTCTGACGACTGAAGGTCTTGCATCGCAATGAGCCCATGGGCATGTTCTTTGAGTATTTGGTGTGGTGGCTGGACGAGCCAGTCAGTCGCCGCACAAGCTCATTGACCCCGCCTTTTGCTGGCCGAGATGGCTGCCCCTCCTTCTCGTGTTCTACGTTGGCTTCGATTTTCCCCGGCCAGTCAGGCGTGCAGCTCGCCTAAACGGTTATTTTAGGAATAAGGCGTCTGCACTGAGAAGGCAAGAAACCCCAACCCTCCCGACGCCTCCCCCTCTGCCCACCACGTCAAGCTGCGCAAGTCTCGCATTGGGGTTGGCCTATGACTGGTGACCTGTGGTCCAATCGCGGTGACCTCGCAGCTCACAAGTCTCGTCGTTATCTGGTGGCAGAGTACCAAATAGAATGTATGTTTCAGTTGAGGCAACGGCCATAGGAGCAACGTGTCGTCGCCAGTATCCAACTTCTACAAAGCAGTCGTTGACGGCCGTTTGTGTGGCTGATAGATACGTTGTTATCGAGGGGCATACAGATTGTTGGGTGGCTGGATGGTTGATCAATCTAAGTCATCTGCAGCTGTGCCAAGGCAGAATTTGTCCTTTTGGTCGGGAGCAACCCTACATAGATCAGAGCGCTTTTATTTGCTGCAGACAGACAGGGTACTCTGCATGCAATGCATTAACGCTTTACGAAAGGGCTAGAGCGACGAAAGGCCCAAACCCTGGGCGAGCTGGACAACGGAGCATGCATTCTTGCCACGCCACGAAGCAGGGTTTTGTCTACCCGGGGATCCGACTGATGTTGGGTATGCGCTGGCCGGTTGGCAACTGGGAAAGTGTGACGACTGCAGTGCGGCGAGATGCGGGCCTGCGGCGGTGGCCTTGGGTTACTAGCCGAATTCATAAGATTGTGCTACTGGATTTGTAGAGAATGCTTGGACTGAAGGGGGGAGGGGTGGTTTGGTGGAAAGTAAATATGTTGCTACAAATCAGCAATGGCTTTGAACTTGAGCCTCATAACACACAAGATGTGAGGTTGGGCGGGTTGGAGAGCTTCTCTTGCCTAACCAATAGCCTCTTTGTACGGCACAGCGAAATGTACGAAATGGTTCAACTCTGGCGATGATGTCGAGCTGAACAATGACTGGTACAAATCTCGTGAAAAAAGCTTGACCTTGAACATGTATAGAGCATAGAAGTCCATCTCTGCTGCTGCTGCCTGCATTTCCTTGACGATGCTATTCCAAGACTAGAATTCCCAACCCAAGTTGATTTGTACTCGCTCTGAGTTTGCTGGTTTTGCAGAAGCCCCGCTGTATAAGTCGGAGGATAGCGTGACAACCCCTCGACCGAGATGTTATCATCTCTTCTTACCTTCAAGTTTACAGAAAAGGTCTCCACTTACACTATAGCTACGCAGAGGTGGAATAGAGGTGTATCTCACGTTCGTGATAGTCCAATAGATCCATCTTGTCTACCTACCTACCTACCTATGTGGGGAAGGTTCAGGAGCGTAGTGATCAAATGACTTGTAACGCAAATGCTTCGAAGAACACAGTGATATTGAACCCATGAAGACAATCCTCATTAGTTCACATCTTTACATTGAAGTTGTCTTTATGAAAATCTGCCTACCACAGTGAGAATGATGGCTGTCTGGATAATTAGGGTGAGAGCGAGGAGTGTATGACAATGAAGAAACCCTTTCCCAATCTTCAACACAGGAATTGGAAATTGAAGTTCAAACCTCGGTTGCTTGAGGCTTTGACAGGCACTTGGCTTCGATATAAATAGCCCGTGCTGAATCATTGGCAACATCTGATTGCGAGTAGCCAGCGACAGGAAATCTTGAAGAATGCCACTTACATCCTTGGGAAACCTGGACCTGGATCCAGGTTATAGAATCTGCCTTGCCAGATCACACAGAGGCTTTGGAAGTGGACGCAAGAGGGGACTAGGTGAACGGTGAGTTATCTTGCCGTTACAAACGGAAGAGTAGTTTTTGCTGCAATCAAAAGCACCTTGCTTCTCGACGTTGTGCTCTATGAATCATAAAAGGAAGCCTGAAGTCCGCCAGGCACGTCACTCGCATCATAACTCGTTGCTGCGGGGCATCGGACTGCGGCCATTCATCCTGTCTTCCAACACTCAGTCTCATTTATTACTAAGGTATACTATCTTCATCTTATACCGTGGTACTAACGCCTCAAACTAGCCGTCCAGACAATCGACCCCCACAGATTCAGCCCTAAGCCAATGCGGCAAGCCCCGCAAGCAGAGCCGCACCAGCAGCCACACCCGTTCGCACCGCCGCGCCGGGGCTAGTTGTGGTCCGAACCCCCGTCGTAGAAGACCTCGTCGAACTCGCCGCCGTGGGACTACTGGAGGTTGTCGTCACGGGGCAACTGACGGTACAGGGGATCGCCGTTGTGAACGGCAGCCCAGAGCCCGAGCTCTCGGGGTAGGCGGGCGGCTGGGTGACGGCGCTGGGGTTGGGCGTCAGGGACGGGGCATCCGGATTCAGCACGTTGTCGATGATGTGCATGATGCCGTTAGCGATGAGGATATCTGGCTGGATCACTTGAGCTGAGTTCAGGAAGAGGTTATTGCCGGATCGGATGACGCTCAGGTCCTCTGTAGCTATGGTGGTGAGGTTGGTGCCGTTCTTCAGGTCCGAGGAGGCTAGGATCTGACCAGGTACGACGTGGTAGTTGAGGAACTTCTTCAAGGCATCTTCGTCGAGGTTATTCAGGGAGCCGGCGACGCGTTGGAATGCCTCGTTGCGGGGCGCAAAGATTGTGACGTTCTTCTCCTCCGCTATCGACGGGAGGAGTTTGGCGGCGTACAGCGCGCCGAGGAAGGCTGGGAGCTTGAACGAGTCCGTCGTATTCTCCAGCCTGGCGGGCGGGATCAAGAGATTGTCGACCACCTGGATGAGACCGCCGGCGAACTTGATGTCCCCCTCGACCTGGGTGGTGCGAATACCCTCGGACGAGGTGAAGACAATGACGTCGCCCGGCTGCTTGTTAACGAGGACGTTCTGCCCCGTGGTCACGTTGGTCCAGGCTTTGTTTAGAAGTAGTGAGGATCGGAGCACCGAGGGTCCCGATTCAAGGGCGCCAGTTGAGACTGTGCCCTGGAGGATGTGGTATTCCAAGATGGGGACTGCGATTGATGCGTCTGATTCGTTCCAGATTCCGTTTAGTTGGGTGCCTGGGATGTTCTCAAAGGCAGAATTTGACGGCGCAACAATCTGGGTGTTGTATTAGCACTGATGGAGGAAGTTTTATGATTGCGTGCCCAGGAATAAAGACGCGGCTCGAAATCGAGTGCTAGGACAACCTACTGTGACACCATCGTAGTTCGGAAGTTTGAGGATTACTTCGGGGTATTTCTGTTCAGAGTCAGCAATTATGGCTCTTATCTACCTGAATCTCTGACTCGTAGTCATAGGGACTCATGAAAGAAATCCCAGGAATTCGAGGCTCGCCTTGATCAAATTATAATACGTAGACAGGTTTGATTGTGATTGAAGAACGCTCCCAAGGTCGTCTTCTTGGGCAGCGACGGGGTTCACCAAGGACAAGAGACCAAAGAATGCAGCCTGAGAAAGCGCCGGTAACATCATCGTAATTGGGCACAGTGAGGTGGAATAGAATTAGAAGAGGGAGAAAACGCCTGAGCTACTCAGACGATGGCGGAAAGCCTCAGTTGATGTCGAGACTTCCTCACAATGGATCTGTCACGAAAGCGCGAACAACGGCAACACGGCACGGAGCAGAATTCCAAAACCCGACGAGAACAACCGCAGCAATAACGACAACATCGGAAGTGCCTTTCGGGAGAGGTATCGGCCCACTGGAGAAAGGCGAGCCGCCTAAAGAGGCTGTGAGCGCCTGCTGCTCGACCAACGATGGTTACCCTAAACCCTGGGCTGCATGTATTTGTCGAGCCCCTGGGAAGGATCTTCTGCATCGGACTGGGGCAAGGCGACGTCGCGACACCGGGAGGAGGTTCTTGGCAGAAAGCCACGGAGAGAGAGAGAAAGCGTTACTACTGTTACAAGGTGATTGATCCCAGGGCGTGGATGAGATTTGTGTCTTGCCGACTGGAACAACTCATAGAAACACCCAATATACGGTGCGTCAGTAGCAGACCGCCTGACGCAGTAGCTGAGAGAAAACCCGGAGTGATTTGTGTCAAGACTCGGTTTGGGGCATGCCAACGTCAGCGTATCTCAGCATAAGACGAATTCTGCTGGGGCACTCGGAAATAAGCATGCCAGAGATGGCTCTATTGTCCGAGAACGAGACCAACCAAGATTTACTTACCGTTACCGTTGATGAGCCCGAGGCTCGAGAGATAGCGGGCGGAAGCCGGCAACATGAACCATCGGTAGCCAGTCAATCAACCAACCGCCCAGGGGCCAGGGGCCAGGGGCGACTCGGCGAGACAGACACCCATGTTGCACGTCCACACGTCTCCATGCAGCCCTGCATGGGAAAGTAACACGGCCAAGAAGAATAAGAAAGGACTGGCAGGCAGAGGGTGGCATTTGCCCACGTTCCCGGTCCAGCACATCAGGCCCCCTCTTGATAAGGTAAAACAACGGTTGCTTCTTGGGCTGGCATTGTCATTAGAGGACACATTGGGGCTGAACCTGTCGCGTGGTGGACGACAGTGTGATGCGAGTGTTGCCTTCGCAAGCTGTGCAGTTTGCTGAGAATCATTTCACTTTGAGGTCTCACCAGGTGTCTCGAATGGATCAGCTTCTGAATTACAAGGTTAAAGTTGAATAGAGTTTAAGTTAGTACGTGGTCCTCGCTTGTCTGTGGAACCACTGCCCTCTCAACAAGATCCAATGCGCAGCGAGTGCCCATCGACACTGGAAGCGATTCTGGCTGGGCTGCCATTTTGACCAAGGAATTTCTTGCACCTTATCAAAAAAAGTGATACGAGCTTCCTCACCTGCCTGGCCGAATTCGAGACACTGCACGGCAAGGTAGCGCATCCGGCAACTTCATCCAAGGATTGCCTTGGCCAAGGTTACACTTTTCGTGCTCCCCCCTCTCCAACACCGCCAACACGAGCTGCAGTGCAAGCAGCGTGGATCGCAACAGCCAACGAAATTGGAGGCTCGACTGAGGCGGTCGCTGCAGAAGCACGTCGCGAATCCCAGTCGGGAGCATCGCATCTGCGGTCTCCCACGGGAACACGAGATGCAGTTCAATGCAAGAAAGCCCCCCCCCCCCAGTCCTTTGGCCCTGACCATGTTGCGCCCTGCCCAACAATGCCTTGCAGGGGTCTCTCTCTGATGGAGTATTCCCACACACTGCCAGTGAATCCTCGCAGCGCCACTTGTGTGCCCGTGCTCTTTTGATCGTTGTTCTCCTTGCCGTGACACCGTGAGCAGTGGCCTACTTACCTAGAGATGGCGACAAGGCTCAGTTGACTTAGTCTTCACTTGCTGGCTCCTCACTATACGATCAGAAGTTTATGATCCGGTGCAAACATACGACCATTAGAAGTGATACGGGGATCAACATGATTGAACGGAGGAGCTGTTCTACCAAAGCTTTCGGCAGTGATTCCGTCGGGGATTGACCACTATCCAGCGCCTCAGAAGCGACTTCATCCTCTGGACATGTTTGTTTCTCCTTCGGTGCTTCGGAGGCAACTCCCGACGAGTAACCTTCCTCCGCCGATTCTCCCGCCGGACCTGGCCCACATTTGCCGGCCCTTCGGCCTCGTCACCTCCAAGTGTCCTCATGAACAAACGTACCTAACGCATTAGCAACGGCTTAATGTATCCGTTGATATGTGTCCCTCATACATATTGTATCTACAGGCATGCTTCTATCTACAAAAGTCTCTGGTTCGGTCTCAGTAGGGGTTCCTTCTTTGTGGGATTTCATCGCGGGGACGAGCACAAGGCCTGGATCATAAACATGTCTCAGTACAATTACCTGTATCATACTCAAATCAAGATTCTGCCTAAAAAATAGTCTATGGTTTTGCTTGTCAGTGTCAACAACGGTATTCGTGGGCTGGTTTGGCTTCAATTGAGATCAAAACCTCCGTTCTTGTTGATGATGAGAATAGGCAGAAGAGTTTTCTGCTGAACAATTGTGTCAAGAGGGCCGGCTGCCTTCATCATCGCGCCACGACAAGTGTTGCTAGACTGTAAACCATAGAGGGAGGCCTATTGTCCTGATGCAGCATTCTTCATTTCGAGGAAGGCTCCATATTCTGCTTTCAAGACCATGGCCCCGATACGTCTTGATATCTCTGGTCTTGACAGATATTATATGAAGGTAGCGATGTCCAAAAACTATGAAACGATCCATCTTGCTTGCCCTGGCTACCCGAGCAATGATTTGAGTACTGAATTCATGTAGTCAAGCACGAGATAGATTGTAGTGAACCTTGCCGCTCCCATACATGCCCCGCAGGGAGTACGGACAATCGAGTATGGGGGCAAACGGTGGCAGGAAACATACGCATTAGCAACCTCGTCCTTGGCTCCTCCCCTCGAGTCTTGTCTCCTCGGATCAAGGAGTAATCGGATTCAGGTTATGACTTGACCACTATCCAAGATGTAGTGATATCATCCCGATATCAAGTGAGGCAGAAACATAGGCCTTGGCAAAGAGCATATGGTATTCTCTATAGTAGCTACTGCAATGAGGTGGAATGATACCTCCGGTTGGAGGCTCGCTGGTGCCATGTATTCCTCTCTGCCGGAAACATAACCACGACGTGTTTTTGCCAGCTCCTATGCATATCAAATGAGGAGTGATGGTGTTGATCTCTTAAGTTTCAATTGCGGAGCGATAGAGATGTGTTCAAAAGAAAGGCGATAAAAAGAAAGCGGCTGACTGTGACCGGATCCTACTGGAACAGAAAGAGGATGGTTTCAACTTCAACGCCTCGGCCCATGTGCCGCCGGCCACTTGGACTCTCTCTCTACCTGCCATGAAGAGACGATCGAGACAATTTACAGAAACTCATGGAACCTGCCGACGCTTCAGCATCACTCCAACTCAATCTCCTCACAATTCTCACTCCGATCGCTTGCTGAACTATGACTCTCGTCAAACGATCCGCAATGATAGTGGCCTGTATTAGCATACGTTTATTCTGTCGAGGTGCCCAGTAACGAATACCCGTCCCAGCATCAAATGGTAAAAGAACTAATCCTCTTGAAACCTCAGCCATGGCTTATATTCGCTAATGAAAAACCCAACTATGGCAGAAACTTTCCACTTCGCCTCCCTGTCGTGTTGACCACAGCCATGCTGAGCGGCGTTGCCCATTCTTGTCAATCTGACACGGGGGGCACAAAGAATGAGATCCAGGCAAATCAAATAATGGCACCAAATTCTCAGGGAACATTACTATCATTTATCTGGATCATGTAGCATGTATCACATAGAAACATTGCGAATTTCAGCGAACTCCATGATTTATTCTACCTTGGACGAGAAAAGCTACCGAGGCTACAAATGCGTGATACGAATGGAGAAAAATCTGAAATCTTGATTGTCGACTGCCTAATACTAAGGGAAAAGGAAAATGTGATGCGTTTTCTCTTCGCAGAGAATGCAGGTCTAATGATGCTTTGTGTGGACTGGTCCCGTGTTGGTTTCTTAATGCTGGTCTGGAAGAAAGGGGGAACGGGAAAGGGGGGAAGGACAGAATGAGAAGGAGGTTGAAGGGAATGAGAAGTACAAGAGCCAAAGAGAGAGAGAAGAAAGAAGACCAGTCTCGATTGAGCCAAAGAGGTGAGGTGAGAAGGGGTACGAGTTCCATTTCTCTGTTCATAATTCGCGTGCCATCATTGAGATCCCAGATAGACGAGGACCGCGCCTATACCTTGATGCAGTAAGAAATCTCCAAGATGGCCGCTTAGTAGAGTTCTGAGGCCTCAGTAGCTGCGGCACCGACGACGCGCGTTTCACAGCCGGATCCTCGACCCGCGACCCAGCTGACTCAAAGGGTCCTGCGGTCGTCGTAGAGCGCCCATCGATAGCCGAGGAGGATGCCGCGGTGCCCTGTTCCTGGCCAGAAGCGAGACCCGTCGACTTCTTTCTGCTCTCCTGGTCCTCGACGTGTGCGGTCACGAACAACATGTTGGACGTATTGATGTAGATTGGAGAGTCTCCAAGCTAGTTGTCGTGACCTAAATGCTCCCAATTTAGGGGCTCGGCGGGGGCGTGGGCACATCCGGGCGAGGGCCGAAAGGGCCGGGACGTGGACCAGGTGGTGGGGTCGGAGGGGCCGTGGGCAATTTTTCAATGGGACGCAGAGGGTCGTCGTGAGGACAGCTTGATTCTTTTTCTTCCAAGCTTGAGTAGACGCCTGAATCCTCGTCTGAGATGTAGGCTGGGACGTAGTCCTTGTCAAAGATGTTTGAGTACATTGAGGACAACATTGTTGGAAGGGCTTTGCTTGGCGGGTGATTTTATGGTGCGGTCTTGTTGGAGCTGTTCAGAATTTGGGGGCCGACTTTGGTAAATCAGAGGAATCAGAGACGGTCTGTTTAGTGACTGAATCAGTGAGTGCTGAGGGTCTTGGAGTAGTTGATGGTTGTGAGGGTAGACTTCTGCCATCTGAGACATTCAAACTAGATGACAGCCGCCTCCTATATACCTCTTCACGAACCCTACATGAGGCTCTGCCTATACACAAACACATACGCAGACCATAGACCCTCCACAACGTCGAATGTTGCCCAGCTAGGCCGCGGAGCTTGTCGATACCTCCGACACCATTTCCTCAAAGAAGTCGAACAGCAACTGACCTGGCGCTAAGCGCGAAGATTACTGCCTTGTGTGACGCGACAACCAGAGCTCCTCTGCCAAGCATCGCGTATGACAAGGGGTGGAATCTGAAAGGGTCACACATATTCCACACTCCCTACCCGTACCCGCAGGGGTCCCAAGCCGCTTATGGCAAGGCAAGTCGAAGCACATACAGCCCGCCGGTCAGGCTCCCAGGAACCGGGAACGGCCAACCAGATTGGGCGAAAGGCTCCCAAGAGAGTGGGTAGGAAGGGTGCCCCCGCGGGTAAGGAACAGGCAAACATGGCAGTGAAGGGGTGGGTGGACATCTTACTCCAAGATGGGCACGGCAGGGGTCGGGTGTCGTATATGACGGTGCTCGCAAGTCGTCAAGGGCGTGGGATGCCAGCGGCGGACGCGGGATCATGCTTCGTTGAAAGCCGTTGTGTAACCAGTCCAGTCAGGCAACAAGTCATCACCCGGCTGATGGTCCGAAGGAGTTGAGAACCTCTTGCTTTACTTACTGCCAGTAACTTGGTACTATGTCCGGCAGTACCAGAAGGTATTCTAGGCTTGCTGCCTGGCTGCCAGTCGTCGACCGAGGGAGGGTGGTAAGAGTCCTGCCGAGATTGTCCATCATGTGAGCGCCTACGTCCACCGGTGTTTGGTTCCGGATCGCAAGCATGTCGGGGCCGGCCGAGCGGACAAGGCAGAACACGTAAGTTGAGCAGAACAAAAGGCCTGGAAGGACACTGAGAGGCTAGGAAACGGCCCCCAACTAGGAGGCTTGGGACAGAGAGGCGATGGACGCGGGGCCACTCAGCCCAGCGTTGTGTGGCTCACATGGATTTTGTCCAATCTACATCCAGTGAATTTGCTGTTCCAGAACGGGTTGTGGAGGGTAGGCGAAATGAAACATGGCCACGCTGACACTGGGACAAAATGAGCACCAGGGGGAGATGAGAAGTCCAAGATGTCCAGGCCGCAAGGAAGCGGTCGACGCGAAGGACGCTGTGAGTACGTTTTCCGGTCTAGCGCAGAGCCGACGGGGCGGATTCGGCCACACCCACAACCCACGTTGTTCCACGCTTTCCACCCAACAGGCTGGAGCAGGGCGAGGGTGTAAGTCCATAGGGCTGAAGGATGCCGATGCTTTGTCAACCGTTGAACGACGACGTTGTCCAAGCTTTATGGAGTACTAGAGCATGGCCGAGAATATTCTGCCGCATTTACGGCGTTTCAGTCTTGATCAACCCGGTGAATCATCGACCCAGTGTTGTAAGGCAGTCGACCAAGTCAAGATGCGTTTGTTTGACCTATTTGGTCTTTTTAGCCCAGGTTAGCTTTCTCATAAGTGTGCTATGTGGGGAATTGACTGGGGTTAAAGACAGTCAACAAACTCACAACGACGGAGTTCCCTCTGCGCCGCACCCATTGCTTGGCTCGCTGCCACCCAAGTGTGGGTTGCGGCATGGCGAACATGCCGTAAGACTATTGAAAGCAAGTTTCTTGAGTCAGAGAGAGCCATTTACTCGTCAAGATCGCGGGTGAGCTGTGTTGAGTAGGGGGTCACTGTCGGCTGCCCCGGCTTTAAACCCCCTGCTGCAGACCAGTTGCAGCCCTTTGTTGGGGGGTTAGGGCGACAGTAGGCGATAGAGCAGGGTTACTCAACAGCCGAGACATTACCATCTTGTACCCGGCTGGCTGTTATGATGCTGCTGCCGCCGCCGCCGCCGACGGTGGTGCTTCTCGTGGGTGAACCGGCTGGATGGTTGTAAGGCGTCAGGCTGGCGGTGTGTGCGGAGTTATTGGTGTGATGCCTGCGTGAACGAGAGTTCCCGGGGGCCCGTTGCCCCTCATCCCAGTATCGGGGTCAGCTCTATCGGCTTACGATTGGCTCCATTGGCTACCATGACGACTTGCATGTTGCGTGGGCCTTTTCAGCATCAAATGAGGTTGCGCATTCAGCTATGTTGTCAGCGTGCTCGAAACCAGGCCCTTGGAGTTTGTGTAACTCAGAGGATGAAGAATCTCGGTCGACCGTCGTAAATTGTGGCGGGCCCAAGGTACTGTGCATGTTCTTTCCAGACATGCCCTCATGACGATATCCGAAATGATGGCATTCGCAGTAGCGCCGTGATTTCCCCCACTTCGGCGTAAGCAATCGCACGGCTTGGTCAGAAAGAGTCGAAGTGGCCCCTCGCTGCCTGCTGCCTCGACGTCGATTCGCCCTGTGGGAGTCAAAAATAACCATGTCTAGAAGAAGCTGACTCAACAACGAATCGCTGTGAAAGGCGTTATGAACACAGGCAACGTCTCTTGATCTGCATCTTTTGGAAGGTCAATCGGGCGGAGACCAAGATAGATGTGTATTGTCAAGTAGTGTAAGCTCACCTGATGCCAAACGAAGCAGCATCCACTTCTCTGCCCGATCATGCAATCTGGCGCGGCCGCCAAAGCAGAATCCGGACAAATCTCGCCCTTGTGTAGACGTGAAGAATCCTGGACATGGCCGAGAACTTTGTCGAAAGCATAGGAACCTTTGAGAACAGTACTGCGGGAACGGCTGGCAAGACTCCACAGGAAAATGCGCTCATCGGGTTGGCTCTATCCGCTGAAGGATTGCGGCAAAGGCGAAAAGCACCGAAATTAGACTGACCGATCTGCGAGCCACGCCCTCCCATTCGCCATAATACAGCCCAATCAGGCTGTTCAGAGCGACCGAAACAATCAAATCGCGTTCCCAATTTGCACCAGACAAAGTTGCGATGCAAGCCTATAGGCAACCTCAATCCACACGCGGGGTGGTCACTTGACGACTGCAAGCTTGTTCGATTAGTGATCAGTGTAAATAAATTAGCTCTGCGAGCCGAGGATGTCAAGGATACACAATGAATTTCGCATAGCAGGGCAGGTTCGCCCTCCCGAAATCGAGTCACCAGTCGAGGTAGGACGAAAAGACATGTGTCAAGGTCCGGCAATCTAAGCATTCGTCTACGCAATATTAGCTGAGAATACGTGCAGGCAAGATCAGGTCTTACGGGTTGACTGAAGTGCCCACGCCCGCCGCCCGCCTGCCCTAGGGTATCCCAGCCGACTTTTCCTCGTTCCTCATAACGCCTGATAGAAAGATCACAAACCACCTAATCTCGCCCAGTGGCGCTTCAAGATTGGCTCATCTATATCCACGACCGCCGCCGCCGCCGCGACCGCCGCCACGATCGCGGCTACGGCTTGGAGACCGGGATCGACGGCTGTCGTAACTATCGTAGCTGTCTCGACTCGGACTTCTTCTTCGGCGGTTGCGGTCGTTACCGCGGCCACCACCTCCACGTCTCGGAGGTGGCGATGGTGATCGAGAGTATGATCTTGAACGGCTTCGGTATCTGCTTCCACCACCACCTCTGGACGGAGGAGCAGCCATGGGAGATCGGCTTGGGGAACGTGAGAGCGAACGGGGCCGATAGGTGTCTGATCTGGGGCCGAAACGAGCCTGAGGTGGCGATGCACCCCGTCGGGGGCCGTTCTGACCGAATGGCCCGGGTCCGCTTCCTCCGCCGCCGTGGAATCCGCCCTGGGCCCTTCCACCTCGACCGCCTCTAGCATCGGAGCCTCCGCCACGTCGAGCCGCAGGAGGTGCTGGGGACATCTTGCGCCGAGGGAGGACAATTGAGACGTTGATTACCGCGCCATCAAGCTGTGCCTCATGCATATGGGCGATGGCTAGGTTTCAGCCCGACGGCATCGACACTATGAGAACGATCGAAAAGCACAGCATTTTCTTATTCCGTTGACCAGGACTCTCCCCGAGATCAGGTCCGCCAGATTACCCCAGCGCCTGGACTACAGGGCAGCCTAGGACGACCTAGTCTAGCAGCGAGCAAGGAGTTTGGAGCGTCAAAAGATCGCCTAGCTGGCGAAGCACAAGCACTCCCGCTCGTTTGCCTTGCCCACATGGGGAGTCTGTGGGTACAGGCAACAACAAGCCCCCGTAAAAGGAGCGACTGAAAGGTGAAGATCACCCCTACAGCAGCGTAGCATCTTCAGGCCCGATAGGGCTTCTTTGATTGATGGCGGTACGTGCTCTCGCCCGGTTAAAACCCGAACGCTCTTAATCAACAAGGAAGCGGACTCGGAAAGAGAGCGTTCACATTGACGCAAACCTGCCGAAGGCGGCCAGGTGTGTATGGTTACCAGGTTTCTGGTGAAGAATGGCTTCTTTTGTTCAAGTAGCGCAAGCTTTGGCGCCGGTATCCTGCTCAAGATTGTTCCATCATGCCGAGACGCCAAGGGTGAAATGAGACGGCATTTTAGTCCCAAAGAAACCGCTTGCCTTGTCTCTTCGACAGAGTATGATGACAGTCCACCAGTTTCGTCCCTGGTCGGTTCATCTTGCTTTGCTGCCTTTGATCCTGGTCGCTTAGCCCTGCTCGGAGGCCACGAGATGAGCGTTCGGTCCCGAAGTCAAGCCGGACGAGGGGCACTCTCGCAAACAAGGGGGTGCGGTAATGGATAGGGCAAGGGGGGAGGTGACGAAGTGAGCCTGCAAGGGATTCGATTAGGATGCCTCCTTGGGTGTATGAACGGCGACCAAAAGACTTGGAGGCGGGGCAACCCAAGAGTTACTTGCAGTCACGTCGAAGATGGTTGCTGGTAGGCTCGGATCGCAGCCTGTCACCGATCCACGGTCTATGTGACAAAAGAGAGTTGTGCAACCACACGTAAATAAGCCATTCTTCGATCAAGAGCCTCCGGAGCACGGCCGTATATTTCGCCAATCGACTTGTCTCACAGAGGGCGTCTATTGAGTAAGTATTTCATTCAGTGTCTTCACTTAATAGATGTTTCCAAGTAACGTAGCCATCGTTCGTATCCTGAGGACGGCACAGTACGCCATGTTGGCTAAGAACAACTAGGTTGCGTATAGCCACCTCACCGAACGCGCGCCTAGCGCCAATCTCTTGCCTGTAGATGTCAATTCCATGCGCTTCGCCTTGGTATTCTCACTGCTGCCCTGTAATGAAGTGTTCGGCCACCATACGTTCGGTGAGCATACCCCTGATCCTATTTCCCGACCTAGGTAATACAGATTCAACTTTCAAATCTTCCCTGTCCCGACCGTTTTTCAATGTCAAGCCTCTAGCTTCAGTGTCAGAAATCGGTGCAGCGAGTAATCTTGTCGATTCCTTCCCGCGACAAACCAGAATGCTGCTTCAGATCTGCTCCTCTGTCCGTTGTTTTCTTCCTCTCAGTGGCTGACAGTGAACAGCCAAGGACCACTATGACCAGCCGCATTCGTATCGGCAACATTTGCGAGCCAAGGTGCAAACCAGGCAGAAGACAAGAGCTGAACGCCCTTTACCCAGTCAGCTGAGTTGGACTTCCACTAGGGCAGGGTAGCGGAGAGCACATCGGACCATGGTCAGGGCGGGATCTTGGTCTGGTGGTGGGGTCTAAGGGCGCTCCAGTCATACAGCGCATATCTGTCACAAGTCAACGGCGGCCGCCCGTCTTGACTAGGATAAGCAGCATAGTATCAAGTGCCGGGTTCATGACAGTTGGGGGCCGTCGATGTGGCTTTCGGTAGGACTGTCAACGCTGACCCTGAGTGTGATCCTTCGGATTGAAACCAGGCGCCGCTAGCTGGTCATAAACGTCTCGCGGAAGTTGTCGGATGTTGCTTGGTGGGTTCCAGGCGACTCCGTTCATATTTCCTCCCTCCTTATCTGCGAATAGCTTCCAGGTGTTTTCCTCGTGGGTGATGTTAATAGTCGTCATGGCGGCGACCACGGCGTGTGACTCTTTGCAGATCCCGGGGTCTTCATGTCTGTCCGAGGCGGTGACGGTCTCTATCTATCAAGGCTTACAGTTTGCTGATCACTGTGTCAAATTTGGGCGCATGGGTGAGTTGGAGGAAACAGAATGAGCCAAGTGCATATCTTGGAAGTATCAGCCGACATTTGCTGTCTATGGTTTCGCTCTACTCGACAGATGATGTCGGTGAGTGATGTGGCTCACCCTGCTGCGATCAAATTAAAAATAAACGACACACACTGCGATTGATCTGAGGGAGGGTAGACCCGTGAATGACTCCGACTACCTCCCCCGTTGCCGGGGCTGTGGCTGCAGACTGCGGGATGTCACAAGTCAGGGCAGGTGGGGGACGTGTACAGATGCCACCAAGTGCCTGGATTCCGATGGAGAAGGCTAGACTAGTGACCATGTCTATTTCCATTCCTTTGCTCCCATCCGTGAAGACAAAGCTTGGAAGACAGAGAGAAAGAAGGGGGAACAGGGAAGAGGCTAGCAAGGACGCAATCAAATTTAGCATCTCAGGCCAGCATGTGTCGCATGAAGCGAAGGCAGGGATGAACTACAACACTGCGATGATGCAGACTGAGGGGGACGCCCACACATCTCGAGTCCGAGGTGGTGGTTTGACCAAAAGGACCCGGTCAACCGACGCCCTCCCCCACTTCCAGCGGAGCGCAGCCTTCTCCCTTCCCCAACATCATTGGTGTTGCAGGAAGCCCGGCTTCATCAGAGTGCCAGATCCAGGCGTCGATCTCGACCAATGCGGAGAGATGTTTGCTGGCGCGGCTATGGGATTGGTGGCTTTGCTCTTGCGGTCAGGTTGTCCTGCATTGAAGTTGGAGGGAGGTGCCCACCGTACCAGGGTCGAGTCTCAATACGAGAAGCGTGGCAGGTGTGGGTGGCTGTTCCCCGATTTTTTGGGGGCTATGTTCTTCTTCTTCTTCTTCTTCTTCTTCTTCTTCTTCTTCTTCTTCTTCTTCTTCTTCTTCTTCTTCTTCTTCTTCTTCTTCTTCTCCTTCTCCCTCCTTGTTCCGTAGCGATATGGTGATGTTTTGCGATACCTCTCGCGCATATTTGATAGGTGAGACAGCAGATTGAGATTTGGGGAAAGAAATGGGGCCCAAAGTTCCTACCAAAGATGGGACGATCTGTGCGTCTTTGGACAGGGGATCCATGTCCACGACCCGCTGAGGCTGAACCAATAGGGTTTAGTCTGGTTGCTAATCTCGACGACCCTCGTCTAACCCCCCAATCATGCAGCAATTCACCAACGTTTGCTCCTTCTTGCATCTCTCGGTAACCAATCACAAATGTCTACCTGAAAGTCACTGTTGGAACGTCAAGGTTTCTTTGTTGTTTGCTCTCTCTCTGCCAGGATCACATGGCTCTGGTTTGCTCCGGGTCGTCTTCATTGGCGTGGACGGCCATCGAGCCTCTGCATAATCTGACAGGGGCGGACTCGTGAAGGGTGCGTGAGTACTCTGAAATTTTTTTGGACCCAATGCTTCATGCCTCTTCCCTGATTCTTGATCCGCACGCCTACCACGTAACCTAATGTAAGCCAGCCACGTGAAATGATTGCAAATGACGCGAGAAAAGGTAAGGCGATCACCAATCCCTACCTCCACTCTCCACCGCCTTTCCATCGGTAGGCTGTAGATCCCTTGGGAGGCGGTCAAACCATTGCTGAAGACCAGCAGCTTTTTTGATTCGGCCCTTACAGTTTCAGAAGAATGAAGAATCGATCGTTTGCCCATCCTACCCTTGACTCCATGATGGTAGCCCCATTGCAGAAAATGGCCCCCAACTTCCGACGTTGGCTGTCTCCAATTTGCCACATTTGCTTGAACCGAAACTAGAAGAAAAAAATACATGAGATGACTTCTCATCTTTCTTTTTTTGCCAAGATAGCATCATCCCCCACGTCATCCCGGTTGCTTCTCATGTGGGCCCCACCATATTCGTAGTTTGCGTCGTGTCTCTGGCAAAAATCCTCGTCGAAGGCCTGTTCGTCGAGCTGTGACAATATCGGAGGAGAAAGCTTCACAGTGGTGAAAGAGTCGTTTACTGTGAAAGATTCTCCATGGATACCAGCGTTGAACGATTCTTGCGGGGGAAAGAGTCCAAGACCATGGACATTGTCTGGCTCGGAATGACGAAGCGCTTCGTGCGAGTTGCTGTTGAAAGATCCGCTGACGATCAATGAATTCTCCCGGTGTGGGAATTCAATAGTTGCGTTTTCTGATGGGAAGCTGATGATGTTTGAACCATGTGCCGACGTCCGCATCATTCCTCCGTCTTTTCCCACGGGACTTGCGCCCTGTGCCGTGATTGACGAATACGCGGGTGGACTACCAAGGAGGGCAGCATCGCCTTGCGAAAACCCACCAGCTTCGATGTCGAAATCGATGTGCTGTTGATCGGTAACCTGGACATCTAATGCCGTCGGTTGGTAATTATTGTGCTCCGATAGTAGAGCATTATCGAGATGATGTTGATGCTGACCAATCGCGGTAGCCGCAGTGAGGTGCTCTGTGTTACGTCGGCTCTGACATGCTGATCAAGATCAGCTTTTTACAAATCTTTTTGAAGGTTTTATGACTCACTTGGATCATAGTGATAGACTGTGCAGTGCTCATAGATCTCCTCTTGACTCAGGACTGCGGAGAGGTTGACCAACGGTATTGGCGCTCGCACCATTTGCCCCTGAGCATTTCGCACGCAATAAGCGGCTCGGAATTGGTGAGGCTGACCGAACTCAGAAATGACCCAGTCTCCGTGTGGAAACGTCCCCGAAGACGTAAAAATGTCGAGATCATGACGCGGTAAGACTTCGTTCATTCCTTGCGTTCTCAAAATAACGCGGGATGCCGGCGGTGATGGTTCCTCGTTGTGAGACATCGTGTCTTGAGTGCATAGACGAGTGGTGGTAAAATGTTATGATGGGTAGATAGTAGCGGTAAGCGTGTGTAAGTGGATGTAGGGATGGCGGGGGATCTGATGAACAAAAGAGAAAAGATGGTAGGGGCCTAGCAAGGCTATGAGGTCAAAAAAGCCCACTGGATGTGGCCAGGGTTGAGATGAGAGAAGGAAAAAGAGACAGCAAGAGAATATATGAGCCAGATTGCCGCTTAACCGAATGCAGCACTCGCGATAACATCTGGCAGAGGCTTTTCGGAAGAGGATTGCCCCAAACGCTGAAGTATCTCGGAGACAAGCGTAGCATGAAGATATCAGTCTAAGTCTAAGGTAGTTTACCTTGCCTAGTCGGCTTAGCCTTACTGAGCTAGCAGATTTTGCATAAGGTGGTGCGGCGAGAAAATGTTGAAAAGGTCCTACGAGTCAACTGTTGCCCCGTCATGGATAACTGTTCAATCTTGTCATCAAAACTTCGTAAAGGCAGTTTGGACAGCTGGTACAAATCTGGGGCTGTGATACGTTGGCTTACGAATTGATCAAGATGCAGGAACAAGTCGTTGAGAGCACGGCCGATGTCATACCCCCATCCAGGATCCTGGATTCTCAAGTTGGCCGGCAACCGTTTTGCATCGAGGCCCATCTGACATGTCCCTTGCACTGACCGCCGCGCATCATGCTTTATGCTCTATGTTCAACCGGACCGTTGGTGTTGTTTCCGTCGAAGGGAATTATACGCGAGAAAGGGTGTTGTGTGCGCCGTTGGTTGCTTTCAACCCGTTGGCACAGCCCGCTAAGCGCGCAGCCGACAGGGAGGCAGGTATTCGTCAGCAAACGATCGAGGTGAGCCGTGAACATGATGCTGAGGGTATGATCCAGTCGGCGATCTGATTTGTACAAACATGTACGCCCAAGTAACGTATCATAGAATGCCTCGGCCTTTTTAGACCCTTCAGGGTTCGATTCCGGGGCGGCTCCAGCGTCATGGTATTCGCGCACGGCTGGAAGATGCCCAGCGCGGGGAGGACACAAAACGGTCGCTCATGACTTTTGTTGTAAGTCAGCAGCAACTCAAGCATATCAGAGAAGAGGGACTGTTCTTGAACAGGGACTGCCGTAGGCGTCTGAGCAGTAAGCCAAGGCAGTGGTAGCGGAGGGAGGCTGCAGCTGGCAGTGCCGAGGACGGATGAACACAGAGATTCGCCAAGGAGCCTTCGGTGGCCGTTGACAAGGTTGATGGCAGCCGGTGGCTTGCCGCGTGGGCTTGCAATGAGTTAAGGTAAGCCCAACTTCTGTATCTCAAGCCAGGTCGAGATACCTGCATCTTCGAGCCGTGATCCAGACCACTCTTGTACCTGAGGTGAGCCTCGTGGGTAGGTAGGTAGGTACCTTCCATGCTTGAACAGAGAGAGAGAGAGGCGTCTCGCGAGTCACAAGTGTGAACAGTGTGAGAAATGCCTTGTACCAAACCGGGGTCCGGTCGGGGAGGTGCCCGTCTCCAAACCCAAGGTACCTAAGATAGGTAAGGTAGGCAGGCACATTGGTGAGGTAAGGTGGGTAAGTAAGGTAAGTAAGGTAAGGACCTAGGTTACCTTGGCTTCGTTATTCTCACACACGCCACCCCTCCTGCGCAAGGTAGAAAGACAACCCCGGCAAGTCTGGCCAGATCAGGAATGGGAAGCAACCGCCCACCACACTTCCCCCCTGCAGCTTCCACCTCCTCACGACATCGTCCCACAGAAAATGCTGGGCTGTCAACACCACAACCAACCGTCCTCGGCCAATACTGCGACTCGTTCGCTTCCTGAGGAGAAGGTGGCGCTTTCTTCCCCAATTTAGGTCCTCTTCCATCCCATGGACTACTCCAGATCCATCCTGGCTTGGACCATGTTGTCTCCCTCAAATCTCTCCCGCAACAAGTCCCGGATTGCCCTCCGTTGCCAACCCCATACCCCCATGATCTGATCTCTTATTTATGACCATCAGAGCAGCCAGCTTGAATCAAGATTTCTTCCATCAAAGCCCAGAAATAAGTCACCAGTCTTTCAAACCCTTGGTTGATTTGCTATTCAAAATTCCCAACGAAGAGACGCGCTACAACCCTAAGGGCCATTGACTCGGCATTCTACCTTACACCGCCATTCATCACCATGTCGTTGACATTCAACCCCGGCAACCTCATAGCTCGCAACATTGACCCCACGCAAGTGCACCCCGATATCCTAAGAATTGTGACTGAGATCTTGGACCTTCGCCTCAACACATTCGAGTCCACTATTGCCGTTTCCGCCAGAGACTACTTTGCTTTCGGCGAAGAGGGTCGGCTCTTCATGGCATTGCAGATGGGGTAAGTTTCCACGTCTATTTCTTGCTAATCTCCTGCTATTATCCCATGGGTCTCTAACATTCATGACAGACGTATAGTGGGCCAACCTGTCATGTGGGTCAAGGACGGCATGCATTCCAGCGTCGATAGATGGGTTCTTGGTCCATGCGAGAGATTCATTGCCGGGCCGCACATGATTGTCTCAGTCAACGGTATTGCTGTCGTCGTTCCTCGACCGCCGCCCCAGCTTCTCGAGGAGGCACCTGGTACAACGGCCCAGTTCGTCAACGCTCCTGAACGAAGAGTCAAGATCACTCGGCCGCCCAACGCCTTTATTCTCTATCGTAGCGATTACCAAGCCCAAATCAAGCAGATGAACCCTCAACTCCAGAACAATGATATATGTGAGTACCAAGAGACGAATGCTCCTAAAAATTCTCGCTGACCTCTAAATAGCTGGAATCCTAGGCAAGGCTTGGAATAACGAGTCTCATGAGGTCCGGGAGAGATACAAGGCTCTCGCCAAAGCCTACAAGGAGCGTCATAACAAGATGCACCCCGACTATCGGTACACTCCACGCAAGCCATCCGAGAAGCGTCGTCGCAACCGGAGAAGCACACCAGCCTAATTGACCTCGTCGCCTCATTCTTGAGATGAAGACGAAAGCCCGTATGACAAGAACGCAATTCACCACAGCGTTGCCGCAATGGGTCCTACTATGCTCGGTCTCAACACCTGTGCAAGGAACTTAGCACCTGGAAGTTGCTGTGAGGGATCAACCTCATCTGCTGCTGCACGCTGGGTGTGACGCTTGTCGTCCCTCAAAGCCACACCTTGGCTCGCGCCGATAGAGCCGGAATGCTATCACATATGACTCACTGCCGAGACCTCGGCAAGTGTGCTGCGCTAGGAACTCAACCATACCTACTGGTCAGATGAAATAAAGGAAAATGTCTTTTTCTGCCCTTGGGGCCAACTGATGCCAGCAAGGGCTTCGTGTGAGGCCCTGGACCCGCTCTGCCACAGAGTCTGGAACAATGGTTACCTACTCTACTCAGAAGGATGAGTTGATTCAGGACACACCACCGAAGCGGGGCCGGTGGAGGTATCCTTGCTTCATGAGAAGCAAGGACGAAAGGATCCAGAAGATTCCGTCGTTACTATGCGAGTAGTGGATATCTACCTACATGATGGTGTTGAAATCAGCCCCGCCAACAACGATATAGGGTATTTAGTCTAGTAAAACAATTACGGATTCATTAATATTCATGTCTCATTGCTTCAATCTTTTGTAAGACCGTGGAAGCCGTTCCTTCTCAACAGCAACGGGGACAGCTCGTTTCAGGCCATTCGCTGAGTTCCATATGACTCTTCATTGCCAATCAAGAAGTGCAACTACGATGTCTGAGACTGGCTCTTCTTCCAATCACTGCTCCAGATAAAAGTACCACATCTCCACTCCGTCCCTTTTTCCTTTTCTCCAGATTTCCCCAGAGGGCGGGCGCAGATGAAAAATGACCTGCCTGTATGGATGATCAGCCACGGCCCTCGCTAGTGAGACGAAAGAGAGCAAGGTCGGGGAAGTTCAGGGAGTGTGGTACAGGGTCCTCAATGGACCCATAAATGTTAGAAAGAAGGGTGTTGGGTGGTTACTTACCGCAGTTGACCCCGGGCTTCTTGGTCTGGAAGCTGATGCAAGGCTCCCCGTGCTCGCACTTTGGCACGACCCTCTTGCCCAGGTTGAACTTGGACCAAGACTCCTTGACCTCGATGGGGTCAAAGACCTTTTCCGAGGTCGTCTCACGTGGCTTTGCGGACGAGGAGGGCGCGGCCGTCGAGTGTGGCACCGAGTGTGGCACAGAAGAAGAAAAAGAAGAAACGGGCGGTGAAGAAGAGCCTTTGCCGCCGCCCGCTTCTGATAATCCTGAGAGGGAACCAGTCGGGCCACTACCGCCGCTACCGCCTCCTGGGCCTGCGCCCGTATTCTTCGCGAGGGATGCTTGTGGTTGGTGGGTCCTCGCCGCATCTGCCTCGGCGGGTGAAGCCAGGGTGGGTGGTGGGTGCTTGGGCTTGAAGAAGCCCATGAGGGAGCTTTGGGCCTTACCGCCGTTGGACCTCGAGGAGGAGTCGGATTCGTTGGTTTTCGACTTCTTCAGGGCTCTTTTAGTAGTTGCTGCTGATTCGGCTGGTCGTTTTACGATCGGGTTGGTGTTTTGTGATGAGGGTGTCGGCTTGGTGGTTGCACTGGCGGGGGGTGGCAAGTTTGCAGCAGTGTTCGACTGCATTGATGCCTGGGAGGCGGCGAGTGTCTCTTCGGTCGCCGCCTGCGAGGCTTCAGGATCTTGCGTCTCCTGGTTCACGTCATGATCGTCGTCCTCGGTTGGGAGACTGTGTGACTCGAAGGGAGTCGGTACTATCTTTGCGGCAGGCTTCTTCATGAACATGTCGCGGATGTTGCGCCTTCGGTCGAACTCGGGGATGAGCTTTGCGGATAGGGGAAGCAGGTCCTTGGGTGACCATTCCCTGAGCCGCTTGCCGTCTTGGAACATGCCGTCGGGGTTCATCAAGTCCAGTACGGATGAATCCTTGCCATCTGCTGTGACGACGTCACTCATGACTGCGTAGACAGGGCAGTGGTCAGATCCCATCAGCCCCTCCTGAATGTTGGAATCCGTGAACCAGTCCTTGATACCCGACGAACACAGGATGTAGTCTATCCGGCTGCCGTTGTTCGCCGGGCGTGTATTTCTCTTTGTGTCCCAGCAGGTGAACATGCTCTGCCGGGTAGGGTGGAAGATACGAGTCAAGTCGTGGAGGACAGGCGTCTCTTTTCCTTCGTCGCGATCGCCGGCGACCTGGCCGCCGACGACAAGCTGGTTGATGAACCGTCGGCTCGGCCCTTGCATCCACTCCTCGACCGACATGCCCTCCTTGCGGAGCGTTTCCCTGAGGTTGCAGGTGTCCATCTCCTCGCGGATGACATTGAGGTCGCCCGTCAAGATGACCTGCTTCCCGGCCGCGACAAGGTTCCTCACGCGCGCGTCGAGAGCACTGAGGTAGCCCAACCGGAAGTCGTCACGAGACGAGTCGCGCGTCGCGGGGCTGTAGGTGCCGATGAGGACGAAGGCAGGGAACTCGAGGACGACGCACCGGCCTTCCGAGTCTAGCGTCGCCTCGTCTACTTCGCTGGACAGCTGGCTCGCGCGCGGGTAACCACCGATCTGCTGGTCTTCTGGCAGGTCGCGGAAGCTGATGGAGGAGTTTGGGGTTGGGAGGCTTCCTGTGATGCCCTCCTCGGCGCGGATGGGGCAGCAGGTTGCGTTCCGGGTATATATCGCGACGCCGGAATATCCTGAGGGCGAGATGTCAGAATCCCGCTCCTTGACTCAGAGGATATGACCGCTGCGAGCTCACCTTTCTTGTATTTGGGGAGGCTGAAGAAAACATCCCATCCAGGGACGAGAACCATGTCATCTTTGAGGTCTTTGCGTTGAATTTTGGTCTCCTGCATGACTACAATGTCCGCCTCGAGAGTTTCGAACATTGCCTATGTGCTTTGGTCAGCGACATGTGGAAACTCGGGACTAACGAGGACAACGGACCTGAAATGTTCGTTGTGTGCTCCATGGCTGGTATCCAAATGGATTTCTAGGTAGCGTTAACTGAAGTACACGGATATGCTCACTTGAAGATATCATACCTGATGCCGTTGACTGTGATCCGGTTGTATCAGTGAGCAGGAACGCCTATGCAAGTGTTTGCGAACAACTCACCATTCCATGTCACAATACGCAATCCCATCCTGGCCGATGAGTTGTCTCCTCCTGAAATCACGATGGAAACTGACTAGAAATCACAAATGCCGAGACCACGTCGCTTTCATTCCCATGCCCGAGGTGTCAATGGCAGAGGTGTTGCATCAAAACCAGAGATATTCAGGTGCTATCGTAGCTTCCAATTGGGTGATTGGACGATCAAGGAATCAATTTGACGAGAGTATTTTCTTGAGAACTAGAGGCACGAGAACGTAAGGCACGACGCTACAATCAAACAGTCAGACCCTGGTCGACGCGACGTAGCTGCCGTCATTGAAGTGGTGAACGCGACGGTCTGCGCGCTGTCTCGTGATTACTGAGACACGTGACCAAGTACCGCATCTGCAAGTATGCTGGAACTTCATGGGCATGAAATACTCCTCCTCTTCTCATTGGAACCTTTTCCATTTAAAGTATTGCTTCCTACACTTTTGTCACCTTTTTCTGGGCCATATTCAATTGTTCATCCGACCCAAAGAACTTGAGGAGTCTACCTTGTTAAGCGTGGCAAGGCAGGTCCTGTGCTGCTTGAGACGTTGGTCGGGGTACGTACTCAAGACAGGCCCTCCCTTCCTGTTTTCTCCGCAAATGACCTGACATCATTTAGTCATCCCCGAAGAACATTGTGCAGCCTAAAATCCCAGGCACTACACGGCCGTGACCGTTCCCGCTAACCGAGCTCTGCTCGACTCTGGAATACCGGAGGAGTCCAAAATGACCTGATCCCCGACCCCGACTTCACAAACCCTCGAAATCCACCACCACCACCAACGCCCATCCGGCCGAACGAAGAACGACACCCTCTCCCCTCTAACGATACATAAAGATGCAGCGTCAGCTCCTCTCCGCCGCCGCCCGCGCCGCTCGCGCCCCGGCCGTCCGCTCCACCGTCCAGCGCCGCTTTGCCAGCACCACCGAGAACGCCTTCATCAAGGAGCGCGAGGCTGCCAAGCACCATGCCGAGGGCACCACCGGTTCGTCTCACTGCCCCTTCCCCCCGGATTCTTGCCTCGCTGCCGTTGGTGCTCTGTTCGAGTCCCGAAGCACCAATTGATCTCAATTGGCTCCCGGGCGGAGAAGGGAGGGCCTGATATATCTGGAAAAACACGAATTGCTAACCTATTGACTAGCCCTCTGGCGCAAGATCTCAATCTAGTATGCACACAACCCTCCACGACCTCCATTGAATACTGTCCGAACACCGAATCTACCGTCCCGTGCGATATCTGCCCAAGAATCTGAGCCCATGTCGCTCTGCGAAGTGTCACAGAGCAATCGACACAAGAGCGCGGGATTTGAGTCGGGAACTGCTCGGGAGGAGACTTGGACTCTTATCAGGAGAGCGCAAACGCTGACCCATGATTTTCACTTTCCACAGTGCCTGCATCCCCGCCCTTGGCCTCGCCGCCGCCAACGCCTACGTCCTCTGGAACGAGCACTGGGAGCACTGGAGCCACTTGCCCCCTCTGGAGGAGCGCGTCGAGTATTCTTACCAGAACATCCGCACCAAGAACTACCAGTGGGGCAACGGCGACAAGACCGTCTTGTATGTTTTGCTATCATCATTTCGAATCCCCCCCAAAAAGAAAAACCCTTGAGCGCGGGGTGATTACGGAGTGAACTCGCAGGAGAGACTAACACTCACAACAGCTGGAACGACAACGTCAACTACCACAACCCCGACAAGGCTTAAAGCCGTCCGTGTGAATTTGATATCGCTGATTCAGGAGACGAAGGAGCGATCCATAGACTCGGGGACACGCCTGCGGAAGGGTAGACTATCCTGTACATTTTCCCTATGTCACAGCAATGAAGAGATGCGGCTTTCTTAAAAACATCCGAGTGTCACCGCGGTATTTATTACTACCTTGTGCTACGTGAATCACCGTCTTCATTCGTATCCCTCCCGACTATCACCAGGCTTCCAAACATGTCATAATGCAAGTGCTGCCGCCTCCTTGCGTAAAGCTACATACGCAGCAGCGTAATCCGCCGCAAGTACCTTATCCCCCGCGACCTCCATAATGGTCGCCTTCTTCGCCATCATCTCGCACTGCCTCGTGATGTCCTCGATGCTCGAGTAATGATCAAACGCCTTCTGTATGGCACCCGTAGCCCGGGTCAGGTACTCCCGCCTCTTGGCGGACTGCGGCGCCATCTTCCCCGCGCTACCCATATTGGCGTCCGCCAGGTACGAGTACAGCTGCCCGCTCAGCGCGGCGGAATCGCACTCGAGGCTCCGCGGCAGGATGGCCGTGAGAAGCTGTGTAGAGGCCTCGAATTCCCCAAGCGACGACAGGATGTTGGCGATGGCGCCGATGGCTTGCCACAGACAGGAGACTAGCCTCGCCCGCCAGGCCATGCTGGCCGCGCGCATCGCAATCGTGAAGCCCCGCTGCGGCCGCCCACACTTGTCGTACAGGTGGACCTTGATCAGCATGAGCCTCACGCGGAGCGAAATGTCTCTCTTATCGTCGCGTATCGCCGCCAGCATATCTTCGACCTTGGTGAAGGCCGCCTGCAGGTCGCCCCGCCGCGTGAGGCAGTCGATGTGGAGGAAATCGACGACAAAGGCCATGTCCGGTTCCAAGTCGTCCTTTTTGGACTGCAAAAGCTGCGAGAGCAGCTGTTCTGCGCCGTCGAGGTTGTTGTGGTGCAAGTCCCGCTTCAGCTTGATGATGCCGCGGTACTTGTACCAGTACTGGCTGGGCTTCCACGACCGAAGGGAATTCTCGTCGAGAGCCTCCAATTTCTGGAGTGCCTCATCGAATTTGCCCCTCGCCGCGAGCTGTGACGCCAGGCGCGATGTGACTTTGAGCTCGTCGTCAAAGATGGAATGCCTCGCGTGACAGCGAAGGAAAATCTCACAATCCATGGCCGAGAGCTGCGACAGCCCCAGCCTATCCCACAGGGCGATGAGGATGGACAGCTGGGCGCCAAACATATTCTTCATGTTCCGCTCGACGATGAGGTGGGAGCTGCGGACCACGAGCTCGACGGACGTCGCCACACTCTCGCCATTTGCCAGGCCGAGCTTCGCTTCGCTAAGCAGCACCGACGCCCACAACGTCCACATGCCCGTCTCCTTCGCCTTGACCCGGAGGTAGGAAAGACTCTCCTTGGCCGTGCCCAGCAGGCTGTCGGCCTCCAGATCCCTGACCAGGTCCGGGTGCGCTCTTCCAAAGTGGAAGAGCCAGCTGAGTGCAAAATTGAGACACGTCATGTCGCGGTTCTCGCGGGCCGTGGAGACGGTTTCAAGCATGGTGGCAACAGCTTCTCTGTAGCAGCCAAAGTCTGCTTGCAAAACAGCTAGGTTCATCAAGGCGTATTGGTAGAAGAGCCTGTCTCGGTTCTGCATCGTGTAATCAAAGTATTGGTGCAGGAAATCGAATGCCGTGGGATAATCGCCTGATCTCCAGGCATCAAGGAAACTGCGCATTGTCAAAATAATATTCGCGAACAATGATCAGGGGGGTATACCTTAGGTAATGCCTCAAGCTAGGCACAAGAAAACTATCGCCGAGGAGGTCATGGAACTGGTTCCGGAGCTCCAATGGTATCCGGTTACCGAATTCTTCTCCTGTCAGCATTGAATCCTGAGTTTATCGAGCAGTTTACTCACTTTGCATCTGCTCGATCTGGAACTCGAGCAAAAGCTCAATGTCATCTGTGCTCACCGGCACAGCGGCGGGAGTGCCGTTCCTCACCATGTCGCCATAGACAACAGACGTGAGCGCCGCAACGCCCTCCAAGTCCCACTCCGACTGCTCGCCCGTCATGAGAACATTGTCGAAGCTAAGCCGGCCAAAGGAAGGGTTCCTCTTCCGGAGGTAACCCGCCGTGGGCTGCCGATACTGCACAAAATCCGTCCAGAGCTGCGTCGCGTCGTGGAATAGAAGCCTCGTGAACTCGAGCTGGCACCTCCGCACGAATTGACCCAGCGGCGAGTTCCGCGAGAGCGTGATACCCGGCTTCTGCTGCTGCTCCTGCAACAGCTGCGCGGCGATGGCTTCGTCGCCGCCCGCCGCCCGCCGCAGCTCCTCCTTCGTCTTGGCCAGGCACTGCGACTGGCGCGCGAAGAAGTCGTGGAGGAGGTCGAGGGAGTTGATGCCCCATAGCTTGGCGAGGAACGTGTCCCAGAGCTTCCGCCCCGGCAGGCCGACGACCACGGCGTGGGCGCTCAACAGCTTTTCAAAGTCCTTGATGCCGATGACGAGGCTGACAGTGCTCTCGGCCTTTCTCCAGCGCGTGTCCTTGCTGGCGGTGTTGGTGAAGCTCTGGGGATCGGGGTCGAGGAGGTGTGATGTGATGAAGGAGAGCACGGGGATAATGGCCGTGGCAGGGACATGTTCGTCCGTGTACAGCTCAATGAGGGCGAGGAGGCCAATCTTGGCAGGCGTGAGATATCGCGCCATTATCGATTGTGCTTCCGAATAACGCGGAGCCTCGTCAGATTTTATTCCCAGAAATTCGGCTTGCTCGGAAGCTCATCGGATGACGAGGATGGTGAAGCCGTAAACGTCGCAGTGGACCATGTCATTGGGTGCCAAGTGCAGGTGAAGCGGCACGGCGCGTCGCGCCTGCGTGAAGTAAAGGCCCCGTAGTCGCCAAAGTGCAACCTGAAGATACCAGCCGTATACAGATTGACGCCTAGCCTGCAGGAAATGCAAGGGAAATCGGCGGCAAGTGATCTCCTGTTTGTTAGTCTCGGTGTTGTCAGTGAGGTTTCTGTGATGTTGGTCGTCCCCACATTTGCGAATGAGAATTGTGATTGGTCGCGAACGCATCGACAGCTCGAGTACGTGTGGCTCGCGACTCTCCCACGACAGCAGCTGAGGATCAAATCGCTGTCCAAAATTACAAATTGGAGGACTTGATTCCCTTTGAACCAGGCCGCTTCTGACAAGACTGTATATTCTCAAGTTGGCACTGATAATACGTTAGCTAGGTATTAAATGTTGCGTGTTCTTTGGTATAGCGCAATCTCTCCTCAGTCCTTTGCTCTTAATTCTGATGCAACCCAAAGCGATCCATAAAGTTCTTGACGTGATGCATTATATTTGTACGTTATTTTACAGATATGGCTACAACATTTGATGATGGGCCGAAATATCCTCGGCCAAGCCGACTGCCGGCTTCAAATGCTCTCTCTCGCCAACTAGCCTTTGGCATGACTGGCGCTGTTCTGTACAGGAGCTTGTAATCTCATGCCCAGACCGGCGACGCTCCCAAGATTGCAGTTCGGATTCGTCAATGGCCCTCCGGCCTTCTTATGTCTCCTTCCAACGGACACTCTTCCCCTGCCGATTCCTCAACTCGCTCTCCCTCGCCTCTCGCGCCTCCTGCGCAGCCAAAATATCGCCCTCACTGCCCCCATCGGCCTCATCCACATCATTCGTCGCCCAAATCCTCTCAATGCAAAGCTCAAACGGCCCCGGCACCCGATCCGTAAGCCCCACGCCAACGGTCGTGACCTTGGACCTCAGCATCTCCGTCTGCGGCTCGATAACGAAGCCGTGGTTCGTCCGCACAAAGTCGTTCCACTTGATAAACACCGTCTCCCACTCCCCCGGCCGCTTGGCGAACAGCCTGTGCTGGTGCAGGTCCGTTGGCACCACCGAGTCTGTCTGCAGGTTGATAAAGTAGCTCCGGCCGTCCGATTTTACGCGCATCGCGAGGTACGAGTACGGGTCAATGTCCCAGACCGCCTTGCCGAAGAGCGTCGGCTTCTGGTCCGGCGTTCGCCACGCCGCGAAGCCTGTGCGCTGGATTTTTGGTTCATTTTTCGGTAGGTCGGTCGATATCGTGCCGTGAAAGCGGGCGTAGCCTGGGCTCGTTGCCAGTGTGCTTTGTGGTGATGTTGTCGTCGTCGTCGTCGTCGTCGGAAAGGATGAGGAGACCAAATCGAGGGCGCTGTGGGAGAAGCCGCCAATCTCTTGGTCAGACATGAGTTTGCAGTCGTCGGTCGAGCCCGGTACGCGGAAGTCTTGGAGGATGTAGGGACCCGAGGGGCCCTTGATGCCTTCGGCTTTTGCGACTGCGCATGGGACGAGGCCCGGGTTAGCTTTCTTGACCTGCGAAAATCACGGTGATGTCAATTTGGGATGGTGGAGCCTACCAATGCTCGCGCGGCGCTTGAACTCGTCCATTGTTCGGGAGAATATGCCCTTGGCCATCAGCGAGGGCGTTGCCCGCATCTTTTCGGTCGTTTCGTCGGCGCCGCCGACAACTTTGCTTTCTCAGTGTCTTTCGGCTGGTAGGATTTCTGGGAGCTTGCGTGATGCGCCCTTGATGCTGTTGGGTCTGTAATTGCCGATCGTCAAATGGCCTTGGTGCCTCCCTGAACGCTCCCTTCCGGCAGAGATAATTGGTGAATTTGGCTCTTCGATCAAGATCTTCGACTTTCGTTCAGGGAAATATCTCGGATTGCTGGTCCTGGAGCTTTCGGCGTGTACAAGGGTACATTGAGCTCAAGCTTCGATGCGGGGGAAAGAAAGACCGGGTTCCGTTTTCAACGACATGTGTATCCCATCCCTATGTCACATTGCTCATTGAGTTGAAGCCATCACAATCAAAGTTTCGCTGACGGAGATGTGTAGAGTAAAATGGACGGGATTACGACTTGCCTCTTCAGTCCGATTCAATTCATCTGAGATGTTTCTGGGCTGCAAGTACCCTCGGGGCTTCCCCACAGAGGACTTACACTTGTCGAAGTCTCCAGCTGAACTTTGGATTGTCGTCATGCGCTGATATTACTTACCTCCCATCTGGATAAGGAAGTCAATATCTCAGTGTGTCTCTCCGCGATATACGAAGACACTCAATTCATCACAGTCACATAAACGTGGGAGGCTCAAGGTGGTCTACTCAAGAGTGCAATTCCTGACTGATCTATCCGTAAAGGTAGCGAGCGTTGTTTACACCTCGAGTAGATAATGGTGCTTTCCGCACAAAACCGAGTTCATCCATGACCTCCATTCCTGTTCTCTGTAACCGAGTCATTCCGATCATCCGAGTACAGACCAAGGCTCTGTCATATCTGAGCCCTCCAAAGCTTTCAGGTTCCCACCGTATCTGAAGAAGAAAAAAACCACCGCCAATTTCTTGTTGAAGAAAAACAACTTGTAATTAAGTACAAGAGTTGAAGAAGAAAAAGTTGAAACACACAAATTTGAACCCGGAAGGATTCGAAAGACAACAATTGGAAATGACCGAAAAGGTCTGAGACTAGTTGGAACCGTTGGAACCGTTGGAGCCGTTGGAACCGTAGGCCTGGTTGGCCTCGGTGACGACAGGCTCAGACTGGATGAGACCGCCGCCGGGGGAAAACTGGACCTGATGACCGGGGGACGAGTAAGTCGCGAAGTCGCGGGCGAAGGGGGTCCAGAGCGGAGTGCCATGGCCGTAGCCCCAGAAACCAATGGGCGACTGCTGCGCAACAGGAGTCTGGACGGGCTGGACGGGACCACCCTGAGAGTAGGTGCCGGCCGAGAAGGCGTTGCCGTTGTAGACCATGTTGTTGTGCATGGGGGTGCCGATCTGGGAAGGGACGGGAGGGGGACCCATGGGGTACTGGACGTGAGTCTGCTGCATGGGCATACCCTGGGCCATCTGCTGAGCGATCTGCTGGTTCATCTGCTGAGCCATGGGCTGCATGTGCATAGGGGACTGCATGGCGGGCTGGATCGGCTGCATCTGGCCAGGCTGCATCTGCTGCGACTGGGTGAGCATCTGAGAGTGCATGGGCTGCTGAGCCTGCATCTGCATGCCCTGGCTGTTGTGCATCTGAGAGAGCATCTGGTTCTGCATGTTCTGCTGAGCCGAACTAGTGGGAGCCATCATGCCAACGTTGTTGACAGGAGCCTGCGAAGCAGTGCGCATCATGGAAGGGGTGCCCTGGGCAGCCTCGGAGCCGCGAACAGAGGAGGGACCCGCCTCGATGGCCAGGTTGCTTCTGCGCTGCTGAAGTCTACGAGCACGAGCAGGAGTGGAGGAAGCGACGCTGCCATGATAGCTGCTACCCTGGAAGTTGCGGTTGCTGCCGCCGTTGGAGCTGGTGCCATAGCTACGTCTGTCCATGCGGCGCTGGACGCGGATGATTTGACCCTGGACGGTGGTGCCATTCTAGTGGGCACGTCAGCATGAACTATTCTCCCCAACCATCTACTTGTCAATCAATTCAAACTTACGAAGCGCTCGATAGCCGACTGGGCGTAGCTCATGTTCGTGAACTCAACAAAAGCAAATCGCTTAGCTCCGTCTGCGCAGCTGTCAGTTTTGCTCACGCGGTTAGGAGCACTTGATTGAGACTCACCATCATAATCCACTTGCTGGGTCTCAACAGCGACCACACCACCAATCTCCTCCATGAGGCTGCGGATGTTGTCCTCGGTGAAGCCGAGAGGGAGATCACCCATGAAGATGGAACGACCGTCACGCTCCTCCTTGCTCTCCAAGGAAGCACGATGAGGCATGCGAGCTCTGACCTGCATTGCCTTCTTGAAGTCGAATCCTTCAACCTTGTACGTGCGGTTCATGCGGAAAGCCCGAAGGACCTGCTGAGAGGGATCAAAGACCGCGAACTGGATCCGAACGGTGACGGGAAGTCCCAGCTTCTCCTGAATCTCCTTGTCGAGAATAAGGGTTCCGTCAAGCTTGCCGAAGGGAGCCATTAGCTCCTGGGCCTCCTCGATCGTCATGTCATCTCCATTATGGCGGTAGATGATGTAAGTGCCTGTATCGTAAAGTCAGCTTCGACAATGGGAGAGCAGAGCGAACAAGCTCACGGTTGGCGCGAACAGTCTCGGTGCGGCACGGGCGACCAAGAATCAAGGTTCCACGACCCTGGATGCGAGCGTTCTCGGCGTCCTCGTGAGTCTATAAATGCGTTAGCGAGATTCCCAAGTGCGATTTGCCATCCGGAGAGTTACTCACGTTGAACTGGATGAAGCCATAAGGCATGCCGCTTGCGTCGCGACGAATCTTGACGCAGACAACACCGAAGCGGTCAAACTGACTGATCACAGCGGCCTCGAGAGTGACATCATCCTTGTACTCCGGGAGGCTTCCAGGAAAGTTAGTGGTACTGCTGAACTTCTTGAAGATTACAACTTACTTTGCAACGAAGATGCAAGAACCAGTAGGGTAGTGTCCCTGAGAATCCGTGACGTTGGGGGAGCCAACGACGTCCTCGTTGCGCTGAGCCATGCCATCACCACCGACCTCCGAGTTCTGGAGGTCGCCCTGGCCCTCGCCCTGTCCCTGAGTGTAGGACGAGGAGGGGGCCATGGGGTCCTTGCCCGAGCCAGACGCGGCCTCGTTGAAGGCATCATCATCGGTGGTCTTGCGGGTAGGGTAGCGGTAGCTGCGACTGTGAAATGAAATTAGAACGTGTTTAAAAGGTGATGGAAATCCCGACTCACACAGCAGCAGTGGCAGACGAGGTAGGACGCAGGGCCTTGGCGGCGTCCTGGGAGCGGCGACTATTTCATGTCAGAGATGATGAGTGAATACAATAATGGAGATGCCACTTACCTGGGACTGCCTCTGAGAGAGGAAGTGTTCAACTGAACCGACTTCTCAGCGGTCTCGAAAGACGCAAGCGCGGCATTCTGGGTGCGCGCGAGGTACGCGTCCGTGAGCTTGGCACCACCGCCACGCTCGACATACTCCGAGGACGAGGAGGAAATGCCGGGGGACTTGCGATCATTGCTACCGCCAGCCTGGCCAGCCTTGTGAGCGGCCAAGGCGGCAGTCTTGAGAGCCTCCTCTCGCTCGTGCTGAACAGTGAGCTGCTGAAGACGCTCCATGAGCATCGCTCTGCCAGCGGCATCAGACAGGTTGCCCGAGGGAGCAGACATGATGGCGACTTTGTATCCTGAAGTGGTTAATTTCGCAAACGACGACGTTGGAGATGGGCAGCTTCGAGAACGAAGAGATTGGAGATGGGAAAGTGATACGGGCAAAAAGCAGAAGAAGCTTGAGCAGTGTATGGAGGAAGTATTGAGATGGGTATGGATTGTTGTGTGAAGAGAAGTGTAGATGTTTTGATTGCTGATGGTTGAGTTGTTGAGGGTGAGGAAGGTAAATCAGCAAAGGATGATTTGTTTTTCGAGAGGTCGAGGGATAAACCAGAGAGTGGGAAGATCGTGGGATTGAGATTTGAACCTCAGGGCTACCCTAGGGCTTGAAGTGACGCTTTGGAACAAGAGAGGGTGCTCCCGTGGCTCACTCACCTCACTCACGATAGCTTCAAGAAGGGCGGGAGCAGGCGGGCCCTCCCCCAGTGAGTAAGGCTGCTCCCGCCCTTTGTGAGGTCATTCTCATCAGTCTACTCCCAAGGAGCCGGCAGACTTGAGTCCCGTTGATCGAGTTGTTCGCGCGAGCTACTCAGGAAAGTTAGCCGTGATCATTCTGGGTAAAGGTTTGATATGGGACGCTCTCACCAGCCCTCACCTAGAATGGAGAAGGCATTAGAAAGCTCTCGCCCTTTGTGTGGTTGTATGAGCCGCTCTCGCAATCGTCGCAGGTTGGCAACTCTAGAGCGATGTGAGTGAGAAGGAGTTGCTTCGTTCAATACGGGGTGAGTTTGCAGACCTCAGGTGAGCAGAATAGATGCAAGAACGGCAGGTATGGGCTGAAAGCAGCTCTCGCCGCAAGACTTTGGTGGCCTGAGAGGGCGACACATTGAGAGACGGAGTGCCCGAATGTAGATTCATCCAGCCTGGCCATTGGAAAGTTGTGTGCTTCTACCACCTCTGGTGTGGGCAGGGGTTGCCACTGCTTAATTCAAAATAAAGACTGGTTGTTCTCGTTAGCTGTGCATTTAGGTAGAGGGAGAGAAGCTCATCTCTATTGTGAGGTGGATATAGGCTTCACTTACTCGTTATTGTTAAAGAGAAAGACGACAAAATTTGGTCCTGAAAGACCTTGGGATATGGTCTTTGTAAAGTTGGGAAAGTGCAAGCTGGGAAAGTGCAAGCTGGGAGGTTGGCGTGCTCTGTGGGTAATATACTGACCATGAGAATGCCTCGATGAGCACCTCCACTTGCCTCACCTTACATTAATTGTCCCTCCTGCCCTTCCTGCTTTCCCCTGCTGCTACTGCTTACTGCCCTTACCGCCCCTACTACTTTTGATACCCTCACTTCCCTTCCCCATCTTCATGCCTTCTTCTTTCAGAACACCACTAATATGAAATTTTTTTCAAATTAATATCCCTTCGCATTCCCTTTTAATTCGTTAATACTTCTTACTTCTAATTTGGTTCGTTCATTTTTTTTTTTTTTTTTGAACCCCTAAAGAATACTGTAGTAATTTAATAGACATGTTTTATTCCACAAAAATAAGACCTGATGGATGTTTGACGTATTGGCAACGCATAAGCGTCATCGACTGACATTCCATGGCTCCGTAATTCCGGCTTGAACAACGCTGTAGCACCACAGAGCAATAAGTGCAGGGTTTCCTTCCTACCCCCGACCAGGCTAGGTAGCCTTGGACAAACTCTTATTTGGTCTCGTAATTTGGCGGTGTGACTTTGAACCTAGTTTCCGACGTGTAGAAACCAGTTGCCTTAGGAATGAAGTAGTAGAAGACGCACGGGGAAAGGGCAAATAATAAGCCTGGCATGAAATAGAGGCTGACAGACCGGAGCAGAATAACAGCATCTTGCCTTCATATGGCCTAAGAATATCGTAGCCGTCATATCAGTGCCTTTCGAGGTAAGCACCAAGGTAATTCTGCTGCTGAGTCACACATAAGAGGCTCCGACACTGGGGATGGTCCTTAACCTCTCCCTGTGGAAATGTGGACTTTCGCTCACTAATTCGATATCATCCACAAATCGGCAGGAGCTATACGACGCATTCAATTGTTTATAGTCCCACTATCAAAACTTTCAAAGATTGCACCATAGTGTCACTCAATTGGATGCTGGCTCTAGAATACCACTCCTTTAATAGAAGGGCCATGTCCCGAGCTTCATCAGGCAAGGGCGGGTACCATTCTTCCTTCGCAATCTCTGCCCAGCACACCTGCCTGCGAGCTGGTAGATCTCCCCAGATTCTGATTGGAAAGATGCTGTCACCCTCAATTCAGGAGGTGGAAGGAACACGATGGCTGGCAAGGTCATAAGAGCGTGTCTGCCCTGTGCTTTTACCAAGCTACATCACTCCAACACATCGTCATCCGTAATTTTAGCCATCACCACAGCTCTTTGTTTTCTTGGCACCTCGCTTTGAATCATTCAATACCAAATACTCGGAGTCAGACAAAAACACCAGACATGGCTAACAACAATGCCGACAACGCGGCCCAGGACCCGCAAGCGCAACAGGGCTCTCGAGGGCAGGCCGCCAAAGATGACGACTGGGATTTCGAACAATTGGGCAGCCACATCCAGGTAACACACATAGATGGGACCATCCGGAGTGTGCACAAGGATGCTCTTGGTAGATCGGATTCACCAGACAGTGGTAGGGTCTTCCTGATGCTACTGGTGAGTAATATCAACCTATCAACTCGGGGTGGGGGGCCTCGCTCCATGTTATCCACCAAATCCGACTGATGCACCACAGGCTCAATCCTTGGCTAGCACCGCTGCTTGGCTAGGATGGGTAGCACCCGCGAACACGAGGTGAGTGTCGTGATGAACACCATGCGGTTCATGACCACGCTCCCCTTGCCTCACACTAACGGCCGACAACAGTGTGCTGTTCAACACAAAGCTACCTCAGTCGGACAAGGTGCATTGGACACCAATCATGTAGTTCATGGGTAGCTCCATCGGCTTCCTCCTTGTGGGCCGACTTTCGGATCTGTACGGACGGAGGTGGATCATAGTCGGAACCTCCCTTCTTGGAGTCGCTGGCTGCATCCTCGGGTCCTTTGCGAAGAACGCCGAGATGCTCATCGCCGCGAACATCTGCAACGGAATGGCTGCCGCCGCTCAGTTGCCTCTCGGGTTTGTTACAGCAGAACTCGTGTCGAACAGCTCCAGAACAACGATGGTCTCTGTTGTTACTGTATTGCCATTCCTTTTTGCTATTTTGGGCTCTGCCACAGCCCCATATATGTTGAATGATAACAATCCTTCACAATGGCGTTGGGGTTACTACACAGGAAGCTTCTTCGCTCTCTTCTCCTTTCTCTTGTACTTTGGGCTTTACCGCCCACCTTCGTTCAAGCAGCTCAACGTCGTTGGGAAGACCAAGCTCGAGATGGTCAAGCATTTGGACTTCGTCGGCATCCTTCTTCACATCTCTGGCTGCGTTTTGTTGCTGCTCGGGTTCTGTCTAGGGGCCTCCTCATACCCTTCTGTTGGCAAGGAGATCATTGGCACCCTAGTCGGCGGGATTGTAGCACTGATCCTATTCGTATTCTACGGTGAGCGCAATCTTCAATGAAAGATTCCAATGCGTTTTCTGACATGTCGCAGAAGCATATTCTACCATCGAACAGCCTCTCATGCCCCCAAAGATGTTCAAGAATGCTCAATTCACAAGTCTTGTTACATGTGCGACTTTCGCCTCGATGATTTTCTACGTTCTCACAATCCTCTGGCCATTCGTTATCGGAAAGGTTTTCAATAACGACTGGCGAGATATCGCTTGGTATGGCTCACTGTTACCCTTGGGTGCCACCTTCGGCCTATACGCGGCGGCTTTTCCGATACTGCGCGGTCCCTATACCAAGATACTGTGCACGACAGCGGCAGTTATGGTTCTGGGTTTCACGATTCCCTTATTCAATATATCGCCTGGCGGAAAACTATTGCTAACCGTTGCGTTGGGTATGTCAGCGTCCTTTGGTAAGTCTTCTGTCAAATTTTCTGGCTCTCGTTGAAAGTTTCATACTGATACTTACGTCTTATCTTAGCTATTGGTTACATTGTGGCCATTGCCATCACTGGCGTCACCCTTATTTGGGAGGCGCAAGATATAGGCCTCGCATCAGGAATTCTCGGTTCAGTGTGCAGCTTGGGCTGTGCTTGCGTGAGGACATTGTTCACCTTAATACTGAGAAAGAAGCTAGAGGAGGAATTGCCCAAGTTCATTGGTCCAGTGGTCTTGGGTGCTGGCCTGTCGGCTGATTCATTGGTACAGCTAGCCGCCGCCATCAAAGATAGCGCAACGAAGAACGGAAATTCCACCAACCTGTCGACATACAAAGACTTGAACTCAACAACCAAGGCTGCATTAACCAAAGCGATCCAAACAGGATACGCCAGTTCACTTCGATTTGTCTTCCTCGCCATCATCCCTTTTCCTGTTGTCCTCGTTGTGGGCGCTTGTTTCATTCCAGATATGAGCAAATTCAATACCAGGAGAATTGCAAGAAAATTGCAAGGTTCCAAAAAGGGCATGCCCCAAAGCAATGAGGAAGGGGTCGAACTGCCGGGCCTTGAACTGCCTATGCTCGGCCGGCGTGCACCGGCAACAGAGGCCGCCTGATTTGTTCCGGGTTCTGCTGGGTCGAGTATTTTGGTGACGGCGCTCAGATGGATTCTTGGTGATTAAGGGGGTAGGGGAGAAGGGGGGCACATTGGAGTGATTTCGAGCAGCATTAGCTCATTGTGTCGCTTAGAGAGTGAAGAAGGCAAAATATGCATGAATTGTTTCCACGAAAGGGGTTTCCCATGTTTACATACGAGTCCGTGGTTGACGAGTTCCGTATGCTAAAATCGCGTCTGTGACAGGGAAATGCGATGAGTGCGCGGAGAGCGCAGTAACGAGATGGAACCCGGCGATTGCCTGATATCAAACGATCAGGATGGTGACAGCCCAGTATAACAGTTATTGAAAGACCAACTGGATCAGTTCCCTAGTCACTGTATGGCATATTATATGTTCATCAGATCTCGGCCGGTCTTTGGACTGACGGGCGTTGGCTGAAGTGGTGGGGGGGTGTGGAGATTGAGGCTTGCCCCACCGACAATGGAAGCTCCGATGGCGGGGCATGGCGGGGTGCAACCGACGTCGGTCGCTCCCCCCAAAGATTATTGGGCCGGGGCACCGCCGGCGACATGCCACTTTCTTCTTGACTCACATTGTCGATCTGCCCAATTTCTCTGTATATCTTGAACGTGCTGCCCTCGCTCATTCAGTCCAATTCATCCTTTTAGACAATTGATACCCTCGATACCCCCTCGTCATCTTTCACAATGGGCGAATTCCCGGTCAAGAAGTGCGGTACGTTTTTACCCCTCCACCCCGCCCTCGTCTATCGCCTTCCGCAATCGGAAATTTCGACATTGAGACATGGCAAAACTATGGCGGCTTTCACGATGGTTTGAACAATCAAAGCTAATTCGAAGTTCGTACAAGGCGTTCTCGGCTGCACCGGCTCCGTCGGCCAGCGCTTCATCCTCCTCCTCTCGCAGCATCCGTACCTCAAGCTCGTCGCTGTCGGCGCCTCCTCCCGCTCTGCCGGCAAGAAATACCGCGATGCCGTGCGGTGGAAGCAGGCCTCGCCCATGGGCGCCGTTGGCGACCTCGTCGTCCGCGAGTGCAAGGCCTCCGAGTTCAGCGATTGTGACGTCGTCTTCAGTGGTCTCGACTCTGACGTCGCCGGCCAGATTGGTGAGTCCCCGCCCCCCGCGTGCTACTACCATTACACGTGCGGAGTACTGTCATGAGGCAGACAGGATGGCTAACCACTCCGGCAAACAGAGTTGGAATTCCTCAAGGCGAACCTCGCCGTCTTCTCCAACGCAAAGAACTACCGCCGCGATCCCCTCGTACCCCTCGTCGTCCCCACCGTCAACCTCCCCCACCTCGACCTGATCCCCCACCAGCGCAAACACCACAATCTCGAAAAGGGCTTCCTCGTCTGCAACTCGAACTGCGCCGTCATCGGCCTCGTCATCCCCTTCGCCGCGCTGCAGGCCGTCTTCGGCCCCGTCGACCAAGTCTCCGTCGTCACCATGCAGGCCGTCTCCGGCGCGGGGTACCCGGGTGTCTCGTCCATGGACATGATTGACAACGTCGTTCCCTTCATCTCGGGCGAGGAGGACAAGCTCGAGACGGAGGCGCAGAAGATTTTGGGAACCATCACCTCGGACCTCACCGCCTTCGAGGACCAGAGTCAGCTCAAGGTCAGCGCGGCGTGCAACCGCGTGCCCGTCCTCGACGGCCACACCGCCTGCGTCTCGCTCAAGTTTGCGCGTCGACCGGCTCCCTCCGCCGAGGAGGTCAAGAAGGCGCTGCGCGAGTACGTCTCCGAGGCGCAGAAGCTGGGGTGCCCTTCGGCACCCGAGAGCCCCATCCTTGTGCACGACGAGCCGGACCGCCCGCAGCCAAGGCTCGATCGTGACCTCGGCAGGGGCTACACCGTCAGCGTCGGCCGCGTCAGGGAGGACGAGAGCGGCATCTTTGACATCAAGTTTGTGGCTCTCAGCCACAACACCGTCATTGGCGCTGCGGGCTCGTCGATTCTCAATGCCGAGGCTGCTGTGCTCAAGGGCTTTGTGTAGGCGAACAAGTCGAGGCGGAAGTGGAAGGAAACAATTCGAGGCCAAGCGGAAACAATTAAGTTTAGGGTTGGCAGGGTATCTATCATGAAGGGTCACAAAGAAAACTGGTGTATGGGTGCATGGTTGGTCGCATTTACAGCATGGAAATATCACAAATAAAAAGACATTGGAAATCTGGACGTACGGTAGATGAAAATTAGACACGTACCACTCGAGGTGGAATTCCCCTCACTGAGATCATACTGGGACAGCATCTTTATGTATTGTTCTCTGAGAATGCCAGCGACGCGCCTTCGATTGAGGGTTTTAGTGAAAAACCCGCTGGTACTTTGGTCCTCTTCATCATCAAGTCTCGGAGCGCAGACTGAGAGCGGCACGGGTGTTTTGTTGACGCATCTATCGGCACGAGGCGCTACCGGCTTGCCCTATGCTGAAGACCAAGGCAAGTTGACATCCGCTGTAAGGTACTTTGATTGAAACGGAAGGCTGCCTTGAGGTGCTTCCACAGCAGTCGAAGGAGCATACTACTGCGGCTGCAGTCAGCCGATAGTACATGGAGCTGAACCTAGGTAGGCATGCTGCATCTCAACCAGCCTTCGACCACTTGGCAGGGCTAATTAAAGACCAGGCTGCATATAAAGAAGAAATAAGCTGGATCTGGATTCCAATCATAAACCGATTGGCTCCCATCCCAGCTCTAGTCATGTTCTTCCATTCAGCATGCTCTTTTGCGGTTCCCCCTGATGAACCTCACCCAACGACATCACGATGGGTCGATCCAAGATTTCCCAAAGTCGCTGGCGTCAAGCTTCGTTTTACTTTTCCATTGCAGCCTTTTCAACGTTTCTGATCAACTTTATATTCACACTCTGGGCGAGCATCACAAGACGTGACACAATACGAGACGGTGTCGGGACTCTGCTTGATACGGGTTGTTCAACCATCAGGACACTGAATACTGGGATACATATCCTGATCAACGTCCTTGGTATCATTCTTCTGGCGGGTAGTAACTACTGCATGCAGTGCTTGATGGCGCCGACCCGGCCAGAGATTGACGATGCACACGCAAGACAAGATTGGCTCGATATCGGGGTTCCAAGTGTCCGAAACTTTTGGAGCATAACATGGAAGAAGAAGACTGTCTGGATTTTGCTGTCCATTTCGTCACTTCCATTACATCTGGTGTTAGTGTGGTGCTCCGTCATGCCTTTTACTCTTCTTCCTCCAGACGCCTGTACTGATCACTATTCAGTTACAACTCCATCGTCTTCAGCTCGACCTCGGTGAACAATTACAGCGTCTTGAATACGAACGCATACATCTCAAAGAACAGCACCGGAAGCACAGTCAGCAGTGCGGAATGGAAGAGCATGTACGCAGGCTTCCTGGGCGATAACGTGGAGCAAATGGATGTGACAAAGTGCATCGACGCCTACCGAGTCGCTTTTCAATCCTCGCGAGGGAACCTACTTCTTGTCTCGGATGATAGGCGCGAGGAAAATCGAACGGTCGAGAAATTTAACATTTCGGGGTACGCATTTTTGTGGATGTGCGGCCAATCCGGTACCAGGCTCGCTGGCATACTCGCTGGCAACTCGACATGCGAGGATTACCTGCTCGAATTGCGAACTACGCCGGGAAGCTGGACACCACTGGGCTCAGCCGTAACGGAATGCTACAGCCAGAAGACTGAAGAGCATTGCAAATTAGCCTTCAGCAGCGCTCTCTGCTGGACTGTGACGGCTTTCAACTTTGCGAAGGGTGTCTTGATGCTCTTCGTCGCCTTCGGGATGGGTGACGAAGATCCCATCATGACCATTGGAGATGCAGTAGCCTCTTTCCTCCAACATCGGGATGAGTCAACTGCGGATATGTGCCTCAAGTCGAAGGACCACTTTGTCGCCCAACTCTGGTCCAAGGGTCCAATTCAGTATGACCTCAAACCGCAACGGAAGTCTGTCGCGGTCACACCTGGGGGATGGTTTTTGTGCTTCTCGTTGTATGTCTGCGGTTCCTTCAGTGCGTCATGTTGATTTGCTTGCTGACAACGCTCGCTACCAGGTACCTCGGATTAATCATTGCCTGTGCATATTTGTTGATTGGCGGCCTCTATCATATGTCTGGTGGCGGCGACATCATCAAACTCGGACTCGGCGCCATGCAGACCAGCACCATCCTAAGCACCGGCAATCTGGGTCAAGGATCCATACTTGCTAATATCCTGCTTGTCAACACGCCCCAGATTGTCTTGTCGCTCATATACTTCACCTACAATGCTCAGTATACCAGCATATCCCTGATTACTGAATGGGACAGGTACGGCAACGAAAACGAGTCAAAGAGCCTCCGAGTATCATCTACGCGTAAAGGTTCCCAGCGAGACACCTACTTCCTTCAACTCCCGTACCGTTATTCTCTCCCTCTAGTCATATTCTCAGGTGGACTTCACTGGCTCATTTCTCAAAGCTTCTTTCTCGTCAATTTGGAGGTATACGCCCCTTCGGATGATGCCACATCCATGGTGCGAGTAACAAATGGGGGCTCGCGTGCCGGCGTGACTGCCTGCGGGTGGTCGCCACTTGGGGTCTTATGCGTTCTTGTGGTCATTATTCTCATGATGGGATTTCTTATCATCACCGAGAGGCGTCGTTTGAGATTCGGCGCAATGCCTGTGGCGGGCAGCTGTAGTGCGGCAATCTCTGCTACTTGTCACCCTGACTCGGATGAGGAAAAGATGTGGGAGAAGCCTCTGCGATGGGGCGTGGTCGATTCGTCTGTGGTCGGGCACTGTTCTTTCTCGTCTGAACCAGTCTCAGTCCCAGTACGTGGTCGTTTGTACTCATGAGCGATGCCATGTCTTTCATTCCTTGGGATACATGGAGCACGGGGTATGAAAGCTCCTCCGCGAATTACCTCAAGACCGGCGGGTAATCTGACCAAAACAAGATTCTTGGGCTCATAAGCAAGCTGCCAGACATCTTTGAATATCCTCTTAGGGTTGGATATTAGAAAAAATGCGGTGCTTGAAGTAGACATGCCTCTGAATTAGACAAAAGTGATGCAGCGAACATTAAACTTCTATCAGAATGGTATATAAACGCATGCATCGTGAAGGGCGTAATAATAATGGACCCACTCGTACGTATGATTAATTCCACACTGTCAAATTGGCATTTCTTCCCCAGGTTACTGCTTATACGGACTTCTTTATTACGACCTAACATACATACACGACCAGGGTGTAAGGGTGCCGCACTGCGTGCTGGAAGTGGTCGATATTTTGGGAAGGCCATTCATTCCCACCCACCCAACGTACCCTCATTCTTCTTTATTTTCTTTTGGCTCGAGGCCTCGAACTCCAAACCTTCCCCTCACCCTTCATTATGGCCTCATCTCGAGAGGACATCGCAGCCTCCCTCACTGCTTACCGCTCATTCATCGCGGCGCAGAACCGTCGCGTTCTCGAGGTATACGTACCATTCATCGCCACCGCGGTGCCAGACGACCTGGATGGCGACGAGGACATCAAGGAGCTCCGTCTCGAGGGCCTCAACATGCTTCTTGACACCACCCTCCAAGGCTTTGACGTTTCAGAGCCCAGCGAGGTTCTCACGCGTTACGATGAGTTGGCGCCAAAGATTGGCCTCGACGGCACCTACGTCCTGCACGAGGGCACCCCCGACGAGCACGAGGCCGCGCGCCGCGCGTACCTCTCCGTCATCGAGGAGAACCTGAAGAAAAAGTCCAGAGAGGACGTGGCGGAGACCATCTCGATTCCCGAGGACTTTCGCGTGCTGGCCGGGCTCGTCGACGGCATCGTGGGCTACGGGCTGCCCGTCTTCCGGAACGAGACCCAGCCGGCCTTTTGGTGGGGCTGCCGAGACGACCAGGGCCCGCACGCCGAGACGGTGATGACGCCCGAGGCGCTCACGGAGCACGCCAATCTCCCCGAGTGCTGGCAAATCGCGGGCGGTTGGGCACCGGGCACGGGGCCTGATGCCAATTTCAGTATTGTGTACAGCCGCGAGTCTGATGAGGACGCTTGGAAGTGGAGGTACACTTTATCCACGGCGGAAGACGGCTTGCAGATCTTTGAGACGATTCCAGAGTTTTTAGCCTGGTACACGCATTTCGGGGAGTGTGACGAGATGCCTGGCCCTAACGAACTAAATGTAGACAGGCTTCTTTTCAGCACACTCTAATCATGTATTCTGGCCTTGTTATGGTATTGGAGTTAAGATGACGGAAGAGGAATGGATCACCAGATAGATACCTTGATATATACAGCCAGTCTACGAGAGGCTTATTACCGCCGCAGTCGCCATCCGTCATAGTTCTTGCTATCTTTTCCCCCGTCCTTCCAAGATGTCCTCATAGAATGCACACTGCCAATTAACTTATTTATTTTACAACGTCACGAAGTCAGAGAACTCACCTTTCTTCACCCTGCAGATGCCTCTTAACCACTTCTTTTTCATCCTGGCCCTTATGCCTTCCGTTAGGAAGGTCTCTTTAGTAAAGTGAGCTTTAAATCAAGACTGGGGCTACTGATTCATAAACTACGTTTGCGGTTTCCTAAGAAACCGCATTCCCTCTTTCATGAGGACTTTGCTCTTGGGTCGCGGTACGTGTGTCGATTCACACAAGTTGGAGGCATCCGTTGCTCCCTACGCGCCGTTGAAAGATACGGGTTGTGCCTGCCAATCTCCGCGTCCGAAGTTGCGATCCGGGCCCGGCAGTCGGTGATGAGAGGAAGAATATGTCATTTGATCCTCTAGGTCCAAGCGAACAAGATTCAACGCCCTTCAAGCAGGCAGCCAGGAAGTATTGAGCATCATCGGCGCCTCCGGAGGGAGGAGATTGGGTCGCGGATGGTCTTCACGGACCCCGAAAGGTACCAATGTTATCTTTTTCTACGCCCGAACTGTGAAAAGGGCACTTCCGGCAAGAGCCAAGTATATTTTGGATTATATATTATCATGAATATCTGCAAAGCACCATCTTTCGGGGTCGGGGTCCGGAAGGCTTGCTCGGACGCAGACATAGTTCCGCAGGTCATGAACAACCCGCCAGACGAGATGTGAAGGAATCGCGGTGATTCGGTGTCGCCAACATGTCCACTTAAAGAATTGAGCCATCTTCAAGGCTTTAGAAGGGCAAAGAATCTTTGATCGAAGTCAGATTATCGGGGCCGGTTCTGTTACCAGTGGTCTCCCGTTTCTGTCTGTTTTGTTTTCTACCCCGGCAACTACCACGCTCGTACGTCCTCGACCAGAAGTACTCGACACCACCAGGGCATATCGTGATGAAAAATAGCTAATTATGGAGCAAGAAGCATAGCAATTTCCCTTCAAGCGAGAGCTTTGATGTTGTATTGGAAGAGACATGACATATAAGCAACATCCATCTTAGCTAGCATTCAGGGTGGCCGAGTGATGATGAAGAAATGCCTTGCATTCAAAACTCGTAGGGACACCAGGATGAGATTTCCAATGGTTCGCTCGACTTGCAATATCCTACTCTCTGTTTGCTTCAGCCTGACAATGTTATTGTTGTTGCCAAGTGCCTCACAACGCACGACTTCAGTCACGATGGGCACTAAACATCAGCAATAGAAATCAGCCGCACGTGATGAGACGATACACACTCTGAGAGCCTGTTGTCGTCAAATCCCACGCACCCTTTTCCCGCTCTAAAGTCCCAGCCAAAATGCCACCAAACACGCCGGTACCCATAATCTCGAAATCTCGAAATCTCGAAATCTCCACGACACCCATTGGATCCGCATAACACAAATTTGATACAAAAAAAAAAAAAAAAAAAAAAAAAACACCCCGCCCCCACCCCCACAACCCCCCCGACCCCCCCCCCCCCCCCACCCCCCCCCCCCCACCCGACCCACACACCAAACACCCCCCCCCCCCCCCCCCCACGGCACCCACAAAAAAAAAAAAAAAAAAAAAAAAGCAGGCCAGTGAAAGCACACAAAATTGGTTGAGAGCTGGATTTGAGCCTCGGCTCCCCAAGATGGGACGACATACCAGAAAAGCTCATCCTTTCTTCCTCATGCTACTCCTCGCACAGGTGGCACGCTATCGGTCGACTCTTACTTTCTCGGAACCTCGCCCACGCCGAGACGAACCCTGGAGCAACCACGCAACTTTGCGGCATGTTTCCCGCGTTGTCCTTTGCGTATGAATTAGGTTATAAACTCTAGACTCGGGAGGAAAGACAGTCCATTTAGTGTTTATGACTTTCCATATGTGTGTGTGTGCATGTGTGCTTGTGTAGATCTATTGGACCCTAGGGGACCACCATTGAACCTGCGCGCCCTCGTTATGCTCTGGTATAACGAGACCTCAAAAGAAGAGAGGGGGAAAACCCCCAAAATGCAAACCGTCAATCCATTCGACCTGCTCGGAAAGGGTTGCGAAGGCCTCTCTGCATATGTTTAAAATATCCGCAAACGTGCCAAGCTACGCTTATTCGGCAAGAAAGAAAGAAAGCCTCGCAAGGAGCACTCTCGTGGCGCAGCTGAAGGCGTCCTTCGTAAGCACCTTAACCTTCTTTTACTAAACAAGTAATATCCTGGAGAAAGAGAGAGAGCGCGAGAGCGCGAGAGAGCGGGAAAGCGTGGGGAAAATGCGTCGAGTGGGAACGATAGATAGTTGGGACGAACTCTGTTGAGGTCTTTTGCGCATGGGTTCCCTTACCTACCTACTTCGTCAAGTGTGGCCTGGTTCTCAGGACCGAGGAAACATGTTGTCGTGAGCTTGTGTTGGTAAACACTACCTTAATGTAGGTACGCGGTGGCAATAGTAGTTCGGAGATAACCTCTGCTGATGCCCATGAAGCTCATCCACCAAGATCCATACTCAGACTAGTGTGTAGAATCTGGCTTAGGAGGGAGAAAGGCAGGATGAGAAGCCATCAGCTGGTGCATGATTCGACGCCGGCTGTCTGCATCCAGACCAACTTCTCTCGCCTGTGACAGGTCTCGAAATGGCAACTGCCTTTAAAAGCCAGAAGGACGCAGAGATTGACTGCTTTCAGGACGGGTTGCGAATTGAACAATATTTGGTGCCGGCCACAACTTTCCTCAGAACGTCGCCAGCCCACGGCGACACCACAAACAATGACAAACTAGGATATAGCCGGTGAAAACTTCCATGTGTATTCTCCAAATACTCGGCAACCTATGAGGCTTCTCGGGCGAGGACCCCGGCATCCTCATCTCTTGGTGCACAGTTGCTCGTTCTGTTGTGTAAGTGGTGCACGCCACGCCAAGGCTTGGTCCTGGCCGTGTAGGAACACGCTCTTGGCCGCGCGAGAAAACTCACCTATGTCAAAGGATATGGGGAAACGCCAACGAGGATAACTTGCAAGTGAAACAGCCATGCTATGCAGGAGTGAGGCCATGGGAAGCGCGCTGGTTGGCAGCGCAATCCGGATAGGTGCAGATCGAGACGTGAAGAGTCGCGGGAGCTATATATGGACGCCTGACTACCCCCCCCTTTCCCCCTCTCTATCGGCAGTAAAGTCTGTTTTACGTTTCAAGCAAGAAGATCGGAAATGCGGATGGACGTCGGCGGCCGGTGCTTTACATGGGACGACGTTATGCGTGTGCTGTTTGTTGTCGCGGCCGGAGCACGGACCCACCCCGGCACCCAACTTCGGGGTGAGAAGGGGTCTCATGTGCGGGGAGACGGCGAGCTTCTTCTGCAATTCTCGGCCCAGGCCGGTGCGTGCATGTTTACAACTACGGCGCGATGGCGTTCCCCCCTTCTTCGTCTTTGTCATCACTGTACAGTGCCCGCTAACCCCTGAGGCTATGTTGCATCGCCGACTGCAGCTCAATCAAAGGCAAAACATGTTCTCTGCGGGTTTCCAATGGTGCGGATCCATGTAAGAGTGACACAGTCGAAAATTCGAGACATGCAAGCCCGAGGCTGCTTCCGAAAGTAAAAAGGAAACGTGAATCTAGAAGATATTAGATGCCAAGCTGAGTGCTCTAGGGGAAGGGGAGTGCTTGTTGGAATAGGTTCAGGGGTTCAGTATTTTGCGTCGTAGTTTTTCGATGTGAGGCTCATCAGACGAGAGCATATTGCTTGCGACGTGGCGAGACAGGTCAGATCCGACGTGTCAGCACGAGAAGCTCATGGATGAAGAATAAGAAATGCTACCGAAAGAACACGAAAAAAGCTGGGACGGGGGGCTGCCAGCCCAACTGGGCGTCCGTGTGAAACACATATTCGGGATCCGGGGGAGATGGGACGAAGAGAGGATTGACCTGAACGGACGGACAGGGGTGGAAAAGCACTGATGCCGTCGTGTCAAGAACGAGGCGTCGGCCGTTTGATTCGCGGGGGTTGGGCCGTATGGTAAATTTGGAAGCAGCCGTGCTAAAGAAGTAAACGACGGTGCGAAGAGGCGCCGCTGGCGTTCTGAGACCCGGAAGAGTCCACGGACGGAGGCGTGGGATGGCTCGGCAAAGCTCCGGATGCCAGCCGCCATCAGCCAAAGCTGGGCTGGAACGGGAGGAGGCGAATGAAGGCGGTTGCTGAGATAGCGGGCGGTGCGAAGGTCTTGGCCAAGCCCAGGCCGGGATGCTGTTTGTCCCAGGTCACAAAGGGGATAAGACGATAGCTCATGAGGCTGGAGGGAGTGTGACGGATGGCGGAGAGGAAATCGATAGACAAGGCGAACGATGACCAAATGCGTTAGATCGGTTAAGCCAGGCGGAGAGACACGAGGGCCCAGCCTTTAGGACGCAACGACGTTCAATTGCCAGGTTTGGGGGCTGTCGATGAAGCTCAAAGAAATGGCTTCCTGTAGAGCCGCAAACGGTGGTATCGGCTTGGTCCAGGTCAACTGCCATGAATTTTTCAACGAGGAGGCAGCTTGCCAGGGAAGCAAGGTGGTAGGCGATCAGGCGCGTCAGTGCAGACGCAAAAGCAATGCGCCGAGTTTGGAAGGGCGACGGGCGGCGGCAATCAAGCATGCGGAGCGATTGAGATTTCGGCGTGCAGCTGACAATTGAACATTGCCAGGGTCCTGTGCCGGGCCCCCCCGTCTGCATAGTTCAGAACATGCCCATGGTGTTAAGTCCCCACCCCTGGATCCGGAACACCCCCTCATTCGGAACAGGATTTCTCCATCGTACATCCCAGTACCGCAACACCACCACCATCAATTAAACCACCACAACATTAAAATTTAATTCTTTTGAAAATACCAGTGCATTCGCAATGGCCAAATATACCGAGCAGGACATTATCGCAGCTCTCAGCGATGTGCAGGCTGGTCAGCCTATGCGACAAGTATCTCGGGCCTGGGGGATCCCTATGACGACCCTCCATCGCCGTTGGAACGGCGGTTCGACCAAAAGGACGTCAGCGGAGCACTTGCAGCGATTATCGCCGAAGCAAAAGAGGCACCTGGTTAACTGGGCACTGGCGCAGAGCTCCCTCGGCCTCGCTCCAACCCACGCCTAGCTACGCTCTTTTGCTGCTAAAGTCGTCTCTGTAAGCAGCGATCCTCAACCCCTCGACAAGCACTGGTTAGAGCACTTTATTAAGCGGAATCCAGAGCTTAAGACGCTAAAAGGTAGATCTATCGAAAGCCTCCGCGTTAAAGCCGTCACTATTGAGATCTTATTGAAGTACTTCGATCTATATACCGACCCTATAGTCAGAGCTATCCCGCCGTAGAATATATGGAATATGGACGAAACCGGGATAATGGAGGGTCAGGGGGTCAATGGTCTGGTATTGGGTTCCAGCGAGAAGAAGGGTTCGATCTATATACGCCATCCTGGTTCTCGTACGTGGACGACGATAATCGAGTGCGTATCAGCAGTAGGAGCAGCACTTCGGCCCCTGGTTCTATTTAAGGGTAAAAGAGTACAGCAGCAGTGGTTTCCTAACGAACTCGCGGCTTACGAGAGCTGGTCTTTTGACGCAACCGAAAATAGGTGGACAGACAATACTACAGCAATCTCTTGGTTAACCAACGTCTTTAAACCTCAGACCAAGCCAAGAGGCGCCAACAAGGGCTCCAACCGCCTCTTGGTATTAGATAGGCACGGTAGTCACTGCTCTAACGCGTTCATGTGGGAGTGCTATATCCGCGGGATATATCTGATCTTTTTACCGCCTCATTCTTTTCATATGACCTAACCTCTCGACGTATCTATCTTCAGCGCACTAAAATCAGGATACCGTAAAAGGATAGGGGTTCTACACGCGCTCACAGACCTCTCGATCGTTGGCAAGAAGAACTTCCTCCGCTGCTACGGCGAGGCGCGTCAGGAGGCTTTAACGGTGCCAAATATACGCGCTGGGTGGAAAGCAACCGGTATCTGGCCACTTAACCCCGATAAAGTGCTCTTGAGCCGGCAATTTTTTTCTAACGAACAGAAGAGGCAATTGCCCATGGAGAGAGAGCCCCCGGCAACCCCAGTTCCTCAGGATTAAGTAGTGAGAAAAGAGGTGGCGACCCTTAAGCGCTCGGGCGATCTAAGGAGGACTACTTTTACTACACTATTCCGCCCTGGTATCGGTAAAATAAGGGGTCGTATGCTATTTTCTAAGCTCGGCAAGAGTCTAGATGAGAAGAACACCCTTATTGCCGACCACGAGAGACGGATCCACCAGTTAGAAGAGACCGTAGAGGTCTACAAACCGTATATAAAAGCAAGTGTAGCGCTTAGGCCGAACGAACGATTTGCCAAAGTCGATGCTATTCGTAAGTCACAAGAACAGGCACAAAAGATCTCTTTTCAAGCAGTAAAAACGGCAAAGGAACAAGAGGTCGAATTCCAGTCTTTCCAACATCAATTTTATATAGTGGACTAATATAATCGCGATGTTGTTGAGATTTCCGATTGACCGTGTTTTTTTTGGTCGTTTTGGTCTACTGTTCCGCATGAGGGGGTGTTCCGGATCCAGGGGTGGGGACTTAGTGAAAGGTATCGGAAGCCGGGATGGAACGCCACTTCGTCTGTTGAAGGTAGAAGTCGGATTCGAATGTGTAGAGTTGGATAATGACCAGTCCGCTCGGTAGATGCCGCCGCGCAAGCATGAAGATGGGCGCATGCATTGTGAAGCTGAAGCATACCACAATCTTTCAGCGTGCTTCAGACTTCAGACTTTAGGGTGAAGTGGACAAGGAGTGACAGGGTGAGGTGGCAGTTGGGTTCGAAGATTGGGATGTCGGAGCCTGTGCATGGTGTTGCTGGGGGCTCATGCCAATGCCGATGCAAATGCAAATGCAAATGCGAAAGCGGAAGCAATTCGAGCCCCTGATGCGGTTAAGAATCGGGGCGTGGCTGTTGTTGCCTCGCCGCTGTTGATTCGGAGGAACGAAGGTCAAATCGACAAAGGGGAGCCGCGCAGAGCTAAGAATAGGACTAGATGATGACGGGATGTGCGATGGTCTTTGCTGATCGTTGGTGACCTGAAACGAGTTGGGCCAATATTGCAGCATTTCTTAGGCGATGGAATATGCGAGAGTGAGAAATGCATATGGGGAACCTTGGAGGCCGTGGAGGCTCAACGCCAGATCTAAGGATACTTTACCTAGCTAGGGAGAGCCGATGCTAGGTGACAGGGCCAAAACGCGAGAAATCACATGAGCTTTAAAGGGTGTTTGGGCCGGGGGTCCGCAAGGGATGAGAATGAATGATACTCGTAATAAAGATGAGTTGAGAGCAGCGGACACGATGTTCCAGCAAGGCGTGCGCGTCAGGTTCGGGGTCCGTTTGAACGGGCTGTGCCTACCATGGTGCGGCGTACCGAAGTACGGATAATAAAGTGAGGATTCGGTTCGGTGGGGCCAGCGTTTGCATGTGCAGGCGAGCAGCAGGTAAAGGTAAAAAGGTAGGGGCCCCAGGGCAGGGAGACGGCGGGAGGATCAGGTTCACCTTTCTCTTGGCTCTCGCGATTCTGGGTCGCAGCGGTCCGCGGAAACAAAATGGGGGAGGGAAGGATTACGGCGGCTGACTAAGACATAGTAGTTCGGTTTAGTCGCTGGATAATCCATGCATGAGAAGGGTGGTGGTGTGTGTAAGCGAAAGCGAAAGGCGTTCATAACTATGACCGCTCTGAGACCAGCCCGGTGCCCGTGCTCTTATCCTCTTCTGTCTCTGCCTTCCGCCGCCATGGTCCGCTGCAGACACTCGCTCGGCACAGCGGGAAGAGGACGGAGAAGTACGGATTCCTGTCTAAACAGAGGGGAGAGAGAGGAACGAACCACTGCAATCATGGAGCCGAACTGAGTGTGGTTGAGTGGGGTTACTTTGCATAGCGAGGGAGGGAGCGAAGGGGAATGCACAGAGGAATTTGACCGAATTGAAGTAATCCCAAGGTGAAATAAGTTGGATTACTTGCGGGAGGACTTGAGACGTTTTCATCTCATTGCCATAACTCAGTGCCACTAATTCGCTGATTGGTACTCCTACTTTCCATTTTCTCAAATAAGGATTTTTTTTTTTTTTTTTAAAATAGTTTGTGAAGAAAAAAAAAGGAAAAGCCTGTCTCGCACTCGCACACATCCGCATTTGAATTTTCGTCATTCGATTCATGCGCGCGCGCGCGCGCGCCGTCAGTCAGCTTTCTGGTCATAGCATGCACGAGGTAGATCCAATAGTAATGACCGCATCGGTCGGTGTCGGCAGCAGAGCCGATGGACTCGGGGACTAGACGGATAGGTGACTGGGTGTAATGACGCAGCTGGGTTTTTTGATTGAGTTGTGGCTGTGACGGGGAGCTTGGTTGCTTGACCCCTTGGGAGAAGCGCGCAAAGGGGGCGAAAGCGAATCACTACAATGTACGGACTTGGTACGGTACTTCATAGAGTGTCGTCTCCTCAAGCGGCCAAGGTCTGCCCACTTTGGTAACTGACCAGCCTCCGGTCCCCAGCTTGTGGAAAACGTGAGCCCGTCCAAGGCTAACGACGAGAACCCAAGGCCCACAATGGCAATTGACTCTTGAACTTTGTGACCAGGTGCTCCCGACCAGACCGACGGCCCCAATCCCCACTACGAGATCATTTGCAGCTTTCTGTCTTGCCTTAGCGTACTCTCTACCGAATGACCGACCGACCGACCGACCGACGGCCCCGGGGTTGAACACGCGATGGGGTGGAATGGGATGGGATGGGACGGGACATGTGCAGCTGTACGAAGTATCCATAGTCTGTGTTCGTACTATGTATTGTCAATCGCTTCTATCTCGTTGCCGTCACGTCGTCACCCTCGGCTAGCTCACCTGCCACTCATGGCCGAGCTCCTAACCCCTGCTCGTGCACAACTTGCTTATGCCAAGTCTGGCATCTCAAGAGTCAAGACTCAATGACAGTGGGCCAGGCCGCGAGTGAGGGGGTATCCGCAGCTGAGTGAGAACCACTTCGAGATGAGGTAATTGAGGCAAGATGCAGTTTGGTCTGCACAGTAAGCTGCAGAGCAAACGCTGCAAACCTTGAGCACACTCATAGATGGAATAACATCCAATGACTTCAACTGAGAAATGGCCGCTGTGATGAAATGTAGGAGGGACTGAGTGAGCATCAAGACTGCACCCCAGGACCCAGGCAGGTAGGTACCTACTTTACCTAACCTGGAGCCCTTTCGGGCCCGTCCCAGTCCCAGCGATTGCACCGCCCCCACCCCTGCTCTTGTCCAGCCCCACACCCTCCTTGCTATTCGATGCATCCACGACCACGATCCCACGCCTGTCCAGTCCGGTCCTGCCCCGCCCAGTCCTAAGGACGCACGCCGCACCGAGAGGGTCTTTCTCTTGTGTCTCTGTGCCTGCCTGTCTGAGTGAAGTCTGCACCCACAAGTTGGCAAGTTCGACATCTGGTCCCTGTCGCGCTCGACCCGTCCAATACCCACCCATGTCATCCGCCCAGTTCCAGTCCTGGTCCCTGTCACTGGTTATGGTCCTTGGGTCCCCAGTCTTTCGCTGCTCATCCTACCTATTCTTTCTCTGGCTGCTCTCTTTTCACTTTGCCGCCGCCGCCTCTGCCACCCGCTTCCCGCCTGCTTATTCGGCTCCTGCCACCGCTGCGAAAACACTCAAAGCCTTGGGCTGCTCCGCTACTCGGCTTCGACCCATCATCTCGCCTCTCCTCCCCTTCCTTCCTGTTCCTGACGTTCCCAACAACCCCCTCTCGTTACCACAACCCGCCTAACCCGCCCAATCCGCCCGTCTCTCACGATCACGAACTGCCTCACGACTACGTCTTATCTCGAACCCTTACGAATACACACACACACACCAATTCCGAACTAAGGAAGAGAACCCGCATCTCGACCTCCATAGCACGCACCGCCATGGTCTCTTGCGATATCTAAAGGCCCTAACGCCCCATTCCGACCCTTTCTCTCCGGCCCCAGTTTGATTGCTAGTAGCAATCAACCGGCATTTACTCCCGTGCATTCCACCTGCCTGTCGCTTGCTGCTGTCATACCTCACGCCTCGCGCCTGCTGGTAGACCCATCTCACCTAAGGTGGTGCCAGCTCTTGCCAACGCATTGTCTCACCATCCAACAAACCCCAATTACCCAAGTCCATACTTGGTAGCTACTGTCGCTCGTTCTTAGCGAGCCGACAGGTTTAGAGGGAATGGATTCGTATGTCTCTCATCCTTCAATAAACAGCCCGTACCTCTCATGTTCCTTTTCTTGTCTTTGCCTGTTCAGTTCGAGAAAGTGATGATCAGCACCGGCTTGCACTTTACACTCGTCACCGTCAAATGGCTGTAACTAATCTCGTGTGGCACAGCTTTATCGCCGTGGCCGGCTGGGCACAGCATACCAGTCCTCAACCCGGTGGCAGACCTTTTGGTCATTTCCGATCTCTCTCTTCAATAGCTCGATCTCCGTCACCAAGTCCTAGGGCCACGAAAACGTCGAGTAAAGCACCTTCCGTTGTTGACATGCCCATCATGTCTTCCTCAGTCGCGTCATCGCCATCACTACGGCCCACGACAACATTAACACGTCTGGACGATGACGGCGAACTTAGCACCCTACCCGATCCGCGCAGCCGGGCTATGAGTCCCGCAAGCGAAGCTGATACTCCTCAGCATCCTGAACTGAATGACGAAGTCGCAACTCTGAGCGCCAAATTAATCAACGCCATCAACCATCAAACAACCCTCGACGACACATTATCTGCCACGAGGCAAGAGCTGGAAAGAGCACGCGAGAAGATTAAGCATTTGGAAGAACAGAATGAATCACAAAGAGAAATGCTTGCGGGCGATATTTGGATTCGTCGCAAGACCGCCGAGGAAGAAAAGAAGATCATCATGCTCCGTGTTACGCAAGAGAAGAAATTGCGGGAGGATGCCGAGAAGGAGCAGAAGAGGATCGAACAAGAGCTAGAGAGCTTATCCACGGCTTTGTTTGAGGAGGCCAACAACATGGTCATTTCCGCTAAAGAGGAGGCAAGGCTAGAGCAGGAGGCCATTCAAAGAAAGAACGACAATCTGAGGTCCCAGCTTGGCGATATGGAGGCCTTGCTGACCTCTCAGCAACAGCAACTAGCAGATCTTAAACACGTTATGGAGCTCATGGCGCTTGAAAGAGACGACGCTACGACCGGCACTGCTCCTTCGTCTCCAGGCTTCAGTAAGCCCGACACAATGAAGGACGACGAACGCTCAGAAGGCCTAGTCTCTTCGCCTCTGATGGACCCGACTTCGCCGACGTATCCTACTAGCTTGACGCATCTCATTCAGCCAGTCCTGAGGACTGACCTGGGAGCATACGAGGACTTCCTCAGCCTTACGAAGCTGTCTCGAAATCGTGCTGGAAGCCGTGTTTCGTCTGGCTCGTTCAACGGTCTAAGTGGGTTGGGCCTTGGCATGGGCGGCAGCACTTCGAGCGCTCACCCTTCCAATGCCTCAACTGCGTCTCTGTCTACGACGGGAACCCCGGCGACGTCATCACCGCAGACGCCGAACACCCCGGCCTCCGTGTCGAGCGCGGCCTCAGCTAACTTGGGCCCACCCCCGCCGGCTCTCAAGGAAACCAAGTTTTTCAAGCGTGTCCTGGCTGAGGATGTCGAGCCGACACTCCGACTGGACATTGCCCCGGGCCTGTCCTGGCTTGCGCGTCGCAGCGTTTTGAATGCCATGAGTGATGGCTCAATCGTGGTGGAGCCAATTCCTGCCAATGCGCCCTTTGCGTCACTTGTCAAGCCGCAGTTCTACCCCTGCTCCTTGTGTGGCGACTCGCGCAAGGATGAGGAGCACCTGCGAACATACCGTTTCCGAACCAGCGAGTCTGAATCAGCTCAGCGATACCCCCTTTGCAAATATTGTCTGGGTCGTGTAAGATCCACCTGCGATTTCCTCAACTTTTTGCGCATCGTCAAAGACGGTCATTGGCGAGCGGAGGATGAAGACGCGGAAAAGGCTGCATGGGAAGAAAGTGTCCGCCTGCGAGAACAGATGTTCTGGTCCCGAATTGGCGGTGGCGTCGTCCCGGCCAGCCATAGCCATCATTCGGTACCCCTAGATAAGAGCCCTCGAATTAGCCATGAAAGCGAGTCTAGAGACACGGAACCAGAGGTGGCAGTGACAGCTGCGGAAAACATTAGCAACGATACTACCCCCTTCGCCACTCCTCTCGAGGAGACAGCTAGCCAGCTGGATGCGGAAGAGTCATCGGCGAGACCAGAGACGCCCTGCCCGAGTAACCGAAACTCAGCACTGTCCTCATCACCGGAGAAGAGCTCCGCTGTAGAGCTGGACGGAGAAAAACGACTGTCCATCAATATTCCCAACAAAGAGGAGCAACAGATTGTGGTTGTGGCAACCGAGGAAAAGGGCGAAACCCCAGCATAATCATGAGCGAATTGCCATAGCGACTGACACACCCGATTTCTCGTACACACCACATATGCACTTAATCTTCGACACTGTATTAATTACGCTCTACGCCACCGTAGCAGGAATGCTGGGGCTCATAATGAAGGCCAAACAAGAGAAGGCAGAAAGAGGCAAAGCAAGGGGCAGGAGCAAATTCACGAAACGTGACTAAAGGATGGACTGAGGGGCACAAGTCACCCTTTTCTTTTTTGGTCGTTGCTGTTCTGGGCATTGGAGGATGAGAGGTCAATTGGCGTTTTGGAGAGCAAAAACTGTGGTCCATTTCACAGGGAGGACAAAGCAAACAGTTGCCATTATGGGAGCAGGAGAGGGCCAAAGGGAATCAAAGGGATAACAGACACAAAAGGTACTACATCATAATGCCTTCTTATTAATGCCAAAGATGATGATGCCTTGAGCATTGGATGAACCCTCAATACCTGTCAATTTCCATGGCACCAGCTGTGAAAGCGAACCTCGCCCTACCCTTTGTTGCAGTTTAAGTTGCTATTCTCCTTACAAGGAAGGCGCAGTATAACTAATGCCATCAGGGTAGATGAATCAAATTCCCAATCCTTCCTAGACGATGATGACTCAAGGACGACTGAGGGAATGTGTATCCATCTTCAAGTGTAGACAGACTCTTATTATATCCAGCATTCAGGGAACAAAATCACACATTGGACCAGCATTTCGTGGACGTCATTTCTTTTTGATCTTACAACAAATGAAAAATTTTGGGCTTCGTGGCCCCCCACCTCCACCTTGCTGCCTCCCGCCTTTGTCTGCTCCGTTGGCGAGATGGGAATTTTACTAGGGAAAAAAAAACACGATGAAAAGTATGGCTCTTTCTCTCCCCTACATACCCTAGCCATGGCTGGTATACAATGGGCGAATTCGACGCAGAGAAAATGTGTGAGAGAAAGACGATTGATCAACTCCATCCACATCAGGTTGCACATAGCTTCGGGCATGCCATTACAATCCAACTCAGATATCATCCCCATGTCCCAGCTCAGAGCTCTTCCTGAGCAGTAGCCTCCTTGCCGCCATCGCTTGCGGGCTTGGCCTTCTTCTGCTCGGCCTCCCTCTGGCCCTGGACGCTCTCGGCGACCTTGGGGGCGGCCGAGTCATCAGGCTTGGACTTGGTTTCTTGATCGACACCCTGAACATCAGGGTGAGGCGGGGCAACATTTTGCTCCTGGGGCCAACCGCCTTCGGGCATCTGAACTTCGTTCCCACTTGCGTCGACGACGCGCGTCCGCGTCTCGTATTTTGTCTTGAATTCGACCTTGCCCTCCAAGGCCTTCACCTGCTCCTCGTCGAGTAGATTGCCGTCCTGGTCCCGGTACTCGACCTTCTCTTCGCGGGACAGAATCTTTTGATCTGGAGCCCCCGAGACGGCCGCAGCATCTGCCTGCTCCTTTTGGGCATCGCCAATGGGGATATGACCGACTTGACCGCCCACGGGAGCGGCAGGAGCCTCAGACTTGACTGGTGTCGGTGTGGCTCCAACCGCAGCGGAAGTGCGGGTGAGAAGCTCCGTGTATTGGGAGTACTATATTGCCACAAAATAATGTCAGCCTCTTTCTACCAAATTCACAACTTCTGCCAAAGATGATTTGCCGAATCTCGTCTCAATTGGCTATCAACAATTGCTCGACATCGGCGTAGCCCGACATAAGATGAATCCCATCCATTACAGGCCTTCACAATCCTCTATCTGGCACCCCTCTACTCGGAATAAAAGCAGTACTGTTACTTACGTCATCAAAGAAGTTGTTGCAGTCGAAATCCCACGAGTTAATGACCTTGAGCCGGCTGCACTCTGCCTTGGTCCAGGCGTTTCCATAGGCTAGAGGAGAGAAGAGCACGAAGACGACGATGGTGAGCGCCAAGAAGACAACGGCGCTGGCACGGTTGATGATAGGGTTGCTGCGGATTCCAGCGAGCGATACCCGAGCAGTGGCGAAGTCGAAAGTTGAGCAGAACGCAATGACTGCGAAGTAGAGGGCGGGGAAGTAGTGGTGCAGGAACAGCTGGCGGTCCATCAGGTAGAAAGGGAAGTAGTGGAAAGCCCAACCCAAAACCGCAGTGCCGATCTCATAGTCGAATCGCTTGAACGTGGTGTTGGAGTAATCGTTGCAGCTGCGCTGCCAACGAAGAGTCGCAATACCCTTGAAGAGGACGTAGACGACGACAGCAAGGGTAGAACTCCACCACACGATGGGGTTGCCCATCAGGTAGATCTGGCGGTGGTCCTTGCCCCAGAAGTTGATGCCGCGTTTGAGGAAGGGCCACGAGTCAGGACGGGAGTCCCAGGCGTGAGACTCGACCAAGCCGGCGTTGGTCTTCCACATGACCTTTTGAAGCTCCCAGAACTTGCCGAGGAAGCCGGGGTGACGGTAGTTGACCTTGTCGACGTTCTCGCCAGTCAGTTGCGGGTGCTCGTTGTACTCGACATACCACAAGCTGTTGGGAAGTGTACCTCCTCTCGCGCAAGTAACCTCCTGTTGCTCAGAGGCCCACTCAGGGAGCTTCACTTTGTGCGAGAAGAGGACGCAACCAGTCATGATGTGGACTAATCTGAACTTGGTCTCGATAGTGCGAAGACGCTCTCTGGAAGCGGAGCTGAGGGACTGCTTCTTGACGATCTCAATCTTGAACAAGTCATTGGCGTCGCCCTCGAAGCCCTCGTAGCCGTAAGCGGACACCTCGTTCTGCCAATCAGCCTCCGTAACGGGTGGTCTGACGTCGTGGGAGTGAAGGCGACGGAACGTAGGAGTGTGGTACAGGCGAACGACATCGCCGTCCTTGATGAAGACAGGCTCGGGGAGGTTGTCCCAGGCCTGAGTACCGTTAATCTGCTCGCCGTTGATACCCAGAGGCTGGGTCTGGTTTTCGAGGAGCCAAAGGTTGTTCTCGTCCTTGTGGGGGTAAAGGGTGATTTGCTGTTGCTTGCTGCCAGTGGGGTACATGAGGGGGTGAGAGTGCAGGTAACCGCCCTGTGTGTTGGCATGTCTGATGCTGACACGGCTACCAAAGGCGACGTCAGCGGCGACGTCTTGCATACCCTTGGAGTTGAGAGTAGACTGAAATTCGGAGCTCATGAAGCCGTCGCCGTCGCCAGGGTTGACCAGGCAAAGGAAGTGGATGGCAAACATGGCCATGTAGAAGCCGACAGGGATAATGACCAGGGCGAAGGCACGAGCCATGAAGTGCTTTGCCCAGATGCGCGGCGTAACATTCTTGGTGTCTCCAAGAAGAACCCAGAGCTGGACAAGGGTCAAGCTTCCAACCCAGGCAATAGTGAACAAACCAACCCATTTGATGCTGACAGTCGTGCCCAGACCCAGGCCAGTCATCAAGAGCCAGAACCACCAGCTCAACTGGAAAGCCTTTTCGGGACCCTGCTCATGCTGGTTCGTAAAGGACTGGAAGGAGAGGGCGGTAAAGGCGGTTGCAACCATGAGCGGAGAGTCGAGTAGAATGAGGCGAGCTTGGGTAAGAAGGCCGTTCTCTGTACGGAGTATTAGCCATTGATACATAGTTAAGTGGTGAGGCGGTTTGCTCTTACCGAAGATGATCAGACTGGAGCCCATCAGAGCCGTGGTGGTGCGACATCCGGTGGTCTTGAGAGTCAGGAACATGAGAGGGGCCAGCAGAATACCGCAGATGGCCGGGAACATGCGCATGGCGACGTAGGGAACACCGGGCTCGAGGTAGTCCTTGCCAATATCCTTGAAGTCGAAGTCGCCGTTGAAACCAGCCAACCAGCCGGTGAGAGCAATGAGCATCTTGGCCAAAGGAGGGTGAACATCCATGAAGAATTTGCCCTTGATGTATTTCGAAGCGAAGCCACCGAAGCTATACGTGAGGGCGTCAGCGACGATACGCATCGGAAGGAGGCAAGGGGGGTTATGTGCGCTTACTGGACTTCGTCAAAGACGACACTAGTGGGCTGGTAAATGCGGAACAGGCGAACGATGGCGGCGAGGATGGTCAAGCCCAGCATGATTTGGTAGTCGGAAACAGGCAGGAGAAAGACGTCGTTGTCCTCAACACCGTCAGACTTGTAGCTCGATTCGCGCTGGACAGGGAATTTGCCATGGCCATTGCCGTTGCCATTGATGCCGTTGACCCCGTTGGCATGCTTCTCAAGCTTGGGGCTCGAAGAGCGGACTGGCTTGGTGGCAGCCATGATCGCAGAGGGAGGTATCAAATCGCGGTAAACAATCGATATAGTCGGAACGGGCGCAGGTGTCGTCCACTCAATGTCGACGGCGGCTCCGACTCGGTGACGGGCGACGTGGACAATGAGGGCGGAGAGCGGTCGTCAGCACCTAGCAAGGTGAGAATGGGACACGAGGTTTTCTCGCGTCGGTCGAGTGGCAGGGAGGTGGGAAAAGGAATCAACGAAAGTCGAGAAGGGAAGAGGTGGATTAAATGGCCGTCATTCAGCAAGGTGAATGACGGGCTCGGTAGAAGAATGCCCTCAATGGAACAAGAAAAAAAAAAGGAAGATGCTTTTTCTTGGAGTAGATGGAAGAAAAAGGGAGCAGGGACAAGTACAGAGAAAGGTAGAGTACAGATAGAGTCTGGGTTTACTGCCTGGCGGAAAGTTTAGACCGCGGAAGCTGATGACAGCTGGGGGGAGGCCAGGCTGGAAGGGAGGATAAGGGGGTCAGGGTCGGAGTTGTAGCTTAAGTGGCCTCATCCCATGTGGCTTGACAGCCAGCAATTGGTGCAAGCTAGGACCTGCCTGGGACCTGCCTGGCTCCATCCAGTGATCCCCCTCCCCCTTGAGTCCATCCACGCCCCCCTTCCATCCCACAATTCCCCATGGCCGGGTCAGTCCCTCCTTCTACGGATAGACGTACAGACGCTCCTCTGTCTCTCTCTTGGCTACTATCGTACCTGATATCCGAACACAGTATCCAGACATACCTAGGTACCTTAAGCTATGGTACAAAGTGATGTAGGTAAGGCAGTTCTTCCTGCCTAGATCAGATGCTTGGGATGCTCACTCGAGTGTAGATCCAGTCCCTAGAAAGATCGGGTAAGGGGACCCGCGGACGCGTATATTTGGACCACCTTACACCCCACCGATCCGCCGGGGATTATCTTCGGTTGTCTACCAGTCTGAGGCAAGAAGCACTTTACGCGCTTCACTGTGGTACCGAGTGCATATCCGGCATATGAGGTGATGGCATAGCCCCGGACCCCAACTACCAATATGGCCCATTGTGCAAAACTTTCTCTCATACCCTGATGTAGAGTGCGATGCTTCACTACCTTAAACTTGTTGTCGACCCCATATGCGCGGAGGCATCCTCGTGGTTGAACAAGTGTCCTCAACACGTGAGAGCTACCTACCTACGTACCTTGCAGATGAGTAATTTTTAGCCCATCCAATGTCTTGGAGTATCGGTACTTACCTTGGAGCTGCGTTGTCTTAGCTCCGGCCGCGTACTCGTGCTCCTCTAGCGCCAAAGGGGGACGGCGGGAGACGTGCTGTGGCTGCCCATTGTTCTCTCCGCGCCCGGCCTCCAGCCCGGCCTCTCCAACCGACATAGTTCAGCTTCCCATCCGCACTGGCGCACTGGCGCACTGGCGCACTTGGTGCGTTGGACCCCATCCATGCCCTGTCACGCCTGTCCACTCCTGGTGGACAGTGGTCTGTGCACTGATGCAATGCGGCTGAGAAAGAGACGGCGTACGCAAGGCATCTCTACCTCACGCAGCATCATCTGGGAATACCCTTCACGACTGTACTAGCTGGCTCCGCACTCTATTTCCATCACAGCGGTGCCACTCAACGCATATTTGGGCTTACCTGGGAGTATTTCCCAAGTGTAAAAATCACGATGTCTACCAGCTGGCCGTCCTGCCTCTGCCTCTGGCGAGCATCCAGCCGGCCTCGTGGCAGCTCCACCAAAGCCACCTTGCTGAGCACACGCGTTGAGTGGCAGTTCAATGCCTTACCAGAGCACGTCCGGATAGATAAGTGGAATTTGGATGTCGGAATGGAGCCACAACGGCCTCCCTTCATTCCTAGACATTCGCCTCTGAATACACTCCCTTAATTCCCGCCCCGAAACAGCTCTCTAGAACCAGCAGTAGTGATTATTCAAGGGCCTCATTGAGAATATCAAGTTCAATTCGTGGACAATAGATGAATTTTTGAAAAGACACGAACGGTGCGCGATGCACCAGTATGCTGTAAGCGAGGGGAGCTCGGCGGCGCTTGAAAGAACGCACTAACCTGTATTTCTTGTTGTTGACTGCAAAGCTAAACATCGGTCGCGTTCGAATGACTACAGTATAGAAGTTGTAATTACCGTCCTTTATTCAGAGTTCAAACCATATCGCACGCAAACCACGCTATCGAGACTCCAGATCCTAGAAACGAACATGGCCCGTGCAGCCCTTCTTTGCAGATTCGGCTGACTAAGAAACGTGCTAGCCGGTCTGGGGTCCAGGTTGCCTCGGAATCTGCGAAAAAAGTTAACGAACGCGGCTGGTGAGCTTTGTCCTCGTCTCGACTTCTCGCCAGCTCCACGCGCCGCATCCTGACGACATCAACCCGAACTGCGCGCGCTCTCCCCTACGCAACATGGCCTCGACTACAACCAACGGCGACGCTGCCGCCGTACTAGACGAGCTTAAACCTCCCACCGGTGTTGTTCTGCCACCTCGCGAGATTCGGAATGTTCTTGAGAAGACGGCAGGTTACGTGGCGCGTAACGGTATCATATTCGAGGACAGAATTCGCGAAAAGGAGCGCTCCAATCCAAAGTTCAGTTTCCTCAACAATACCGACGCATACCATGCTTTCTATCAGTGGCGTCTTGATGAGATCAAGGCCGGCCGCGGCACCGCCATCGCCGCCGGGCGCGCCAATGAAGCAGCAGCACCCGCCGAGCAGAAGCCCCAGGGCCCGCCTAAGCCTCCCGATTTCCAATTCTCGGCCCGTATGCCGCGAATCAACCAGAAAGATCTCGAGGTCATCCGATTGACCGCCCTATTCGTCGCGAAGAACGGCCGCCAGTTCATGACCCAGCTTGCCCAACGCGAGGCCGGAAACCCCCAATTTCAGTTCCTCATTCCGAACCACACGTTCCACAACTTTTTCCAACACCAGGTCGACCAGTACACAACACTACTGAGGGCTAGCGGGCTGGGCGGCGAAGGTGGTAAGATTGAACAAGAGCGCATTAGCCATCTACAGCGAAACATTGACGACAAGTATCACGTCTTGGGCCGCGCGAAGCAACGTGCCGAGTACTCAAAGTTCCAAGAGATCGAAAAAGTGAAGAAAGAGGAGGAAGACGAGAAGAAGAAGCTCGAGTTTGCCCGCATCGACTGGAACGACTTCGTGGTTGTCGAGACCATCGTCTTCACGGATGCCGATGAGCAAGCGAACCTACCACCTCCGACGAACCTTTCCGAATTGCAATACGCTTCCCTTGAAGAGCGAAATAAGGCCTCGTTAACCAACCTCCGCATCGAGGAGGCCATGCCCGACGAGGATACGTCTTACAATGCCTACCCCCAGACCTCCCAGACATTGCCAGTCCAGGCAGGTTACGCGCCGCAGCAACCGTACCAGGCGCAAGCACCGGTAGGATTCCAAGGATACCAGGACGGCCCAACGCGACGGTCGGCAGAGGAGGAGGAGGAAGAGCGGAGGATCCAGGAGAGGACAGAGGCACGTGCCCGGGAACAACAGGCACGCGCTGAAGCACGTGGAGGAACGGCTCCGATGAAGATCAAAGAGAACTATGTACCCCGAGCACTCCAACGAGCGGCCAACAAACAGAGCGTCCAGATGGCGCTGTGCCCGAATTGCAAGCAGCAAATCCCCATGGATGAGCTGCAGGACCACATGAGAAGTGAGTTAATCGCCAATCTTGTAGAATGGACATGTAGCGTGGCTAACAGTTTCTGCAGTTGAACTTCTCGACCCTCAATGGAAAGACCAAAAGGCAAAGGCAGAGGCGAGATACTCCACGACCAACTTGTCGACAGCAGATGTCGCAAACAACCTGAAGCGTCTGGCAAGTCAGAGAAGCGACGTCTTCGACGGCGTCACCGGTCAACCCCTGTCGGAAGAAGAGGCAGCCCGGCGCAAGAAGGCTACGATTCACAGTTTTGATGGTAATCCCGAGGGCAAGAGTCAAGCTCACATCAACCACCTGCACAACCTGAACGTCGAAGAGCAGATCCGTGCTATTCATCAGAGATTTGCGGACAAGAAGTAGGTGGCTACGAGCCAATGATGGCCGGATCCATCGGTCAAGATTCACTCATCAGATGCCGCCATCTCAGGCCTTGCGCAGTTCAGATTTGACGTGACGGCATTTCCAGCTTCGACTGGAGGGAGGAAGCAGAAACTGAAGCCGTCAAAGCCAAGCTTTGGCACATGGCAGAGTCAGTGTACAAACACGAATAGAGGATTGGCTCGGAGGTGAGAACTCGGCGTTTACTAGGTGCTTATTTTCAGAGAGACTCATGGCGCTCCAGCAATATCCTGCCCCTTTTCAACCGGTCCATAACGTCTGCTGCCGCGAGTAGCTTGACCCAGGCGCCGAGATACTGGAGCGGTAGAGGTCACTACCCACGAAAAGTGAACATGGTGCATCAAAAGTGATCCAACATGCGCACTGCACCCGCTGTAGTCAATGGTTGTGTTTATATGTCAGCATTGAGGAGTTAACCCGTAAGGGACACGAAGCCAAGAACACGGGAGGACGATCTGCAGGACAAGGTCCCGAAAAGTTGGGGTTCTGCTGAATGGGGTAAAGATATCTTTTTAGCAACGCGAATCCAACCTTAATTTCAACACCAGCTCAAGATTTGGCTGGAATTGACGTGGTCCCATGCGTAGTGTCTAGAAAGAAGAACAAAGGGACATTTTGCCAACGGCCCTGTGAAAACCTACCTTACCTTGCCTTGCCTTACCTTATACCTAGGCCGTGAGCCAACTGAGGTGGTTTATAATTCGGAACGGCTCCAGAAATGCCTTCCGGTCCACTAGGTACCCCCCACCTGCTCAATTGGGCAGCGCTGCCGCTCACGGTTACGAGGAGGCCCCCACCTCGCACCCTCAGACGGCGCATCGGCTCAGCCTCTCTCAATCCTGCCTGGTAATCAAGCGAACCGGTCTGTTGCGGCAGCGGCCGGGACTGGGTCGTCATATTGCTCCCCCGCAATTCACCAGCTAAACCACGCCGCACTGCTCACACCCTTCTGTCGTAATCGGCCGCTCTTCGCACAAGACCAATTCCCCCACCTCCTCCCACTTCGACATTTTTTCTCACATCGAACAACATACCTCACCTCGTCTCGCCTCGCCTCGCCTTCACCTTTCGCCCTTGCCCTCGGGCCGAATACCCAGTTCACGCATACATCCCCGAGTCCCAGCAATTCGCAGCAGACAACTGCCAAAGAGAAGGAGAAGGAGGGGGGATCCCGAGCGTTTAGCAGAGAAGAACAAGCGTCCCACCAAACCCGATATCGCGCTCGCGCCCACGACGACAGCGAATACCACGCCCTCTCCATCCATCCCTGGTGCGACGACTTGACGACAGCCAATTCCGCAGACCATATTCCTCTCTCTCTTCCCGCCGAGGAACGCCGCCAAAACGGATTCCGGAAACCAGAACGCCGCTCGCGCTCCCAGCGCTGAGCCCACCTCTCCCACCTCTCCGACCGGATCACAGGCGGGCAGCCAGGCCTCGCCGCGCTTCCACCGGCCCATCATGCAGGCGATGCCGGATAACCGACAACAGTCCTTTGACGAGATCTACGGGCCCCCCGAGAACTTTCTCGAGATCGAGGTGAGGAGGCCAAGCAAGCAACTACTACAGCAGCAGCGCAACACCCGCCCTCTCCGGCTATTCCTGATAGTCGTCACATGCCCTCTTACCCCTCCAACCGCCCGCCATCTCAAATGCGCTCAAGTCAAGGGGAACACTCACAATCTAACAACCTGTCCCTTAGGTCCGCAACCCCCGAACCCATGGCATGGGCCGCAGCATGTACACCGACTATGAGATTGTCTGCCGCACCAACATCCCTGCCTTCAAGCTCCGGGCCTCGAGCGTGCGCCGCCGCTACTCCGACTTTGAGTACTTTCGAGACATCCTCGAGCGCGAGAGCGCCCGCGTCACCATCCCGCCCCTGCCCGGTAAAGTCTTTACGAACCGCTTCAGCGACGACGTCATTGAGGGCCGTCGCGCCGGTCTCGAAAAGTTTTTGCGCATCGTCGTCGGGCACCCGCTTCTGCAGACCGGCAGCAAGGTCCTGGCGGCTTTCGTTCAAGGTAAGAGAGAGAGAGAGAAAGGGACAGGGTGGAATTCTTCCCGTCATGTTATGACCACTGTCTGGTGCTGTTTGCTGTGCTACCGGGCCAAGGAAACGAACGATATTGAGACTTGGAAAGATGACTGACAAGATTGGGATTTCCATAGACCCTAACTGGGACCGCAATGCGTGGTGACTGAAGCTCCGCGTCAGCTTCTCTTCGTCTGTTTCGCGATCACCGAACAAATTGCGCAAACGGCCACCCAAGCGCCATCGCATCGACACGCAGCTTGAAGGGCTGACTGCAAAGAGCTCCATCTCTTATGAATGACCTATACACCTACCTGTGATGGGTGTGGCTGGACAAATTGAAGGTGCACAAAAGCAAGGGAAGGGATGGGGGATTGGGGGAGGGTGGTCCAGTGTTTGCGGCCATTCATTGCGCAGCTCTTTTTTTCTTTCTTCAACTCTTCCCTCTCATCGTAGTGTCTATTGTTGTGTTGCGTTGATGTTTCGACTTTCCCCCCCCAAAACAGCTCTTCATTTTCTTTTCTTTTGCCAAACTGATTTTCCCTTTTGCAAATCCGCCAAGGCGGACAGCATCAGCGTTGCTTATCTCCTCGACACGGGGGAAAGGGAGGAGGAGGAGGAGGAGGAGGAGGAGGAGGGGTAGGAGGATGGCGTTCCCAAAAATGAAGAAAATTGAGAACCATGACTGTCGAAATATTTCTTCATGGCCATGACCGTGTGTGTGTATGCGAAGGCGCAACTTCCACTACTTGACAAGAACCAAACTCCCAGCCGGCTGTCTTGTCGGTGTACTCACGAAGTACTCCCATGATGAAACGGCAGAGAAGGGGCCCCAAAGAACACGGAGGAACGAATCCGGATGGACGCCGTCGTTCTTGGCGTAGAGAAGCGGCCAACCGGACCGGAGCGGTGGACGTTCTTGAGCTGTTCCCACCAGAAAGCGGTATAACCCCTAGGGAGGACGAAAAGAAAGTAGTAGATGGGCGATACACATGTAGCCGAAATCCCCTGATTCTAGTTGGGAGAGCTATGGGTGCGAGGTGCAGGGAATCTCACACAGGTGTATCTCTGTACATTTCATTGCAAGTGGCGCATATCTTGTCCATCTTTCATGTTGTGATTTCTTCTTTTTTCTTTACATTATTATACACATATGGTTGTCTTCTCATCTGGGAAGATACATCTCCCACGTGATTGGGACCCTACTTGGTTGTGGGTGTGGTTTTTTGTTTTACTCTTTTATACAATTGTCGAACCAAACGGCCCACCTTACTCCCGCAAAAGCCATCTGATGACCTTCACTACTTCAAAAGAGTAATGCAAAAAGGAAGGTGAGCTCATCCTGTTGACACCGTCACCCTCCTTTCCCTTTCTCATGGCCAAACCGAAAAACAGGCTGGAGCTCGCTTCTTCCCCCGCCATATCGTACACGAAGAACTCCGGCCTCTTTTAGACGGCTGTAAAGAAGGACTTGAGGAGAGAATTATTGACGCGAAAAGCTCTTGGCGAGATTTCTTCCTGATCCGTAGTTCCGACCGTCCGTTTATCCCAGAGCTGCGATGATTTGTCGATCGTTTGGTCGTGAGGGTTGTAGTTTTATACGTATTATAGTACAATAGATTGTTACATCCAAAGAGGCGGGTCCGGTCCGGTCCGGTGCGGTTCCGTTCAATCACCGTCGGCGCTTGATGAGAAACCCCCCTTCGGTAGTGGTGGTGGTTGGGGCTGTGATCGAGATACCACTCTTCGTTGACGTCAAGCCGGGAGTCACATTACAAGCTCGCGCTAGCCTTGCTGGAGGCGCCAAAGATGCGCAGGATGCCCTCGTACATGCCAAACATGATGGCCGCGCTGGGGACGGTGCGCATGAGGTGCGGCGTAAGACCGCCGTAGAGGCCCATGAAGCCCTCCTCGACCCATACAACACGGAAGCACTGCCAGAGGCCAGTATACTTGAGTTGGCCGTTGGCCAGGGGCGCCTGTCGTAGCCTCGTTCGCGCGACCTGTTTCGTATTGTCAGCAAGTCATTCTAGGCTGCCCAGATGCAGGCATGTCGATCGGGAGAGATCGTTGGGCCAAAACAATTCATACCTCGTGAGGGTAAGCAAGGATGGCTGCAACTAGCTTGGCGCCGCCAGCAGCACCGGCATTCCCCATCCAATCCACCGTCCGGTCCCAAAAGGTCTTGTCCCGCCCGCTCGCGACGATGCGCTCCTCCCTGGCGGCCAACCTATTCTTGAGGTTCTCGTACAGCACCCACTGCAGCGTGCTCTCCGCCACACCCAAGTAACTCGCGCTCATGCCCTTGTACATCCCCCTAATCCCTTCGGTCCGCAGTACCTGCTTGACGCAGTCCCAGCTGTTGCGATACTGCCTCTGGTGCAATCCGCCCCTCTTCTCCGCCACGTTCTTGTCGAGCTGCAAGCGTGTCTTTACGAGCCATATGGGGTTCGTCGCCGTGCTCGTCGTCACGCCCGCCAGAACGCCCGCCGCGAGGTGGACCACGGGCCCTTCCTCGCCGCCGTTGCCGTATTCCGCAATGAGCCGCTTGCCGTTGCCGTAGGTGTAGAAGTTTATACTCCGCGCGGGGATTACGCCGATGAGGTTGGGTCCCAGGCCCTTGAAGAGCGCGCGGGGGCCCTCAATCTTGTAGACGGAGCCGAGGATCTGAAAGGTTTCGCGGAGGTGGAAGAGGGCGGCGCGCATGGGGCTTAGGGTGCCGACGGCCTGGGCGCGGGCGGCGTGGGAGGCGCGCAGCTGGGCTTGGTAAAAGTCGGATTGGAGGCGGGTCTTGAGGACGTCGAGGGGTGCTGTGAGTGTCGCAGCCGTCATGCCTCCAACGCTGTAATGGTAGAAAAAAGAGTCTTGTTAGCTTTTCTCTTTGCCCCTTTGCAGGTAGAATGTAATTTTTTCCTCCTTCGTCCCAACCTTCTTTCCGACTCACAAGGAGCATCAATTGAGAACCAGAACGGGGAAGCAGAACAGCTTTTTCAGACGTACCCTCCAGCGACGAAATGTACCCATGACTTTGCGAACGGTGATTCCTTCTCGCCTCCCATGGCCGGGTTCTGTTTTGTGTCGGGGATGATGTCGCCCGTCTCTCGAGATGTCGGGTATGAAGTCGTATCCGGGGCACGGCGTGCTGCCGGCCGGTCGCCTGTGGCAGACATGAATTCGGCGGATGCGGGAGAATGAGCCATTCAGGGCAGGAAAAATGAAGAAGAAGGCGTGTGGCGATACGGGTTTTAAGGTCCAGCTGGTTTAGCAGGATAGCTTCGACTGGCGCAGGAAGACGAAACCGTATCTCATGTGACGACGTTGAAATGGTGAGAGTTGGTGAGCTAAAAGAGAGTGGGCGGTGGTTGCGACACTTTGTCGATGGTCGAGTGGTATCGTTACGTCGAAGTCATGTCGCGGGAGTGAGGTGAGGGAGCGGTTCGTCATGGATGATGGGATTTAGGAGCTGGGTAACTTTTTTTTTCCTTATCCCCCCCCGTCCATTTGCTTAGACAGAAACGCGCCACGCTCAGATTTCATCTGTCGATCCACTTTAACCGGCGTGTCGGCTTGATGTAGATGGCCCGTGCTCTATGTGGCTTTACAGTGATTGTCATTCGTCAATACAGCTATCCCCTGCGACCTTCCAAGCACCTACCACCTAAGGTGCCTCAGCTAATAAGTAAGGTACGTTAGATGTCTAGGTACCTTTTGTGAAGACTGCAACGGACATCCATATGTATAAGCCCGCCAGCTACCTTAGTCCCCCTAGTTGAGGGTGCAAATACCCTCGACATCACAACCAAATAGTTTGACACGATCCCTTGAAATAGGCTTACTTGTAAACCATTATGGAGTATCTCAGTTTTAGCTTTGTTTCCTTAGTAGCACATCGCAATGCACTCGCACATGCACACACTATACGCACTACACACACTGGACACGCTCGACACGCTCTTTTCAAATCCTTCTCCCCCACCCCCCTATCCCTCTTTAATAAGAGCATGGTGGTATTGCCAAGGCGGCCCGATTCATGAAAACTAAGTCATCTGCCAAAAAAATGGCGTCTTTCGCTGGCTCAACGTCCAACCATATTGCTCGCGGGCGTCGATGTTGCGTCCCGCGCATCGGCTGCCGCAGTCGCAGCCGACGCCATGTGGCTGAGTAGCATATGGTCGCTCTTTAGACTGGGCAATTGTTGTTGTTGAGGTTGCTGCTGCTGCTGCTGCTCTCCGCGGTGCGGCGCGGGGCGTGGCTCCGGCATCCAGGGCTTGTGGTTCAGCGGCGGGGGTGGTTCGTGCTCCACGTCCATGAAACTGCCCGTCCTACTCCGAGACCCGGGGTCTAATGGCGACCGCTGGCGATGGTCCTGCTGACCTCTGCTGGCCGGCCGAGATACGTCTCCTCCCAGCATGAGGTTGGCTGACGAAGACGAGGTTGTCGGTGGTTCGTGGGACCGGCCATCGTCTTGTGTCGGGTCGTATCGTAATGTTCTCACCGGCGCCGGCTGAGCCGGGCTCGGTTCCACGTGCGGCGCTTCGTCCGCGCTGCTGCTTGCCTCGCGATTAAGCCAGGCAATCTCCTCTTCGGTAATCGTCTTCCACCCGCACTTGGCATGCTTCTTGGTGCATCCCTGGCAGGCTGTCAGGTGCTTGATGCACGGCGACTTGAGCCTGCGGCAGCGGTCGCACGGCGGCCAGATTTGGTCTCCCTTGTTAAGCTTCTCTATCCTCGCGGTGATGATGGCCCGGTGCGGCGACGATGGATCGTACGACGGATCTCGCTGTGGTATGACCGGCGGCGCATGCACGACGACTGGGCGCCCCTGCTGCAAGGGTAGTGAATGCGGATGAGGATTCGTCGCGGGTGGTGTGTGTTGGCCCGTCGAATGGGCCTGCTCGAGGCCGGCGCTGGAGGGGACCCGAGGGGGGTAGGCTTGAGAAGATGACAGAAACTGCTGGAGCAGGTCTGCGTGTAGGTCGTACCCGGCTCCGTGGGCGACGTGACCTCTGGAGTGGTTGACGGACTGAAAGGCTGAGCTGCTTCCTTGCTGCCCGCCATGGCGCGAGTTGATCCCGGCTCTGCGGCCGCTCAAGTGGTAGTTCAGCTGCCGCGCCCTCTTGGCGATTTCATCGGCCTTCTTGATGAGAACTTGCAGACGCTGCTCAACGATTTCCAGTGTCGCCACTTCAGCCGTCTCATCCTCTTCCAGAGGAGCCGTGGACACGACGGAGAACCTGTCCAAGGCGCCGTTAATGATGAGACGCCAATCGTCTTCCAGGATCTGGGTCTGTATGCCGTTCAGATAAAACTGGCATGTGCGCTCGCCGTCGTGCCCTGTCGTGAGAACGAATTTCTCGGGATTCGTCTTGGCAAATGTGACGATGTCCAGCCAGCTCACGGGTGCCGCGCCATAGGGAGGTGGTGGGTTGGTGATGATTGGACCCTCAAAAGCTCCCTCCATGGCTTTCAGAAGACGGGGACCTGTGAGCTTGGCGCCCAAGTTGGCTGCGAGACTCTCATGTCTATTGAGAACTCCTATTGTTGACCGTTGAGCATGACATTTCATATAAGACACACGCGGGTCCAAGGGGAAAAACCATACCTTCATACTGGTTCAACAGACCAAGGACGTCGCAGAATGTGTCAGGTTCTCCCTGGATGAGCTTGAGTCTGCCAGGGTTGGCTTTGGATAGGTAGTTGATGATGGATGAATTGCCTTTTGAGTTGACAATTAGTACTAGCTCATGGGACGAGACGAGATGCAGCGCAATCGGGTATGGCCAATAGGGCAAGATTCCATGGCAGGACAATTAAGCATTGCCAAGGGGCTTGGAACAAGCGCGATGCAGATGGAGGAAGCCCGAGCTGGAGTAGAGATGGAGACGGAGACTGGGAGGGATGAAGTTGGGGAATAATCGAAAGGTAGAAAACAAGGTGCGGGTGGCGCTGGCAGGCAGGCCGGGGCGAGGGATCAATGGCGAGTCTAACCTCGATTGCCTCCGGGCGCGACGACGACAACGACGAGATGCATTTGGTGGATGAGATCGACGGCTCATGTTCCTTCTGCGCATCGCGACATGTTGCTCTCTTGCTCTTTTGAATTTTGGTTTTGCTGGAGACTTTGACTCTTGGATCACACACACACACTGGCGCACCGCACATACCTGACTGAGGCGGAGGAGGCTGGGGAATACGATCAGAATGAGCTGGCTGAGCGCCGCCGTCGTCTGCGTCCCGTTTCCGTTTATGGGGCTCTTGGGAATCCTGGGCATGCGCCATGGCGAGATTGTCACCGGGCAACAAGGCAGAGGGTCCCGCGAGGGCAAGGTGTATTTTTTCTTTCACCCTTCCTCGTTGTGGCCCTCTCTTCCTCCCTTTTTAGAGTAAGATCAAGTGTAAAACAAATAGTCGGGTGAGTGTGAGACGAGTAGTTGGTTTGGGGGGGTGGTGTAAAGTGTGTGTGAAGGCCAAAGGGCTATGGAGCGTCATATGAGGGATCCTGAAAACTGGGAGTTGGTTAGTTCATGGCGAAGCAGCACCTTATGAGGTGGCAACCAGCAGACAGGGACCCAGAGAGTAAGGAATGCCTCAGGTAACAGACGAGAAGTTGGGGCTTGGATGGAGCAAGCAAGCTTCGAACGAAAGAGGGACGAGAGATTTTGTTGATCGAAGGGGGGAGCGAACGAGGCCGGAGAGCCAAGAAAAGACGGGGAAGGTGGTCGGGGCCACAGGACGGGGGCTGGCTGGGGACTTGGGGCGGGACTCGGGAGGAGGAGTGGGAGAGAGGAGGCAATGTAAGGCAAGACAAGGGAACTTGGGCAACATAAGGTACTTACAGGCAGAGGACGGGTGGACGGGGTTGATAGAATGAGAGAGAGGGGGGGAGAGGGGGCGGGAGAGAGCGAAAGAGGCGGTCTTGGGTGTGTGGTCGCGCTGTGGCGTGTGAGGTGAGAGGGAATGAGAACACCCAGAGAGCAAGGTAATTGAGTGATGGAGATGGGACGGCTTGAAGGACGGGACGGGTAGAGGAGGAGAGCCGAGAGAAGAGGGAAAGAAGAGCAGACGGCGGGCGCAGCTGCAGAGGCGAGTTTACAGGCTAATTGCCTAATGACAAGGGGCGGGCAGGTGCCGTGTTCCCACCGCAAAGTTCCCAAATTGGTTGTGTCGTGTGTCGATATGAAAGTGAGATGAGTGAAAAAGAAGGAGGAGAGAGAAAGAGAGAGAGAGGCTGAGAGAGTACCTCCGGATGTGAGACTTAGGTTGAGGACTTAGGAGAGACACGACGGAACGGGAGTTTGGAAGAGTGGGTTCCCTTTTTCGCGACGGGGGAGGAGAGGGGCGGCAGCCGTGTCTGTCGGGCGGTAGAGAGTGTGTGTATATGGGAGACTGTGTGTGAGTGAGAGGCGGCGAGAGGCGGGACGCTGGAGTGAGCGCAGCCCAGCGCGAGGCGAGGTATGTGTGACGGTGTGGACGCTGGAAAATGCAGTGCAGGACCGCAATGGAAGGCAAAGATGCGGTGCAGCAAGGGCGGAGGGAGTTCCACTAAACGGATGGGGCCGGGGGTGGGAGGGGACCCGGCGTCCTTCTTTTCGTTCGTCGGGAGGGAGGGAGCCTAAAAAGCTTGGACTGACGGAACCCGAGGACACCTCAGTTTTCCTGCGAGTCTAAAAAGGCTGGCCCGATTGAGTGAGTGAGTGGGAGAAAGAGTGGAGGGCCAGGGCCAGGGCAGGGTCCGTCCCTTTTGCGTCTTGGGTGCGAGGTTGTGTGTAAGTGAGATTGAGATGAGGAGGATTGGTGGAACTTTGAGCGGGAGGAGCGCAGAGCAGAGAGGCCGAGAGGCACAGAGGCAATGGCTGCCGGAGGAGGGAGCTACAGCAGCTCCTAGCGTGGCATGAAGGCGCAAGACAAGATGAGGTCGGTAGGCGACGTTGGCTCCAAGGTAGGCAAGGTAGAGTGAGGTTTCGTGAAATACGCCAAGCCAAGGTAGCGGAATGTGGTGATGATGATGCATGTATGGACTGGGGGTGCCAACTCTCAGAAACGCAGCCCGCCCCGATCCCCAAACACGCAAAAAGACACCAGCCAAAAGAGTAACAAAATTGAAGACCAAGCAAGTCAGGTGGGGGCCACACCACCGGGCAGGTTTGAACTGGACTGGGCTGGACTGGGCTGGACTGGATCCGGGGCTATGTGTCCAAGTCTGTCTGTCTCTGTCCGTTGAAGAAGCTGTCCCACCGTGGTTCAGCCCATGTAAGACGGCGTAATAGGGAGTCCCTGGCGACGGGGTTTTTTTCTTCCTTCCTCGATGAGTCTTTCTTTTCCCTTTGTTCTTTTTCTCCCTTCCTCTTCCTGCCGTTCGTTTAATTGCCTCTTGGGTTCCTTGACCCGTCGATAAACGCAGCTTGTCCTAACTGAGCAAAGTGGGAAATTTCAAAACGGATGACGGCGACTGTGTACGGGGGGTGGCGCTGGGACCTGGCGCATGCGATGTCGTTTAAAGCAGTTGAGCGACTTATACGGATATGAGGTAAGATGAAAGATGGGCAAACAGCCGTTTCCCGCTTGTCGTTGGTCTCCTTATGTAAGACCGGCAGCCCTACAAAGGCTTGGGAGCTGAACAAGTCCGGCTATGTGAGCCGAGGATAAGACTTGACGGGGTCAGGGTCGGGGGAAAGTAACGAGCAAGTAATGCCCTTGGTCTAAGGGAGTCGGCAAACCGGCAGCGTTTAATTCGAAAAATTTGAGCAAAAAAAAAGGGGGGGGGGGGGGGAGGACTGACTTTGAGGCCGAGGTGACCTTCGCCGGCCCGCGACATAAAGTTAGAAAAAGACTTCTATTCTAGTTGACTCTTGAAAGCCGCTTGGGGACTCGGGAGAATCGATGCAGGGTATTGGACGCCGAACACAATTAATACGAGCGGGGAACCGGGGGGTTGGGAATCTGCCTGCTTTTCAACGAGGCCCATGGCCCGATACACTGCATAGTAGAGCCGGCTCCAGCCTGGTGCAGTGCACAGCCTGGAAACTGGGGAAATGGAGGAGCTAACCGGCCAGTTGGCTGTGAGTGTTTCGAGAGGAGAGGAGAGCGGGCGGGAAGGGGGCCACCTGTGTGAGCCTGTGAGCCTGTCAGCCTGTGAGAGAGTGGTTGCGTGAGAAAGGAGGTGTCCTAGGTAGGAGGAAGGATGTATGGGGCGGGCGACTACCTGCACTAATAGTGAACTTGAACCTGAAAGCTTGAGACACCGCCAGCGCTGGACATGAGACTCAGTGGGGAAAGGGCTGCCGGGTGGAAATCTAGGTCGGGAGGAGCGCAGATCTCCACCTGCTCAACTGCCTTGCCGGGACACCGAGAGACAGAAACACGGTCTGACAGAGAAGGGGCAGAGAAGGGACAGAGGAGGGACAGAAAAACAAGAGAGGACCAGATCACCCCTTTTTTTTCCTCTTTCCGTTGCATCGCATCTGTGATCTGAGCCCCCGCCTCCGGCGAACCGGCACGTCGTATTCAAGCATCCCATCTTCTGGGTTGCCGTCTTACCCTGACGTCCGACATACACCGCACGGCGCTCGTAACAACACTTGACAAGCAGACGGCAAGACGACTCGCGGCACTACCTTTACCCTGGGACTTGTTATAGTAGACGGCGGACGGGGTGGAGGGGCGGAGCAAGGCCCTTTTGGTCCTTACTTTGTAGTTAGGTACGACGTTGCGAGAGACGAACTAGACATAGGGAACCCGCGCGCCCGCCGGCCGATTTGCGCGCCAGGGGCCATGGCAGCGCGGGCGTCCCCCAATCTACCCAGTCACAGGCTGATGGAACCTTTCTAGAAAGAAAACTGCTAATGCTAAATGGGAAAATCAATCGAGGGACGACGTGGATGGGGGAAGGAAATTCGGAGACCCGAGGATCGGGAAGCTTTGGTCTCTTTCGGACGGAGCGGAACGCGAAGAACGCACCCCCCTCGAGCCCCAAAAAAACCAACGCCTTCCCCTGCTGCTGCTCTGTTCGGGATATCGATATTATTAGCAAAGGCTTGGAATCGCGGACGTGAAGTATCGCCAAACTATCTGTATATAAACTCTTCAACCCTCATCTGGGATGCCTACCAACAAGCCAACCTCGTCATGTTTCGGGGGCGATTCGAGCGGCCACCCTTAGCAAGACGGAAACACGACTTTCGGCCCCCGGCCACCCAAGTAACTTGCATGCCTCTCTGGAATCCTGGACTACCTGATGTATCTGTATTTTACGAATATGTATCTCTCGCCGGACGGCACTCGGGTCCCGCGCAAAACAACTCTAAAAAAGGCCAATGAACGAGAGCACCTTCACCCACCGTCCGCATGCCTGCCTCATCTGCCAATGACGCTTCTAATTATGTCTAATCGCACATGGTCGATCTCATCATCATCCGCCCGCCCCATCCCCCCCTGGCGGGCACCCTACCTCCCTCAAACTTGACCTCGGGTCCGTCGCAAAACCAAACCAAACGTCCCGACTTAGCAACACCCTACTCCCATGTGGCATGAACCGCTAATACCGCCTTTCCCTCCCCTTCCCACGTGACGCACGCACAGATTCCAGGGACGGCACTGAGATGTAACTCACTACCATACTGTTGGGCAAAACAAATACCTTATTTTTGGACCTGTCAATGTTTGAAGAAAAGAGCACCGGTCAGCGGCCAGCGGCACCTCTCCGCTCGCTCGCTCTCCCAGACCGGTTTGGTTTCCCTTTCGTCGTTGAGAGGGCACCTAGCAACGGAGGGCTTGCTTTGGGTGCCACACACACACTTACACACATACACACATACACACACTACCAAACTACATACCTACCAACATGTCGACATTCCTCGAACCATTTGCATCCGAGTTTTCCTCACTTTGACAAAGCTCAATCTGCATCTACTTCACAGGGATTTCACAGGGGGTAGAGGATCGAGGAGGTCAGCAGAGCGGGCGGGCTTCGTAACCATGGTACGCGGCCACTCATCTGCAACTAAGAAGGCCGACCAAATGTCCGGAGAAGGAGAAGAGATGGGACAGTACCTAGGGCATACCTTCAACGACCTCGTGAATTCCCCAACCAACTCTGGACAACCCCTGATACACATTTTGGCCCTGACGTGAAAGACTTAGCAGCGTAATGATGGATGTACTGGTTTCCCGCCCTCTGGCCCATCATCGGGGGTGGCGCAGACGGCGGTGCCAAGACATTTTGGAAATCACCAACGGGAACGCGCCAGGAACCCTTCACCTTTAGTCTCTTACACCACACCACTCACACCCAAGCTTGTATGAAGTATATCGCTCACCTTTCCCCCTTCCCCCTTCCCCCTTGGCCAATTCCTGGGCAACAACCCCTCCCCGTGTTTGCACGAAAATGAAAAAAAAAAAAAAAAAACAAGCTGCACAGCCTGGTCTGTGTCGATTCTTACTCGTTGGACTGGGCCTTTGATAGACGGGTTCACAATCCATGGTTGTGTCGTCACTTACACGGCCACAAGCCCGGCCGTCCTTGCCGTCACATTTCCCGACGACGACGACGACGCGCCGCCAACGTATCAGCGCCAAGGCGTTTCATTCATGGCCTTGCGCGTCTTTCTGCAATGTCATCCATCGGTCTTCTCGCCGATCCAGAAATCGGAAATTCAATCTCTGGTTTGTCACTGGTTCAAGGTGATGGTTATTGGGTTTTTTTGTTGGCGGTGTAAGTAAGATAGGCAGCAGTATTTCCTGCCACGGCTCTAGCCTCTATCCACCACCACCACCACCACGCGGACACTGGGCCCTATGCCGAAACTCGAATATCTCAGTAACGCGGCTACGCCTCTGGGTCGAATGATCTTGTCACTACTCCTCACTCGCCGCATCACTGAATTGACTGACGTCGTGATATCAGCTTGCGACAGACAGGACCGAACCCCCGCCGCATCAATCGCATCGGATTTCTTTCCTGACACCAATAGCGTAGATGAATGTCAAGTGAATTTTCGTCGCGTAAGCCTCGAGGCTCTTAAAAAATAAAAAAATAAAAAAAATTAATAGGAAAAAGTGAATCCACATTTCAAGAGACCAACAAAGCAGTTTCATTTCCAAGCTTACCTTGCACTTACGAAGACTCCATGTTGTATCTAGGCACCATCTCAACTCTCAGAGCTCACAACGTTGTATGTAGAGTCACCAAGAAAAAGGCAAATGAGACTTCTTCCTTCGCCATACTAAGTTCCTGAAGGACCTTATAAGTAAGCTTGGTCAGGAACCTTACCTCAGGTCTCCTCGAGATCGGTCGCAAAGGGGTGACCCCGCCAATCACGGAGCCCGGGCCTCTCAACGGCGGGGAGGGGAGGGAGGAGGGGGGGGGAACCTGAGAAGGGAACCGCAGGCCCCACCAAAAAGCCCGGGCCAAGCTCAAGCTTGTTCATTTTCCTCCCACCAACCAACCGACCTCACACCCCTAGGCCAAGCCCAGCCAAAACCAACGATCTCGACGACGTCACCCGAGAGAACCTTCGTCGAAAAGGACCCGAAACCCCCATACCGACCATAGGAGTATCTTTCGAAACAGGGGCGCATACAGACAAACCACACACTCGTTCCAGGCAGCGAAACACAAGACCAAACCGACACCCCTTGCCGAACAAACACACGACCACAGAACCAGTCGGCGCGATGGCGGACAGAGGCTCACACAGAGGCGGCGGCCGAGGCGGCGGCGGGGGAGGAGGAGGAGGAAACTACCGCGGTGGACGGGGGGGAGGTCGCGGCGGCGGCGGCGGAGGTGGTGGTGGTGGTGACCGCGGTGGTGCTCAGGGTTCCGGCGGCGGCGGCGACCGCGAGAGGCCCAAGAAGGAGAACATCCTCGATCTGTCAAAGTACATGGACAAGCAAATCACCGTCAAGTTCAACGGAGGGCGCGAAGGTATTTTTTTTCTGCTTTTCTGTGGTTCATTTGTTTTCCCGCGCGCGCGCGAGCGAGATGGTACCGATTGCTAACATTGAGGGCGTTACAACCATAGTCACCGGAACGTTGAAGGGATATGATGCGCTGATGAATCTGGTGCTGGATGAGGTCCAGGAAGTCATGAGAGGTAAAGTCCGATAGGCACCTTGCTTTCCCTGTCCCTGGTTGGAAAACAAGACTTGGGTTCGCAGGCTAACAATGAAAAAAAAAAGACGAAGAAGGAAACGAAACAACCAGGTCCCTGGGCCTCGTCGTCGCCCGCGGGACCCTGCTCGTCCTCGTCAGCCCCGTCGACGGCAGCGAGCCCATAGCGAACCCGTTTGCGCAGCCCGAAGAGGAATGATTCAGGGGGTCCAGAGGGGGGGAACGCTCAACAACGAGAACGAAGATTGTGTGCTCTGCGAGATTGGGCTGGACGGCAACGCGCGACTTGGCAGCATAATGCATAGATGTATGGACATCGGAATACACCCTTGTCATTTAAAGGTTGAATGAATACAGCAGCAGCAGGAGGACATGATTGATGACGGCATGTCACAAATCGCTAGTTAGAAATTCGAAAAAGGGGGGGACAGAAAAGTCTGGCGCTGGAAACCATAACGACAGCAGGAAGGCAACACCAGGGCTTTGTACCAGCGTTCACAGGGTTCGTTGCGCACACACACACACACACACACACACACACATCCCTTGCCTCATCTTCATCGTGCACGAAAATATGAATGAAAGAGAGTTATTTCGTTGCTGTTCTTGCCGCGTCGTTCCCCATCTAACCGCCTCTCGAGCGAGTGATCCCATAGCCAGCGAGACCCCTCGCTCTCCTTACTCTAATCCGTCGTTCAATTCGATGGCTCCTATACGCTCAAATTTGACAAGAGATGAACACGTCGCGCAAACGCGCCGCCCCACGCGCCGTTTCAATCGTCCATCCGTAATCCAACGTCTTAAGCCAACGTGGGTAGTCATCACGCTCGGTAGTGGCGCCTCGCGTCGTTGGAACTGCCCAATGCATTGTAATCCAAGTACGCTGAAGCCTCGTTCCCCGTCTTTTCGTGACCGTTATCTTGATCCTTGTCATCATCGTGGTAATCCCAAACTTCCCCTTTCTAGTGGGAGCTGCCTTGGAACACTCGGCTCGATGATTGTTTCCCTGCCTTGAGGAGCTCCCCGAAAGCGTTGCCGAGCTGCTTCTTCAACTCCTTATAGCTGATGACAAAGCTCGTCTGCTCGTCTCGACTCGTCAGACAGATTCGGTCGTCACTGCCAGCGTCCAGCCTGTTTAGGCACCGAATAATGTGGCCCATGTCCACCACAGGATTTCCGTTCGCGTCGACCTGATGAAAGACATAATCACGGAATAGCTTGAGTATGTATCGCTCGCCGTTTTCTGACCACGCCCTGTCGCCGTCGAATTCCTGCCGTTCGTTAACAGCACCGAGCTTGGCCATTAAGCGTACTAGGCGGCCGTTTTCCAGTTCGCGGAATAAATCCGACTTCAGGGCGTCCGCTTCCTGTAAGCTAGCATCAAGCGTAGCAACCATGTGGACCGCGATGCCCCGTACAAACTCCTCGATTCCCTTGGGCGTTGCACCAGCAGGAGAGGGAGTCAGAAGCCACAAGACAGTATCAGTAATTTCTTTCGAGTAAACCCTGCTCATCTGTTCCATCGACCCCTTGAGATTTGTGAGCTGATTAGGCGGCGTGTTAGTGGCCAATGATAATATGAGTTTTCCAAATTGGATCAAGTCCTCCTGCTGTAGCTCCTGAACTGGGCGACGACTGTCGAACTGGACCACGTCCAGAATTGAGCAGGCACTGAGCCTGATGCGATTCTTGTCTGTCACAATGACCTTGCTCATATCAAGACACCTTGCAGCCAGATTCAAAGTGTGGATGGCCTTCAAGGCATTGGCTATTTGGGAAATGTAGCCCCACAAGACGCTTTCGGTTATAGGATTCTTTGCGCTGAAGCGGGTGCCGTGGGTGGAAGCCGGTTGGGAAAAGTGAAGCTCGGCGAGTGTCTTGGAGAGAGGGTGGTAGTCCTGTACGAAGAATAGCGAACTGTCGCCAAACGCTCGAGTGGTGAAGGCATCGTGAATGGCCACCACGTTGCCGTTGTTGACCCTTCGCCACTCTTTCACGGAGCGAATGGCCTGCTCGTTGGTTAGTCGGTAACCTGTCCTGCGTTAGTGATGTCGAGAACAGACTTCGCTGGATGGCATACCCTCAAGCCGTCTGAGGCAGTACGTTTTCCCATTCTTCGAGGATGTAGCCTTGTACACCCACGTGGTGTAGCCAAACACGCTGGAGCTCTTCCGATGACTGGTGTCAAGGGGTACAAGGGAGTAGTAGTTGTCTAACGGAGGTAGCGTCGAGTCTATGGCAGTATTAGACATTTGTAGCACCCGAGGCTCATTTCATCGCTTACTGGGCATGACCTGCTGCAAGGCCTCAGACTTGCGTTGCATCTCCTCGCGCAATTTCTCTGGCAAGAAGAAATCGTGAATTTGCCTTTGAAACGGCATCAAATCATCTCTATACGGCCCAACAGGTGCATATAGGTGGTATTGAAGCTAAAAATCTTTAGCCTTGACGTGAACTGCATTTGATAGGTATCCTCTTACTGGTTGAAGGGGTCCTGTGTAGGCATTCTGATGTTGGAAGTAGGCGCTTGAGCCAGCGAGGCCGGTGGGATCATCGGCATAAGGGTTGAAAGGTGTAGCCGGCAATGTCTGGCCAACATTGGGCATAGTAAAGGGGTCAAATGAGAGCCCTGTATCGGAGGCTGAGCCATTGGCAGTAATCTAATTCAATGTTAATCTTCAACACTTTGTGAGACACAATATTACTCACACCAGTACTCAGCTCAAAGTTCGATGGAGTGAATTCGCGAAATGTGGCGGGGTTAAATGCTGTGGACGCAGCTTCGCCATCTGGAGCAGCGGCTGGTGTCGCAGCTGGAAAGGTATTAGATGAGACTGTCCGTGATACGACGTGGCTCAGGACATACAGCCTGCTCCTCTAGGAGTAAAAACGGCTGCACTGGCAGCCTGGGAGGAAAATGTCGATTTCTTTGAAGAGCCCCCTAACGCATTTGCATTCGGAGATGCCACCGAGGGCAGACCGGCGGGTGTGAATGATGGGGAGTCGACATTGAGTGCCTTTCTCGCGCTATCAATATCCAAATGTTAGCTCTCTACCACTATAGGTCCATGGTCCAAGTTTGAGGGGTTTCCGGTGTCGCTAAGGCTCCTCGAGCAGTGGTCTACGTCTCATCCTCGACGGCGTACTCCAAAATCCATTTCACATATCTGCGATTGATCGCTACCGATTATACAGTAACTCATCCGAGTTCCCTGAAAGCCTCGCCACCTATCGCATTATGGACCCGAGCCGATTGGGGTGATCTCATCCAGAATCGCGATTTGAAATGTACAATTTCTTTTTCTATGCGACATGGTCCTCGGCGTCGGAGTATGGAGGCCGCCAAAATGCTTTCCTGGCGTGCATCGCCAGAGTCTAGTAGCGGCGCCATTCCCATGCTGAGTGAGGCCTCTACAACCGAAGAGCTTTCTTGTCCTCCCGAAGAAGATCTCGAGGTTTTGATAGGTGACACCGGTACTTCTCGAGCACTTTGGACGGGGTGTTCGACCATGCAAGTCGATCATGATAGCGAAACGGATCTGGACGATGACCTACAATTCAGACTGGTTGCTCTGTCCTCCGGGACTATTCTGGACCGAGTTGGATCGATTCTGGTCATGGTTGAAGGCGCAACCAGTGTTCTCGTATCGGCAGTGTCCGTATATCAGTACGTTTCGGCATAATGTGTCTTTGTTTTCTAAGCCAATTGACAAGGCGTTAGCTATCCTGTGGCAGCAATGTGTTCGGAAAAGCGGTATGCGCGTTGACTCGCCTCGGGTTTTGGGCTTCGGCGACCCAACTTGTCGACGGAGGTCGGACTGGGGGTATCGCGAGGTGGCCATGATCAGTAGGTTGGGTGGAAGAAAGTTTCGCCCCCTTGGTCGACGTTACGACGTCTGCACAGAGTCAGCCAAATCCAAAGCCCATGATCGAATTGTCGTCGAGGTCGTTTTCATGGTTTGGACGCGCGCGCGCTGGGTGTGGACGGGGGGGATTCAGGACTGGGCTGTCTGAGCGGGGTGGAGAGAAGACAAAGGCGGGCAGAGAAGAAGGACTAGAGCTCGCGTGGGGCCTGGCGCGAAGCCGGACTGGGGAGGGGGACATTTTTGGGCAGACGCACTTGATCCTTGCAGACATTTCCCATGGCTCGAACACGTTTGGTGGGGTAGGTGTCTCGGTCATGGACACGATGCAGGGTGAGGTTGACCGAGAATTAATTTGGCGGCGAGTGACGGAGGATGTCAGAATAAGGTAGATAGTAAGGCGAGGCAGGACACAAGTATGCGCGCGCCGTACTTAACGTGGAGGATGCGTATGCAGCCCAGCGCAGGACAGGCTGGAGGGGACTAAGGTAGGAAGGATAGAAAAAAAAGAACCGGCGACAGCGGCGGCGACGGCGGCGGTGCGGTCCAGTAGTGGTGTAGGTGAGAAGACAGTGAGGTCAGATTTGCTACCGCGCGGCAGGAAAGAACCTGGCACACAGAGCACAGGAGCGGGAGTTGGCGGTGCGAGCGGAGGTTGGGCGCTCGGTGCTGAAGCCGGAGAATCGACGGGTGAGAATTGAACGAACCGAGTCCACCAACTTGGGGCCAACTTGGGAGGGGTAGACGATGACACACCCTTGCGACATGAGAATCGCTAAAAGTCAATGCTCTAGCACTACTACATAGTAATGGTAGCCCACATACGCGCGTACCTACGTGATAACTCGCGTTGGACTTTGACATGAGGGTATGTCATTTTCACAATAGCCGAGCGACAATAACACCCGGATTGGACTGGTCTTCGCTAAGCGCATAAAGCATGCCATGATTCGGTCCATCCGACAATAACGCTCATTCAGATCATCTCATAATATTGAATCCAAGCTCGGTCTACTGTGTACTCAAGGTAAATAACGGCAGTCGGACTGCCTTGCATCGATAGAAAGTAGAAAACAGGTCTTTGGGGATCTTCTTCATTTTCTACTTTTCCCTAGTGAAGAAGTCTCTGGGGGTTTCCGAAAACTCCAGAATGAAAGTATGGTTTTAACAGCAGGGGGAAGACCTAGCGCAAAATGGCCACGAGTTGCAACCGGCGGGGTCTTTATTTTATGGCGAATATATGCACCTATCCGACAAGTCTCCCCTCTTTGGGTAGGTAGGTATCCGTAGATGTTGTGACCATGTGTCCTGATAAGCGATGAGGTAAACTTTTTGTGGCGTCGTGAACATGATTCGTCGCGCAGGCGCCGGCAGTACCGTACCTACTTACCTCGTGTACGGATCCCTCCAAGGCCCAGCTAAGGTACCTTGCCAAGCCCTTGCACGTCCGACCTCCGACACGGACAAGTGTCGTCACCGGGCAAGACGCTCGGTAATCAGCTGCGACTAGCGGAGCATCTCAGACACCCGTCACTTGTTAACGCATCCAGCCTCTCGCCGACAAGCTACATCAGAGGCCAAGGCCGCTCCTTTGTCTCTTCACGCTGTCCCACTGTCTCCCCCGCGGAACCAACTGTCAAAGCATTCAAGTTCCGGCTTTTGATCACGACGTCGGCAGGTCACCGCAGCTACTGCGCAGTTGTCGTTCTCCGCTACCTTGCTTAGCCACGTTGCTCTTAGCCATAACCAGCCCACCTCCGCCCGAGGTTTAATTCCTTCCGCAACTTACACCTGTCAACCTTCCCAACCGCCTACTCCATGGACCACTGAATTCACTTTGAAATAGTCGCCAATATCGACTTTTGTTTACAGCAGCAGCCGAGAACATGGCGGAGAGCGGAGACGTGGACTTAGGGCAGCTGTCTGCAAGTCAGCAAGAGTCCCTGCAGCAATACACAAGTGTTACAAATCAAGAGCTCAAGGATGCGATACCGCTATTGCAGCGATCGCAATGGAACGTTCAGGTAAACTTTGCATCACGGTGTTGGCCGGCTTGCGAACTATGCTGACCAGTCTGAGTACAGATCGCCATCGCCAAGTTCTTCGACGGTGAGGGACCTGATCCTGTCGCAGAGGCATTGGCACAGGACATTCCTCGGACAGAAGCGCGGCACGAGAACCTCCAAGAGAGTCTGCTTGCCTCGGCCGGCCGTCCACCGGCGCTTCGGAGAGATCGACCTGACCCAGCGCCGCGAATCGTTCCTCAATCGAACAGAGTCCACCGGCCGCCATTTCTCATCGGGCTACTTTTGGCGCCCTTCAGTATCGGTTACAGCATTGCATCCAAGATGTTCCGGACCGTCTTCTACCTCCTCAGCTTTCTTCCCCGACAGATCCGGCCACGAACTATCACAAGCGGAGCAGGAAATGGGCTGCGGAGTACCAACGGGCGCCGGATGCTGATGCCCAGAGACACGGCCGCGCGTTTCAAGCGCGAATTCGAAGAAGAGTATGGCAACACGGAACTGCCGTGGTTCGAGGGCGGGATCGCTCAGGCACAAGACCTGGCCAAGAAGGAACTCAAATTCTTACTTGTCGTCCTTATGTCACCGGAACACGACGATACCGAATCATTCACGAAGGAAACTCTATTGAACCCGGATGTTGTCAGCTTCATCAACGATCCGGCGAACAATGTCATTCTGTGGGGCGGTAATATCCTGGACTCGGAAGCGTACCAGGTTGCCCAAGAATACAACTGCACAAAGTATCCATTCTCAGCGATCGTGTGCCTCACACCGAAGGAAGGGAGTACCAGAATGAGCATCATCAAGCGGCTGGCTGGCCCGATGCCGGCTGCTGCGTATCTTTCAGAGGTACAGACCGCCATCAACAAATACGCACCAGATTTAGCAGGCGTTCGAGCAGAGAGGTCAGCGCAAGAGGTGGCGCGCAGCCTGAGGACCGAGCAAGATACTGCATACGAGCGATCGCTGGCCAAGGACAGGGAGAGAGCACGACAGCGGCGGGAGGCGGAGAAGGCGGCGGCAGAAGCTGCGCGCAAAGCTGAGGAGGATGCCGAGGCTGCGGCAAGGCGCGAGGAGCATTGCGAGAAGTGGAAGCGCTGGCGGGCGACGACGATGGAGGACGAGCCACCAGCGAGCAATAAGGACGTGGTACGGATTGCGCTGAAAATGCCCGAGTCGTCCGGTGCCGGAAGGATTGTGCGCCGATTCCGGAACGACAACACGATGGAAACGCTATATGCTTTCGTGGAGTGTTATGATATGTTAACGGCATCAGAGGAACCGGCAGAGAAGGCCGCAGTCAAGCCCGAGGGGTACGAGCACGAGTATCAGTTCCGCATTACGTCTGTCATGCCCCGGGTCGTGTATGAACCCAGCAAGGAGGAGACGATAGGACAGAAGATTGGGCGGTCAGGCAACTTGATTGTGGAGGAGGTCTCAGTAGACGGCGAGTCTGACAACGGTGAAGAATACTCGTCTTGAACGGAGCAGATACACCTGAGGCATCTATTCAAGCAAGTGTAAGATGACACGAGATAGACAAGCATTAGTAGAAAACCGCGCCATCTTGTGCGCGCAGCAACCGGGCAGCGAATGACAACTATTCCAACCATATCGGGATTGTGGAAACTTTCTTTTCAGCAAGTACTTTAGAGTGTAAGGCATTGTCGCCGAACGCTGGCCGCGGGAGCCGTCTGTCCAAGGTAAGATAGCCGACAGACAAGGCCGTGAGATTCAAAACGGACGACAACGTTCGCGAGGGAGGCAACCTGATGATGTAGCGTCGCGGGGGGTTTAGTCTAAGAGGGTATGATTTGCGTGGCCTTTGATGTCTGGTGTCTTGGGAGTGCCCCACCGGACGAGGCTCAAAGTGTGTACTCGATACGTGATGCAGCTGGTCATGTGGCGCTGTTCGCCCTTACACGTAAGTGTTGAGGGTGTTGTGCTGCTTGCGTGGATGAGTGAGGCTGTGCAGTAGGACGGTGCAGACCTACACTTGGCTGCGGGGCCGTGAGTATGCAGTTGAAGTACATTGGCTGCGAAGAAGACGGCGGCAGATGGAAAAGGTCGATTATAGTAATCATGATGCATAGATAGATAAAGGATCCAAGTTTGCTCAACTCGGTGTTTTTTTTTTTTTTTTTTTTTTTTTTTTTTTTAAATACGAGGTGCTATTGCTGAAGGAGCAGATTGCCGTCCGATCACCGAGGAAGACCCTGAAATATGGCATGAATGGACCGGTAGCTGGACCTGGACCACCGTACCCGCCCGCATACGTCAAAACGGGGGTTGTCTCTAGTTAATGCGACCCCCAATTTTTGACGTGGTGTGTGGTAGTCTTCTCCAGATAAAGTAGAACCAAACCAAAGAATGAAAGGTAAACATTCTAGCAAAGCATGACGCGCAATATGGTCTGGGGCATGTCGATGCTAGCCACGGTAGCCATTTTGGTATACTCAAGTCTTGCAAGTCTTCTTGGGTAAGTGACTGTGTGAGGTACGAACGCATAGTTGTAGAAAATGGCCCATCTGGAGGAGAGAGACGCATGGCAGTCTTGGCCCTTGGGTCCGAGGATGAGAGTCGATGAGGATTGGGAAAAAGACCCGAGCCGATATTTGGTTGGCCGGCGTCGTTTCCAGGTCCCCCGCCTCTGAAATGCGAGATACGTACCGGTGATCGGTGCAAGGTCTCCCCAGGCGTTGCCGCCTTCTCTGGACCTCTGGCGCATGACTTTTTGCTATCCAAGTCGTCGTCATGCCTGCTCGAGACTCGACGCCGCTACGCCGTACCTAGTCTGAACAACTCGCCGCAGCAAAAGGTGCGACGAGCATGCCTTCATCAGCCCAAGACGACGAGCTGACGGAAAACTCTTTCCTTTCCTCCCATCCGTCACACACACATCTTGGTCTGAAGCATTCAATACATGTGGCTCGTTCCAACCAACAACAACAGCGCAAAGGTCTCTAATCGTTTGCCAGAAACACTGACATCTGCCTGCGCGCCCATTATTGTTTCTTACGGGTTCCTTGGACACCACTCACCAGACGAAGCATCTGCTCGAGCCCGAAAACAAGTTGACGACTAGCCACACTCATTTGCACCATCCTCCACGAGATAGATCTCAGAAGCGCTACCTACGGAATATCAAGATATTCAAAGCCACCGGCAAGACCAAAGACTACCACCGCCGCTGCGTGACCACTACTCCGTACCGCCGTCAGTCACTCTCCTCGCACCACGCACTCGGAGAGGCGCAGACAAGCCCACTCAGCCCGAACCCTTGCCAGGCGCCGCCGTCTCTCCCTCCTCTCACGCCGAGACGCTGCACACTGCATCGCATCCACCCCGCCAAAACTTCTCCAACGGTCCAACAGACCAGACACCGCACTATAGCACACGCTTAAAAGGACCCCGTGGACGGTGGACCAGCGCGGGACGCCGGGCTGAGGTTTAATTTAAAATAACCCCCCAGTTCGTCTGGCCCGTCCGACCTTGCCTTACCCTCACCTCCGAGCGTCACTTCCAGGCTGCAGCTCAACTGGACCACGCCCTGCGTATCCGTACCTATTTCTTCCAAACTCTTACCGCTGCCTGCCACCCACGCCCCCAATACACGCGCACAGCTTCCCGCATTGCTGTCATTCCATTCACCGAACCTTAACCCTTTCCCACAGACAATCCGCCATCATCCATTCACTTCAGTTGTTCCCGGCCGCGTTGCGACAGCTTCCGGCTGATCGACATTAGTTATATTGACGTCTCTCTCGACCGTCCGACCTCTCCGCTTCGATTCCGGACGCTTCCCCCTTTGTCCGTCCAAGAACCCCTAGATCCGTTCTTCCGACGCAAGTCTCCTGTTCCCTCGCGGCTCAGTGTTCCTACGCCCGCCGGTTCCGCGACCGCAAAGATGAAGGCCATGAAGGGGCTCAGTGTGAATCGGATGATGAGTACGCTCAAGAAGCGAACAACAAACAGTGAGTAGGGAATCGCCGTGCATCCAACCACTTCGACCCTCTGTAGGGTGATCGCGAAGGACGTACTGATCGATGTCTCTCCCTCCGCAAGACTTCAGTGGATCCAGCCAAGTGTCGGCGTCGACAGATCCGCAGAACGAGACGCCCGAGGCTACAGCTGCTCGTGGCGTGGTATGCAAGATCCGGCCTTCCTTTACGCCGACAGCCATCGCTGACCTACTGCTCAGAAACAATTCTGCGAATCTGGAGGCCCCAATGCTCAGGTACATACTCAGTGGCGGTATCCGTGGTTGCTTAGAGCTGCATGCTAACACGATGTCGTAGGGCGATGAAGTCCTCTATCTCCCGCCCATCGTCGATGCCGCTGAGTCTTCCCCGGCCGCCGCCGCCGAATGCGCCCGCATCATCCGGAAATACCTAGCCAAGGACAACCACGCCAAAGCCTCGTGGCAGTACAATGCCATCATGCTAATCCGCATCCTTACCGACAATCCCGGCCCCACGTTCACCCGGAATATGGACAAGAAGTTCGCCGATACCGTCAAGGAACTATACCGGACTACGCACGATCCCAGTGTCAGACAAATGTTATCTGAGACGTTGGACACCTTCGAGGCCACCAAGTTTGACGATCAAGGTCTAGGCGAGCTGATCTCCATGTGGAAGAAGGAGAAGGAACGGAGCTACAAGCAATATGGCGTAAGTGCATCTAAAAAAAACCACTCCAATCCGTCCTGACCGAACTGACATACCTCGCCAGAACCCCAGACAATCCGTGGCGGGTCCCGATCCTCGAACTATGAATGCGCCGCCATTTAATCCCCATTCGCAGAACTACTTTGCCAGGAATCACACCAATCGAAACTTGCCTACACCCGCTGAGCTTGCGAGCAGATTGGAAGAGGCGAGGACATCTGCGAAACTACTCTCCCAAGTCGTCGTCAACACTCCTCCTCAGGAGGTGATCGACAATGACCTGATCAAGGAGTTCGCGGACAGATGCCAGAGCGCCTCCAGAAGCATACAAATGTACATGACGGCCGAAAACCCGTCTCCCGACAACGAGACAATGGAGCACCTGATCGATACGAACGAGCAACTTCAGTCGGCACTCAATCAGCATCAGAGAGCCGTTCTCGGTGCTCGAAAGCAGCTTGGAATCGACCCACGGTCAGACAACACCAGCCCCGTGAGTGCTCAAACAACCGAGACTCAGCAAGCTAGTCGGACCCAAGAGTGGGCGCAGGCGCAGGCGCAGTCGTCATCTTCTAGCTCGACTCCAGTCCCTGTTCTTCCGACGAGGCCATCTGAAGGAAGCGGAAAGGGCAAGGCATCGGAATCCTTCGCGCCGCCCCCGGGACCGCCCCCGAAAGCTCAACCGCAACACGGGGCCGAGGACCCCTTTAAGGATCCCCAGCCAGAGAACCACTACTCTTCATCGAGCCGACCCGGAGGATCCGGGGGTGCAGTGGAACTGCCTGGTGAAGAGCCACGTCTGGCTCATGAGCCCTTCCATCCAGGTTTCAATCCCACTCCGAGCTACCTTGGAAGGCAAGACAGTGCTTTGGGCAAGGTCGCAATGCACGGCGCCGATGAGGCCACTACGCCCGGACCACTCAGCGGCAATCCGATCCACACTGTCGATCTCAGGAACCGGCAAGGGACACTGCGCGAAGACTCAGATGATGACCTTTACGAATCAACTCCGAATAGTTCCAAGAAGAAGGAACCAGTGTACAGGTACTAAATCGAGTCGCGGAGGCTCGATTCGGTAGGGAGATGTTTCCTGCCATGTTTGGTTGATCAGCAAAAGGGGGGTTTTCACTGCGCATTTGCTTTACAGACTCTTGCGGGAGAAATTTGGTTTTTTGCGGTGGTTGTTCTCTCGCGCAAGGCAGAATCCCGCGCTCTTGATGAGCGAAGCAATAATTGATTATAGGCATCAGCAAAGCACGGAGTCTGGCTTAAGAGTTTACCTCTATGAAATCAGACCTTTATCCTCCCCGACTCCACAGTCGTCAAAGGAGGGGCGACTCGTTGTACATTCCTAACGACCTCTACTTTCCCTGTTGTCAAGGGTACCATCCATGTCGTCCACGCTTGTTCCTGTCAATGTTTGCCATTGATGTTTGCGGCATATTCGTCGTTGTAACTCTAGGAGAGCCCGACCTCAGCCATGGCCCCGTTCATGACTTCTTTCAATTCGTCGGTCCGGCTCGAAGCTCATGCTCGTTGAGGATCTCACGCAGCGAGACAGGCCTGATGACCTCAAACGTCCCTTGTACCGTGATGATGGCCGATTGCTCGTCCCGCGCTCTCTGGGACTGGAACAGCATCACCACGCGCTCTCTACCTTTCTACAACTCCACCGTCTCGAGCTTTGGCGTCTTGAGTGCGGCGGCCGCGGCGTCTCGTAGCATGTCGTCGATGGCCGCGGCGTGCGCGTCAGCCGTGAGAACACTCGATGTCAGCGCTAGACGCGTGAGGTTTTCCCACTGTGAGTGTGAACCTTTGCTTGCCTGCTGGAAGTAGCTGGCGTCTTTCATTAATGAGACTGAGTTGCGAGTTTGTGGCTTATGGCTAGATTCGGCACCCTGAGCCATTGGCGGTGCAGTCGTATACGCTTCCCGGGTATGACTAGTTGAAATTTCCAAAGTTGTGAGCTTTGATAGGTCTATCTCGGCGAGCGATTCGAGCATTGTCTGGTTGTCTATGTTCAAGATCGGGGGGTCGGTTAGCAGTGTCACAGGGTCAGATTGTGTCCGCTACTACAATCAATTACTTACATTGATCAGATTGTGTTTCTTTGCCACCCCGTTCTCTCCAAGGCTCGTAGCAGAGCTCTGTCAGACTTGGGAAGCGCATAAGTAAGGTACGTTGGCGAGGGCGAGGAACGATTATGGGACACCTTCACGCGGCACATTCTGCACTTTCTCCTCTTTCTACTAACAACCCAGCTAAGCGCTGGCACACCACCTCCACCCCCCCTACTCTGTGTACAGCACACGTGTCTCGATGCGATGCTGACTGCCACAATGGAGGGACAGATCTACGTTACCTCGCTCAACGAAAGATGACACCAGGCTTCCACTGGGCGCTGAAGCCTTTCACGTAGCGAAGCAGTCGTTGGGCAACTAGACGTTGCGCAGAAAACATGGGAAGGTAAACTCCGATCATCAATGGCAAACCCCAAGTCTGCATCGTGTAACCGTCAACCGGAGACACATCAGCGGAGGTCTGCAAAGCAGGTTGCAAGGCATTCTGGGGAGGCAGCCACGTGTACGAGAGGCAGCCAGGCTGGGTCGTGATGACAGGCCATCTATTATTGATTCAAGAGGTATTGTACTTGGCTGGTCGCACGTGCGTATCACTGATAGGTCGCAAATCCAGTTATGATCCTGAACGTTTGCACCACGGCTCTTCAGGAGTACGCTCCCTTTTCTTTCGCCTCAATCAGCCGACTACAACACTGTTCAAAAACGACCCGCGAGACATAAACATCTCCGACTTTATTGCTGCCAGACATCATGCAAGACGATACGGGTCATATCATGTCGTCTATCGGGCCTGAAGACCTCGAAAATGTCCAAGGCCTTTGGAGGTTTCAATTGCACCGCGTCAAGGCACGAACGTGGGCTTATCGGGATATCAAGTTCCTGGTATACGACGACACCGTCGACAAGGAGGAGGTTGACTCGGAGGCAGGGCAAAGCAGCAAGGACACCGTGGTACCTGAGCATTCTCCCATGCCCAGGCCGAAAATTCCCGAGCCTGTTTCCATCCGCTCTACCGCGGAGCCTTCCAGACGGCGACGAAGATGCCATACTCTAGCAAGCAATCCTTGCGTCCCTAAAGCAACCGGACTCGAGTGCCGTCCCATCTATGGCATTCGAAGAACCTCAAAAAGACGAAAATACGGATGATCCAGAGCTTTAAGCAGCTATCCGTACGTCATTGATGAGCGACGAGGAGTCCGACGACGCACCCATCGCGGCGAGTTCTGAAACCCCTCTCGCCCAGGCAGATGGCGACGCAGACAACTTTGAATGCAGAATCTGTTCGAAACTGTCCACATTTCCCCACGACAAGAGAACACGAAATTTCCGCCTTTTCAACCCGACGGACGAGTTTCCGCATCTCATCACCAAGCATCCCAAGTTTTTCAATGTATGCGTTCAATTACGTCGCAGTATCGTACGGATGTACTGCTGGCCCGAGCAAGTCTCAGACGAGGATGGAAAACCCATTGTCTCCCATCATAGAGTCGCAGGTTCGAGCTCGATCTGAACGGCAAGCAACGACCATCCTCGCGCACTCGATGCTGTCCTCGACCGTGCAGTGGACTTTGCTAATTCCGTCGGCCTCCGTATAATTTGGATCGACCAAGAATGCCTCTCGCAACCGAAAGAAGATGGCTCAGAGGAAGATGAGGCATACCCGCGGCTAGGTATGTAGGTAATGCGACTAAGTTTTCGATAGACCGCAGTACTGAAGAACTGCGTTTCACGAGCTTCCGTCCGCGGCTGTTCGAATATCCATTGGATTTCTTATACATGGTTCAGCCAGACAAATGGCACACGCGGGCATGGGTTATTCAAGAAGCAGTCAGCGTCGGCGACGGCCTGGTTCTAGTCTTCCGAAGGGGCCCCTGCATTGTTTATACATCCAAGTTCCGCGCCAATCAGAAGACAGGGTCAATTCCTCGACATCCTTTGGATCCAGAGAAGCGGACACTACAATCGGAGATCATCTGCATTCCTGTCGACCGCCTCCAAGCCCTGGTCCAAACCGGCAAGTCGCTGCTGGAACAACGTATCCAGCTCATCAGACAGGCTCTGGTGCGCACCAGCACCGACGACACCATCCCGGTTCTCTCCGCAGCGGAGTCCCTTCATCCAAAGATCATAGTGCGCCAGCATGCGGCCGGGATCCACGCGTACGGAGGCAAAGTCTACGGCGGCCGTCAAAAGGTGAACGCGGTCTCGGCCCTGACGCTGCTGAAAGGTGGCACAGCATGAAGTGCTTGCACACGATCATGGAGCGGCAAAAGGAGGAATCAAATGACGAATTCGTTAAGCGAAACGGCCCCCATTACCCTACACCTCTCGAAAGAGCATGTCATGAACCAAGCAAAGTGGGAATTATTCCACCGCGGTGCCATTGCTACCGACTCGGGCGTTGGGGGAGGCCTTGATGCGACGGGGATCCAGGTCAAAGTCTGCCTTGACGCCCACCGCGCAGAAGCAGTACCTGATATGTAGAGAATCGTGGCGGAAATCTTCTTCGCCATCTTGCGGTACCTCCACGGCCTCTCAACCCGCCAGTCGCTCGGTGTTGCGGACAGTATCGGGCACTCAATCTGCACGGATGTCGTCGACAAACGCCAGATGAATTTGCCAGGCTTGGTATGTGAGCAGCTCTTTGATCATCCGGCCGTTCAGGCGACCCCTTTCAGAACGCTTCAGCTGGACAAGAATCGTGGCGGCGGCTACTACCAAGCCTGGACCGTGGACCGAATCGTGCAGAGGGGGGTTCTTTTCGTCGGCAGGTACAACCGTGCCCCCAATGCCCCGTTGGAAGGGGGGAGACTGCGCCGGGAGTCAGTGGGAGGATCAGATTAGCAGGATGGTGACAAGATGCGAGACACCATTATCAAGTGGCAACTTCTTTCATGGATGTTGGCTACGCTCTACAGCAGTGGTCTAGAGGGAAATTTCAAGATCCTCGAGGATCACCAAACCAGGTTCGTCCTATCTGGTATGGCTTGGTTCGTTCGGGCAAGTTGTGAAGCGAGACCTCTTCGCGCCAGAGAAAGAGGAAGCTCGGACGCAGCAGCTCATATCAGTTTTCGATGTGGACGGACCATGCCTCGTTGCTACCTTCTTTAATTCAGATTGGGAAGTACTGCCTTGTCCTGAGATGAGAAGTATAAGCATCTGTTGGGTGGTTGAACCGGTCGAGAAAAACGGATCGGAGTATCCTCTAGATAGAGCTGAGGCGGCCTTTTTCACGATGGCTTCGCCAACCTAAAGCGGTGGGCACTGTTCCTTAAAACAGACGGAGCAAGCCATAGTATAACCGATGAAATCCCGTTTTAGACGGTGAGATCCCGTCGGCTTGTTCTTTAACACTAGCAGATAATTCTACCCTAGGGTGTGACCTGAATAAAGTTCATTCTGCAGGCAGAGATAGCTCAGGCTTGCGGATAGATGATCGCCTTGCGGACCTTGCGGGCCTCCGTCGCCAAAGAAGTTGGTCACACCCACATCGAAATAACAGACCTTTTCACGCCCAACCTTCGATCTCTTTCGTTTTTAGCCCTTGGCCTCCAGGCTTTCAGGCGCGTCAATGTTGATTACTCCCAGAATGAAAATATGCTCAGAGGCGCAGGTTAAATGATCTATGTCTGTAGAGCCCGGCCAGCCTTTCTGTGTGCCGGATGCCCACGAAGCGGGCCGATCGAGGGCTTCGTGGCCCAGCCGATTGACGGTTCGTGAAACCCGCTGTCTGAAGGCCTCAAGGCGAGCCCACACGTGGTCAAGCCGAAAGAAATCCCACGAAGCCAGCCGATTAAGGCTTTGCAGACTCAATCGAATTCATGCGCATGGCCCAGCCAGCCCAAGGCCTTACAGCCAGCCCATGGCCCAGCGTTCAGGCCCCTCGTTACGACAAGGCCAGCCGACCGAAGGCCATAAAGGTTGGAATCAATACCTTGGTAGTCTCACTTGGTGTGTAAAAGGCCCCCCTCCTTTTCGATTTCTGTCTCGGCCTCAATTCCTTTTTCTTTCTTTCTTTCACATCTACTCGTCAGGCACAATACCGATCCGCTCCTCTCCGTCTTCGCGCCGTCGCGCGCCGGCAAACTCGTCATCGTCACGAATTCATCTTCCGTCCTCCTGCCGGCCATCTCCCACCTCTACAAACTGGCGAACTACCCCATCGTCCTGCACGTCTCCCTCTAACCCGCCGGCTTCCCCGACTTCTCTACTATCACAGCCATCCGCACGTCGGGATGGACCTTTCTGCAGTCCGAGAAGAAAGCCAGGATCCAGCCTCGGGGGATAGTCTAGCTCGATGAAGCAGCTCCCATCAGCAGTTCTATTACGAATGAATTGAAATCGTCCGAAAAAGAAGAAAGCGTCGACCCAAAAGCAATACGGCAACGAGAACTTCAAAGGTATATTTAGTGCTGTGCCCTTTTTTTACTCTGTCCCGGCCTCGGAGCTTTTCCTTACAAACAAGTATTTCCTAATTTCCTTCTACTTCCCGCTTTTAGCCACCTGGCCCATCAACACACCAGAAAGCCGGTAATATTGTACGAGTGTATGGAAATAGCTCCCCAGCAGCAAGTCGTCAGCTGTCATGTTCCTTGCACGTAGTGCAGTTGCGAATCGAGTTTGATGACGCCCACAACACAGCGGCAGGGCTCATGCTAGAGCATCATCTATCCCGCATGTAAGGGTTGGCCAGAGTCCAAGTGGGCTACGTCTCCCCTCAGACGAGATACTTTCCTCGTTATCGAAACTCGGAAAAAGTCGCAACACCCCGCAGGGCAATGGTATCCTATGGCCGATGACGATACACTTGAATCTGAGGTCAAGACCGGTATACTATCCCATAGGGTTAGCCAAAGGCTAAGTGGGCTAAGTCTCCCCTCAAACGAGATATATTCCTCATTATTAAAACTCGGAAAAAGTCGTAACGCCCCGTAGGGCAGTCATCACTGGGGGTCCTTACTAAGAGAGGATAGGATATCCTATGGCCAATGATGATAACACCTAAAAAGGTTTGAGGTCGGGACTGGTGTCCTATTCCATGGGGCCGTTTGTGTCTCCGTCGAGACACCATAATCGCGGGATCAATGCTGTTGGTAATACCATTGCGTGGGAGCGCTTGGCTGGGAAGACCTCGACTCAACATGGCCCAACGAAGGCTGTCAAGGATGGCCGTCGGGAATGGCTTATTTGTGAATGAGCATCGGGTCTAAAGAGTCAGAATTACCTCGGCTTCACCAAGAGTGGCAGATGGGAAGACTGCACATGTTAGGAACCTTACCTGGCCCGGTCATTAATGGACAACATTATACGAGGAAGCCTTCAGTGTGTTCAGAGTCGAGGCAGCATGAGGTTAGATGCTGAGACTGGCAGCAAAGAATGCAAAAGGGGGGATACAAACAAACGGCCGAAAGACCTTGAGTGAACCGCATGCCAAAGAAACCGAAAGGTAATACGATGGTCTGGCTGGATGACGTTCATCCCGAAGATGGAGGTGAAAGACGAGATCGAACTCCAATGACGGAGGAGAAGCTGGAGGAGAAGCTGGAAGAGAAAAGGATGGACGATAGATGATGGACGACGGACGATGGAGGTGAACAACGAGATGGATTTCTAATGATGAAGAGGCTGGAGGAGAAGAAGATGGACGTTGGAAGATGATGGCATTGAAGTGGGAAGACGAAGATGTTAGGGACAGAACACGGGCTAAGCACCAGCTCAGAAGTATTATCTATACCTGCAGCTTCCCTAACAGCGAAAGCAAGAGTGCATCAACACGGAAGGCTCTAGGGTGTAGTTCGCAATGTTCCTATTTTCGCAGGCGCACCTGGATTGTGTCTGCTCTCACATGAGCAAGCGCAAGTCCTACGAGAACCCAGTTGTGGCAGGGCAGCATTCATGTAAAGAAGACACAACTTGATGTCAAAGCTCTTCTAGCTGGCAAGAGCATGGAACCTACAACGATCCGCCTGTGTGACTTACAAAAGGCATGGGCTTTCCGCCTTGTTTAGACAGCAGGTACACACGCCTTACTATGGCAGAAACAACCGGTAAGGACAGAGCATTCAAAATGATGGCATTACTCTAGGGTAACGGATAGCGAGGTTGGCGTTTCCTTCCGATCATGTCACTTAAAGTATCCTCCTCCTTTTAAACATCCCCAAGCAAAGCTTATTCTGGAAAAGAAAACAGGAGAAGGAGGCCGCTTGATTCCTTGTGCGATATATATCATCTTTCCATTTGGGCATTGGTAAGCCCCTGTGTGTCATTCCATCATGATGGTTCCCACAATGATAAGCGCGGCAGCCTCCCGGACGCCGGCCCCACAGGCGCAGCATTACGGAGAGTTGTAGGTCCACGGGTCCGTTTACGATGGCAAAAAAGCAACACAGCAAAACATACAACACCAGGTATTCGCTGGTCGTCAGCGACCCAACTACTAATCCGGCCCTCACTGGCTTATCTATGGGAGAGCGGACGGGATCCCGAGTTTTCCAGTGGGTGTGGTCGTATGTGACAGCCCATAAATCAGAGAGAGGATATATAGGAAGACAGATTAGAACATCAGGGAAAGCGTCCATCCATCAACTACATCACCCGTCACGGGTCTCAACAGACCAAAGAGAAAGCTCCAGCCATCAATGGCAGGAGGGATTCAGTACTGACCTGCACGCCTCTGCAACTCCGCCAACATCCGCCAATGACCGCCAACGGCGAAAACTGAGGAGCACACCGTCCCGGGGGGGCACGCAAACCGTCCTCCGTTCGCTAACGGCCGGCCGGCGCGCACACACACACACACACACACACACACACACACATACACAGAATAAATACCGGTCTTCCGCGTGGCAAATCGTGTTCGTACCACCATAGGTGGGGGTGGAAAGGGGGGTTGCTACCACACACCCATCTTCAGAATCCAAGCGGCGGTGTTGGTGGTGGTATCCTGCTGTCTTAGCACCTTGTCCGGAGCAAAAGAATCGGGCGAATCGGATAGTCAATGCTCCAAATGTCGCGAGATCTTGCATCTCTTTTGACAGCCACTACCACCACATGGGGAGGTGGGAAGAAATGAGTGCTGCGAAAGCCCTGGATGGGGCACAGCAATACGCTGATCTGATCTGATCTGAGCGCTGGCTTGGGCTCGAGTGCTCGAGGTTGGTCTCCTGCATGAGAGATGCCTGGCTGGTCCAAGACGAGCGACGCGGCCTCTTCCTAGAACGAAGTATGAAGCGGATGACGAACGTGGGGATTACGGCCATTCGTGCCCCTCACATCTCAATACCAAGGCTAGCTACACTAACAAATGTGCTCGTTGGCTAGCGTGCTTCAAGAGCGGCGTTTTTTTCGAGCTGCATCCCATTAACAGACAGGCACAAATGTTGGGAAACATGCCTCCCAGTCCAATCGCAACGCTTAAAGCGCTTGAAGCCACGTCCCCCTCACCTGCAAGCCGCAAGCACTGTCTGATCCGAGCAAGTGTCGGCAATCGGCTCACTTCCCGTGAGCCAATGGCCGCATTTTAGGGTAAGGCTAGGCGGGAAACGCCTGGAGATGGGACGTGCTGCAAACGTCGCCCGTCTCGGCATATGAAGCTCTTGTAAGGTCAGGGCAGACCCCTTTCCTTCCCTAACGTCGTCACATAGCCTCATCGCCTAAGAGCGACCGCGTTTCCTTGGAGCGGTAGGCCATCCCAGGTCGATCTGGTCTGAACATTTGCAGCGCTACCATCTGAGGGGAAGGGTTCGGAACCCTCCCGCGCCAGCCTTGTTTCAACGACGCCCTATCAAAGAGAAGCAACGACGACGTTGACCAGGTATAAGAGAAAATTTGTCCCGATGGAGTTGAACGGCTTTTACCCGCTTGGACCAGTGACTGCGAGGAGTCAGATGAAGAACGCCGTCTCCGTACGTCTCCGATCACGACGCTGTGGATGGTCGTCCTGAATCAAGTTCATGGCAATCATGACCCGGCCTGACATGTGCGCCTGCGGGAAAGCGGGTTCGCTGTTTCGTTGGACGGCCGTTTGCCCGAGGAAACTTATCACTAGCTACTTAGACGCGTAAGTATTGGTTTGTTCAAAAAGACGTTGTGAAAGCAAGGAGTGAAGACCTAGCAAGTCTCCATAAAGTCGGTTGGTGAATGAGGGGATTGGTGAAGAACGTCGTCAAGGGCTGGTTGGCCAGGATGCAACGTGGGAAAAAACCTAGTGCGGGCTGTGCAGGGAACCGTACAAGGATTCGATGGACCACTCGCATCTCTGGATTCTTTGGGCGGAGATCAGACGATGCGGCTGATGGAACAGAGATCGACCGCCCCTTCCAGCTAGTCGCCCACGGGCTCTAGCCTGTCCTGTTTGTTCTGGAAGAACGAGTCTCTCGGCCTGGGTGTTATTGACAAGCCCACTTGATATCGTTGTAGACGGGCCGGATTAGAGTTCGGAACTATGTTCGGGAATTCAGACCAGCAGCCATGCTTTGCGGCTTGCCGCTGAAAAGGGCTTTGAAATTGGAATGGACGTGTATATATCGTATGCTGCTTTCCATCTGGTGCACTAGGCAGTGTGAACGTCAGATTGTCCTTCTTTGTTGGAAGCGGGTCGTGGCGGATGGAAAACAAATGTTACGAGACAATACCGTATGACCAGCCGCGGGCCGGAACGGGATTGCTGATCAGTGCAGGCAGTCGGTGGTCTCGAGTGCTGTGACAGACGTAGTCGACAGCGGTCTTGAATGTGCGATTGACTCACCGACTCGTTGGTTACATGACAAGCGCGTGCGACTGATCATGTAGGTATTCCTACGAATGTTATGCAGGAAGCACTTGCTCACATTTTGGCAGTTCTGGGTTGGTGTGTTGTTGGGCCGGCGGCGGGACTATTTCACCCAAACGGCATGGGTGCCGCTGCCGCATGCACGTCGAATGCGGCCGGTCAACGTTTCCTTGGTGCCGACGTCGCGACTCGAGCCCAATGCGGTTGGCTCGTCGACGTATGCATGCATATGTACATTTATCCGCACATGAATAGTGCGACACGTAGTGATGCTCTGTAGTACAGCCAGACGCATACTACGTATATGTTGTGTATTTGGCGCGATATGTTGACATGTGTCCTCCGGCGATGTGGATATCAATGGTTTGCTGTTGGGCGAGGGAGATACACACGCGCGCGCGCACACACACACACATACACAACGTCCCACACGCAATTGCAGCATGTTGTACGGCCGTAGCTTGCTACGCTATCATGGATTACAGAGTACCGGTTTCTGGTGGCAGTCTTGGTATCTTGTCCAGGGAGTTGCGCCTCATGGAGACATCAATGTGCAGCAACGGTGCAGAATCGAAGTGGTAGCCATCAGGTAAGGTAGCCGAGAAACAAAGCAGAACTAAATCGAAAAGGAAAAAGAAAGGTTCAAGCACAATATCTGAGCGTGCCGGATTTAGTGCAGCGCAGCAGATCCGGGGGTCCCTGTTCGATAACGGACGCGGACAGGGGTTTGGATGGAAAACCAGACGAGCAAATCGCATCCATTTGCTGGCCAGCAGCCCGGATAATGGAATATTGCTGGTTTATGGGTCTCCCGGTTGGTTCGTCAGAGTCATGTGGAGTTCAGTTCAAGTCAAAGTTCCAACTCCAATCCAATCCAGTCTCATCCCAATCCCAAACGATTTGCGGGCCGAGAGTCGCAGGGTGCACGGAGGTTGTCGAACAGGGGCTCCTAGCTTGATGGCGGGAATCTGAGCGTCACAGTTCAAAAGGGTTTACTCGCCTCCAGTTGTCAAGAGTGGAAGTGGGCAGAGACCGTTGGCTTGACGTGGGCGGTCTAAGCCTAGACTCAACTTTTGTCTATCGTCGTCTTTTGCTACCGATTGGATCCTGAGATTGAAGTTTGTGGTGAGCCCCTGCAGTGTTTGCCTCGCTGCCAAGTCTGTCTCCCGCGCCCAGCTGCACGTCCGTTGCGGTGCGGTTCGCGATTGGATTGTTAGCTGGGTTGACAGGTGCAGCAGGTGTGTGGATGGCATTGACTCGAGTAAGGAACAACCTCTCCTGGCCAGCCCTGGACAGCACGACATGCCATCGATTTCCGTGCCCAGAAAGCCGATTCAAATTTGCTCACGAGGTATCCGTACTGATGATACCCGAAAACGAGTCTGGCTTTGCCGACGGGATCCGAGTTAGAAGGCTGCAGGCCGCGAACAGCCGACACCGGCCTGGTCATCTCGACAGAATTTGGAGTTATCGAGTTATCTTGGATCCCGGAAGATAGTCGCATGCGCGGTTGGAAATCTCTGGCTATTGATAAGACGGGGACTGATGGTGAGAGTAGTCGGGTGTCGTCTCTGGGAGCAGTGTCTCTCGGCAGCTGTCAAGCTGATCCCGTTCCACGTCATCCGAAGCCGCGAGAGCTCGTTGGTCGGGGGGTGAAGGTAAGAGAGGATGTTGTTTGTGAAAGGAGGTCCAGGGCAGCCAGCCACTATTGGTTCTTCCATATGCCAGCCGGTTTCGAACGGTAAGTTCCATTGCTTGCCAGTTAGCCGGGACTATGGGAAATGACGATGGGATGGGTAGGCGCGGCAGCGTAACATGGTCCGAAAAAGTTGGTATTCGATTTCGGTGCGAGAACACAAGTTGGCCAGGCTCCCAGGTGCGTCTGATTCGATCCACGTCCATCAGACCACAAACCAGGTTCCATTATGCTGGGAAGTGGTGGGGGGCAGCGGTACTTTGCATCTGGGATCGTGGTTCCATCCGGAGGGGAAGAGCGGAAGATTTCTAGTCTTGATGAGAGACGGCAGGGGACGACAGTCCCAGCGACAGGGAAGCGGTGGTGCCTTTCGGGTTACCATAGTAGAGGAGCGAGTGGAGTGGGAAGACCCGTGTGTGGTCCGGCTGTGGTCCGGCTGCTTGGTGGCAGGTGCTGCGTATCTCGTTCACAATTGTTTTGGGACTCGGGTGTTCTTGCTGCCACCAGGAAAGGATAAGGTGCGCCTGCGAGTTGACAGCTAGGAATGTGTGGGATGGATTCGAGGTGAGGAAAGAACCCAAGGTACGGATAGGCAATGCCGTAGAGCCGCAAAGCCGCAATGGAAGCAATGGAAGTCAACCTATGGAAGATGAAGGGGCAGGTTGGCAGGGCACGTACCTGCCTCCAGGCGAACCTTATGCACTTTGATGCATACATGCATCTAGACGGCAGCGATCTTCGGTTTACTTCAACCCCCGCATTGACCAGGGGGGCCCTCTTCTAGACCCTGCTGGGATCCTCCGATGCTGCTTGAATCTGCGTTTCCCTTTTGGGACATTCTTGCGAAACGTCCCTTGACCTCCTCTTTCTCCTCATCCTGTCCACGTCGTCCCTTTCCCTCACACTTTTCACACACGGTAACCTCGTACCTCGCACCGCGCTCCTACACCTGGCTTCAACGTTTTCATTCACAAACCACCACATGAACGCCGTGACAGCTTTCTCAGACGAGACGCGCAGCTTGTACTTTCTCGAATTTCTGCTAGCTCCATTCGGATCCCCGCCCTCCTCCTCTTTCTCTCGACTCTCGCCGATTCCATTCCCTTTTCTCTACTGTCATGTCGTTCATATCTTTCCCCTGCACTTGACCCAAGGTACAGGGGGCCCTCGTCTCTGAGCGGATTAACTGAATTGAAACATGTTCTACTATCCACTCAGTCTTCTTCTGCTCGGGGCCTCAGGACCATCTAATCCTGACCTGTTTTTTTTCCCTCGCTGCTGGTAGGTAATCGCAGCAGGTACCCTCGCCCTCGCGGCTTGACACACGCAAGTGTCTCCACGAGGTAGCTCTGCGTGCGTGTGTTGTGTGGTGTGTGTGCGTGTGCCTATGGTGTGTGCCAGGCACTCGCGTGAGTATCCTCCTTCCAGGTGTCTCTCTGCCTTCCTCGTCAGCTGGAGCTGTTACGGATGGTAGTTGACACAATGGCTGGCCTGTCTCAGCTTTCCTTTCCAAACCTGTCCCGTCCTGTTTTGGCGCTTCGATTGCTAGCCTTGAAAAGTCTCTTCCCTCCACCCCTTCTAATCTATCGTTTCCCGTCCATCCCTCATCCGCTCTTCTTCCCGTACCCTTATCCTGTTTAATCACCAGCGCCTCTTGTTCCTCTTGTTCATATTGCTATTCTTTTCTGCCCATTCCCCATCTATCAGTTTGGGCGGGAGCTAGCCTTGTCTCACTTAGCCCTTGCCTTACCCTGCTGTCATCATAGTTAGGTTGACCGGTCCGCGTCGGGCCAATATTGCGACTCCATTCCCGTGGGTTTCCCCCATACTATTCCAAGTACATTGTACCGTACACCTCGACAAATCAGCCCCATACACACACACACACCTACATATACACATGCGCACATACGTACCAAGCAAGCATTCTTCTGCACCTCACCTTGCCTTCTTCTTGCAGACGGCTTCTGCGAGTTAATGTAGATGGCCCCCCATTGACCCCATCGAATCCCCATCCAACCCATCCCGGCCCTCGATCTGGCCACTCTCCTCCACCGCTACCTCCTCATCTTCACCACGCCTTCTCCTCCTCGTTGCCGGCGTACCTCTAGTCACTTCCGTCCCGCAGTCGCCCACGGCTAGCTAGCTGCTGCTGGCTTACTTGGGTCATCTAACTGTACCCGCTCGTGACATTGTCCGCAAACAGATTAGCCCCGTCTGTCAACTGGCGGATCATGACTTCGGACCATCCTAGCTCTCTTCAACAGGACAACACCTTTGAATTTGATGGAATCGTTGATAAGACCCTTACTTCCCCCCTCTGTGCCAGCCACGAGGTCTTCTCACCTACTACCTTTTCTCGACATCTCTCCTCTCCCCTGACTCTCTCCTGCTCCTACATGTGGAAGCGCCACATGTCGGCGAATGGCTACCGCATCCTCCCTCCGTGCAGCGCCACAGAAATGGTCTCTGAATGACCTCAGCTCCGAGCTGCTGGCTCTCATCTTTGAGCAGGTAGGTTTTGGTGTAGTTGCCAAAGTTTCACTTGAGCACGCCGCTCCTTAATAACGACAATTGCTTACACCTCCATTGCAGCTCCGAGAAATAGACGAGCGCGCCCTTGCAACTGCGCGATGCTTGTCCAGACGCTTCGAGGCGATCGCAACTCCTGTCACCTACCGTACAATTTGCCTCAACGAGCGCATTGTTGCCCCAGACGCCGAATCGCGGTATCCCAACCTCTTGCGTAATGTGTCGTCCTACACGAACCACGTCGTCACACGAAGCGATCTTGACCCTGACGGCATTCGAAGGGTGCTAGACAGGGTCCAAAGGTTAAAGACTGTGCGGTATGCCACAATGGGTCTCCACAGCCCTCGTGAGCAGTTTGCTGACGATGTTACTAGGTGGCACTATGTCGACGCTGAATTCAGATCAGGGCGTCTCTGGCTCCCGTCGGATGTTCTCAACCCCCAGCAAACGCGATTTAATGGCACGAAACTGTTCGTCGAGGACCTGCCCCTGCGAGAATTTGAGGGACAATTACGAGACACCTATGTCCGAGCGATTCCCACAGACCTTCTGGTCTCGCTCAAGCTTGCGAGCCCTGCTCCACCGCTCACGACACGATTGAATTCCCTCAAACAGCTGCTCTTGCTCTCCCGCCGCCTAGAGACATTCCACTACGAAGATCGTGGGCAGGGGACAAATTTCAAATTCGCACAAGGAGAGCGCATGCCCCCACTGAAAGATTTGGCTCTCAAATCATATGACTGGAACCATTCGAAGGAGGACACCCGATCCCATTGGGACTTTACTCAGCTCGAGTCGCTCGACCTTAAATACGTGCCCGTCTTCAACTTCCTGTCGTCCGTGGATTTCCCTGACCTGGCGGGCTTACGACAGTTACACTGCGAAGACTTTAGCGCCCACCTAGTTGACAAACGACAAGAAGCAACCGGCGGCTTATACTTATTGGTGGCTAATCACATCCGGGCTCTACAGACCCTCAATGTGACGTGCCACATCCAGCTCTTCCCGCTAGATGGCATCTTGAGACATGGCGAATCTCTTCAGGTGCTCAAGTTCCGCGACCACATGGGCTTTGGAGAAGAGGATCGGCGGTGTCCGACACTCTGGGCTGAGGATATTGCGACTTTGGCGCAAGGTCTCCCACATGTGCACACGCTGGAGCTGGACATGGACGTGGCCCTATGCGACCCGACTGAGTTCCTTCGTGCTCTCTGCAGCTTCCGCAGCCTGCAAACACTCACTCTACATGTCCAGACGGTTCTTCATGCTCTCGAGGTGGTCCACCCAGGGATGGACCGCGACTACGACGCGGCCTTACGCACTTTCCAGTTGCTGCTGCGAGAGAGGCAGCTCGCGACCCCCGACGTGCCTTGGAAGCAAATCACGATCAATGTGGGCGGATGGCGCAAAGTAATGGTCCGTCGCTTCAGCGCCGCCTGGCGTCGTCAGAACGAGAACGGTGTCTACGCCGAGCGATGTTTTTTGCTAGAGCGGACCGAGAACGGCCAAATGGCATACCGAGAGGAGATGAGCATCGAAGGCCGCTCATCAACACCAACGCCTGACCCTCCGACACCGAGCATGGACACCGAATACGAGTAACTAGGGAGAGAAAGGCTCGGACCATCACGTTTGTATTTCGAGGAGCCGAACGCGAAAAGATATAGGGAGGTACGCATGAGATACCAGGCGTGGGGGGAAGACTACACCAGGAAAGCAGAAAATCCACTGGAGATACTAGCATATAGATGGAGGAGATTGGCGACGTCAGCACTCTAATCTTAATGATACCAACGATGTTCATGACCATGCACCCATCCTTCGCCACGCATCACTGCTCACATCTCACGCTGTATTACGAGCTCAAACCCCTCTACGACCCTCTACAAGTTTCTACGAATTCGCGGTCGCTCCCAAATGGGGCGCGTATTATAGAAGCCTGGTTTGGGTATCCAGAACGCACCGCTCACCCGAACTACATGTGGTAACAAAGTTCATCACCCGTGACGTGTCAGACCCTCCCCCAAACCTAGAACGGCATCGTTCGCGACTTGGCCCCAGTGAAGCTTGGGTCAACTCGGTAACCCGCGGGCGCAAGCGGGGTGAGCGAGCCGTTCACGAGGCGAGTATGGCTTGACGACTTCCTTAAACAAGTTGCTAAGGATGTGAATGTAGTATCTGTAGAATACCAATCCTAGTAGAGTCGTCGTCGCTCGGCCAGGGAGAGGAAGAAAAGCTGGGGTGCAGGCAGGGGAGGCATCGTGACTTGCCCGGTGTGAAAGTTTTCAATGTCAGTCGCCAGCCGGAGAATACCCTCTCGGACGGGATGGAGGGGGAATACAGTAACTTGGGTAGCGGTGCGGACGTACTTGCACCGTTTGACATTATGAAGAAAGAAACTAGGAAGCAACATGATTTCAACGTTGTGTGAAGAACTCGCCGTACACGACTACTACTTGTTGGAATCGAAACGATCCGGTGACTTAAAGAGACAATTAAAGATGGTAAAAACTTTGTCGGAATTGCCATCAACACGGGCGTCCCCAATCGGCTCGTCCCCCCCCCCCCCCCCCCCCCCCCCCCCGCCCCCCCCGCAGCGCGGGCCGCGCTCCAACCCCCGCGCCCCCTCTTTGCCGCCCGCGGGGTGGTGGGGGGGGGGGCCCCCCCCCCCCCCCCCACCCGGCCCCCCCCCCCCCCCCCCCCCTCTCCCCCGCGGGCTCCTGACTACGGTAGGCTCGGGCAGACCCGAGATTACCTATTTTCGGCGGCAGGGGGTTTTGTGGGGGGTTAATCCTACCCACCCCGGCCCCCTCCCTTCCCCCGGTTCCGCTCCGATTCCCCGCAGTTTTGTGCGCCGCCCGGTGAAGCTGTCAGGTGAACGCCATCTCACCGAGTACAGACGACGCTCTCACCTAGGTGAGAGAGCCCCAGGATCGCGACCTCACCTTGCACCACACCTCGCGCACACCGAGAGGTGGATGTACAGAAGAGGAGACGTGGGCAGAAAAAATGAAAAAGAAAAAAACCAATGATTCTACTTGAATGATGCAGCAGATGCCTCAAGTCGCGGAGATGCGCTCCGTTTGTTTTACTCTGGTCTTCCTGGCGCTGGGCGTGGTTGTAGTGCTCGTTGTGAAGCCAGATGTGTTGGGGGAAATTTGTAAAACATAATTTGCTAGCAAACATGTAGATATCTTGAAAAGAGGCAGGCGAGCTTGTATGGACGTTCCAATGGCTGGACTTCCTCTGACTGGGCAAATCAGTTCGCAAATAGTCTACGCTTGGCTGACTGAGAGCTATGTAACTCCGTAATGCGGTACCGACAACACCAAAGTGTGAACACACTAATGTCTCGCAAAGGATTTGAAGCCATATTCCGCAATTAAAATGCCAGGTCATCCCGAATGCCATGTGAGGAATCCTCAGAGTAGTTCCGCCCAGCTCTGTCGGCGCTTCTAGCTCGCTCATTTCCATCCTGATTTCTGGAATCGAGCAGCTACTTTGAAAGTTTGTGTGCCATTGAATTCTCGTAGAGTGGAGAACGAGTTGCTGTTAGAATGGTTATTTATTTCGTCATGTTCTCGCTTGGTAGTTATTGTTCGCAATTGCAATTGATCTATGGAAAGAAAAAGAAATAATGGCAGCAAAGGTGGCCAGTACCTACCGCCCCTATGGCTAGCGAGCCAGCAGCTAGGTTGTCATAAACGAAAACAGCACGCTCGAGAATGGAGGCACAATCTGCCAAAAGTTCTTCCCCAGGTATTTCGGTCGCTTTATTGCACACTTCATCCGGCCAAAGTTCAGAGAAACATTATGGTTTGACCATATCGAGCCAAGGAATCACCCGGGGCTCCCAAAGTGGATGCTGCTTTTGATTCTGCCAAGGCTGCGTTGGAACCCTCTAAGAGCTCCGTTCAGCTACACAAATATTCGATTAGTTCAATTACAATTCCTCTCTCTGTGCTATCCGCAGCCGTGCCTGCTATCCGTCGATCGAGCTTCTGTACCGCAAGCATCGCCGTCAGAGAGTGATCAAATTGAAAGCCATACAGGGTCATGGATCCACACCGTGTGAAGCTACCAGATCCCGTGACAGATTGATAGTCAAACATGGCTATCGCCTTCCAAAATCATGTGTGGTGAGACATCGCGTGCCTTTAGAAAATCGGCCAAAGCCGGAAGCTTCCTGGGCTGGCTGAAATCGTCTCCGTGTCTCACAGCCAAAGAGGGTGTCAGAGTGAAAAGTAGACACGCCACTGAGCCGTCTGCGTAGCGGAAAGAAACATGATTCCCGATAATCTGGTCGACTAGCTTCCGCCAGGGGAACACCAGAATGAATTGTAAGACATGTTCCAGCCAAGCCGCCCTCACTTAGCCCCTGTGTGTTTCTCCGAGCCCGGATGGTCCCGCAGATAATATGCCTTCGTATTCTGCACCGTGCGATTGAATTCGTGGAGCGCGCTCCGCTGAACGAAGATTCTGCTTTCACCGTCACTCCAAACAACCCTAACCCTGAGAGGTACGGCGCAAAAGGTAAATGGAGATAGGGCATACTCAAGCCAGTTCCACGGCAACCTCTCGATCTGAGGAACTCCAAAGTCGGAAACACTAGGTTTTTTTCTTTCTGCAATTCCCACATCTCTGCACACACCCCTGTGCTGCAAGTCCACGAGGCAGTAGATCAAGATGGTGGACCAAGACCGCAACAAGGTTAGCAAGCCGTCGGATGCTTTGGGCTGGCTGAGCGCGGATCTGGCCCGTCCCGAATCCTTTTTCTACTTCCCGGACGGTGCCGAGGGTGTGGAATGTATATGGCCATGACAAGTCGATTCGTGTCCTGTTCCCCAAGGGTTCTACAGGTGGACAAGCGTCTTTCTTCGGATTGTTAGGGCCCGGCAGGTCGGGTCGCGGAACGGGAAGATGGTTTGGCAGCATTCGAATGGCGGGAAGCCCTGCTCTTTACTTTCGGGATTTGTGGCTGATCTGACCAGCAGGATTTTCCGTCTCTCAGGTCTCCTCAGCTGACTTGAGAAGATGGACAGCCCAATGGTAATTGTCAAGTCTCGCTTGGAATGTTGGCACTGAAGCAATTGTTCCCTGGATAGCTTTAGCAAAGTTGTACGCCATGACGTTTAGCGCCCGGGATACTGAACGAGGTGGTTTCGGCAGACGTACGAGTCTGTTCTTCGGCTTGGTGTCGATTCGTTTGTTCCAGGGATACAAAGGTTCTGTGGAATAGATGTCGAAGGCAGGATAATAGTTCGACGCTTTGGTAGGAATGACAAACAATGATTGAATATCAATTGAGATCGGCGACCGCTCCCTAGCAACCTGACGGAAGGCATTCAAGGGAGAACGTCAGGTCATGGCTTACGGGGTAAACCGATGGGGAGGGAGAGACATTGTGGCTGTTTGTCTCTCTTGGCCGTCTGTTTGCAGCTGCACAAACGTCTCGTCGGTACTCGAGGTTGTCTATCTGATTCAGTTCGGATTCACGGACGGGTATGCTTCCCGGTCGATGGATGTTAGAGACATCTGTGTAGAAACATCAGCTAAGATTGTCTCAACCGTCAGCGCCTTCGTTTATCCCCCTCTATAGCTGTCGTGTCTTTGGGAACTGTCTGGAGACTTGTAAGCTAACAGAAGTGCTAGGCCGATAGGACTTGGTCAAGACACAAAGCAGAACCTGTTTGTTCGGCCCTTGTTGGAAGCCAAGTGGTAGTTGCCCAACATGCCACTTCAGACTTGAGGAATGTTCGACTGTCCATTGAAAGTATGTCGGAGGCCACCACCATTCGAAAGCTTCCGCTCGAATCAGGCCGATGCAGATTCGCGTAGGACAAAACATCGCTCTGAAAGGGGCCATGACGCGTTCGAATTCCAGCGTCATGTTGATGTCAGGGATACGTCGGGTTGCAAACAACACCACACTCCACTCCAGACGATACCACAAAACGAAATCAACACTGATAGTGGGCGTATGATGGTTGTTTCTGCTACCATAAAAGAGTAGGGGAAGTAGAGAACATTACAATGCCTGTTTAAACACTGGAAAAAGCTTGGAATTTGCACTCGTCACGAGTCGAACCCCAAGGTTTGTTTCTCGTAGGCGGTCGCATAACGTGATGGGAAGGTGCAGTGCCACGAGCTCAGCGCAGTTGACTTTCCGTTCCCAGCCAGCACATTGACCTGCTCTTGCCTTAGGACTGTTGTATTATTATCAGCTTTCCCATTCCTCGGTAGTCCTTGCTGTCCCGCCTTCCTCCACGGCCGTTCATCTGTTTCGTCCTCAACCCGGCGCCCCCCAAACGTTCGTACTTTCCACAACGACACGCCATTCAGCCGGTTCAGGAAAGCAAAAATTACATCTTGCCTTTGCGCAGCACGGGAAAGGACGGGTTGGGGAGTCGGTCAAGGTCAGGTACACAATAGCGTCGCCGTTTTCGGTCAGCAAGCCTTGCCCTAAGTCTTCCTTCGTTTCCCCTCCTCACGCCCCTTTTCCACGCTCCCGCTTTGCCGTCGTCTTTTCTTGGTACACCGTCCGACCTTCGCATTCGTACCTGTTCTTCCTCCATTTTACTTTCACCTCTGAGTTGGGCTCC